TTCATCTTGTCGGCCATCATCTCGGGGAGACACATGTCCGACTTGCCCGCGAAGATATACAACACGCTCGGACGGAGGTGCTCAAGCTGAGCGAAGATACGAGACGGCTCCGGCCGGTAGAAAGGAAACGAACCAACGTGCTTCGGGTTCAGATCGGGATGCGTTACCCGGTTAATCGGGACGTTTTTGCCCGGGGGCCCGTCGTAGTTGGGCCGTGAGAAGGTGAAGACCTCCTGGTGGCGAGTCGTTGTGAGAGTGACTGGTCGGTCACTGCCTTGGGAGGTTGCGGTCTCGTCGTCTAGCGGGTGGATGGCGGTAGGCAGGTCTCGGAGACCGTATCTGATCCAGCGGTCGAGGACGCGGGGGTCCCAGGTTTGGTAGAAGGGGTTCTTCTTGAAGGCTTCTGCGGCGGCTTTGCGGGATGGCCACTTGTCTCGGCGGTAGGTAGAGAGTTGGGTGGTTTTGGCGATGACGAGCTGGTCTTTGAACAGGGGTCGCGGTTCGAGCTGGGTGGTTTGGCGTTGGATGACTGGGTCTAGTAGGACCAGAGTGTGAATGAGTCGGGGGTGCATTAGGCATAACTGCGCACTGCGATAGCGTTAGAAATTGCTTGCATGGGCTTTCAACCCTTAGACTCACAGGTGAGCGCCGCCCATGCTGTGGCCGATTCCGACGATTGGACGTGGCATTTCCTTGCGCTTGACGTTGACGAGATGAAGTAGATCTCTGGGGTGATCGAACCAGCTCGCTGTTGACATGGACTAGTCAGTCTACCACGTTTGAGAGGTTGACCCGATAACAATCAACGCACGATCATTTCCTAGAAGATCCTCATTGAGCACGCTGCTTTGCCCTTGGTGCGCCACATCTGCCATCCAGATACTTCGAATGCGGAACCCATTGGCTTTGGAGCGCGCATATATCTCCTCCCAGAGTGGTTCATACAGCTCCTGGTGACGATTTCAGTATGCGCTCGCGTATGATCCGTAGAGTTTCCAGATATACCTTTGGGAAGCCATTGGCGTGAGCGGCGAGTATGGTCACATCGCCAGGCTGGGGTTCAGGGTTATCGAGTGGAACGTATTGTTTTACAGCCAGATGCAGTACATCTTCCTGTTCGTTCGCAGTGGCCGCTGGATATTCTCTGATATGTTGGCATTCTACCACATGTTCCACGATGCGGAAGGGTCCTGATATTGATGACGATGACGAAGACGAAGACATTTTGAATCAATCATCCCAGAAAGAATGGAATATGGAAAGGAGAAAAGGGCAGAGAGAAGGACTGCTGGACATCAATACTAGTAATAATCCTGCCATATCGATAAACCGGGGACCCCACTATCATGATCATTCTCGGGGACATGCAGTACTAGTTGCCGGGGTTTGGGGGATGGGCCGAGGAAGCTGCGATGGGGACGGAAAAGGTACAAAGCGGATCAGCCCAACTGCCGGGGCGAGTGGGTTTATCTAGATGGTGATCAATCACCGGGCGAGTTCGGCGGTAGTGAAGCACTTGTTCCATATCTTGTGGCTATTTCACATTCACATACCACTTGGAACATCTCAACCCATCCAAATGCTGATAAATGTGTAGTTAACACGCTTTCTCCATGAATTTGGCTCAGGCGCTGAAGACGGTCGCAAAATGCGCACTCCAATACTAGACTCGAAGTTCAAACAATGCATCAATGGAGTTGTAGCATTGCAATGCAACCAACAACAAGAATACACCAATTAAACTATGCTTGATATCACAATATTCGTATTGCTTTCTTTAAAAAAAAAAAGATCGCATTCATGCACGAGTCACGTGACATGGCGTCGTGATGCCTCGCGTCGGCGCGTCGCAGCCCAACAGGCATCATTTGCAGATGCTCAGTCGCAAGGACAACGTCTAGGTGTTGCACTTATTACGCTTTACGTACTTCATTGCCACGATACTTGTACTGGTTGTCTGTCAGGAGGATCAATAAATAAGCAAGAGACCCAACGTTTTCTACAGACTGCGGTCTCCATTTCCGCCATGGCGGGCCGCGACGAAGAGTTCCAGCTCTTCGACCAATGCAAAGTCTGTATAATTTGCTCCAAAGACCTCAGCCCTGATACCGCTCATCAGGTACGCATATTTCCTTCTTGGTATCGTTGACTGTACAATCTTGGTTCAACTGACTTCTCAAACTAGCTCGCGTCAACGTTCGAGGCGCATGGCGGGGAGACCGTGATCTACGAGCCGCCAGCAGACTTCCCGCCCCTTACAGAAGGATTCACGCATCTGATATCAAATACTGTGGATTTTCCTGCATTTGATGCTGCTAATGACGCTCTCATTCCCGTCGTCAAACCGCAATGGGTGCAGGCGTCTCTAGCGAAGAAAAAGTTGGCCAACCCGCGACAGTACAGCCCGGATCCTAGGCTATTCTTGAACGATGTCGTCGTCATGTGCGGTGATATTCCAGAAGGCGATAAGGATGCTATTATTGGCGGCGTTTTGGCCAAAGGCGGCCTCTACAGTCCGAGGGTGTCTGGTATGGTCACTCACTTGGTCGATCTGACGGTGGATTCCGATAAGGCGCGAGTGGTCACTTCTAGAAAGCTGAACATCAAGATTGTGCTTCCTCACTGGTATGACTGTAGTTACCCTGCCATCTTTGATTCTACTCTGATTGACCCCATCTGCAAGGTTCGATGACTGCCTCAAACTAGGCAGGAGAATCGACGAGCGCCCATATACTCTTCCAGATCCTGAAATCCTCCGTGCAGGTGCAGACGCACCGATTCGTTCATCGGAAAATCGCGATATCATTGGCGCCTCGACGCTTGAGCCGACCAACCTGCCAGCGTCTATCGTCACTGCTCATCCACGGCCAAACCTCGATGTTTTCCAAGGGAAAAAGATCATGTTGTCGGCAGATCTTGGGATCGGCATACATCTAACAAACACGATTGTCGAGGTGATCAGGGATGCTGGTGGCCGGGTGACATCGGACGTCTCCGAAGCAGATATCTACATCTGCCGTTACAGATCTGGATTCGGTTATCGCTTGGCGTCAAGGTTGAATAAGGACGTTGGAAACCTCTCATGGCTCTACCATATGATCACCTACAATGCATGGACCTCGCCGCTACGACGGATGTTACACTACCCCATCTCGCGCGTAGGAATACCCGGGTTCGAAGGGCTCAAAATCAGTCTGTCAAATTATGTCGGCGAAGCGAGAATCTACCTGGAGAATTTGATCGCAGCGGCAGGCGCAGAGTGTACCAAGACACTAAAGCAGGAAAACACGCACCTAGTGACCGCCCACGGCAACAGTGAGAAATGCGCTGCTGCAAAAGAATGGGGTTGCACGTTGTGAATCACCTTTGGTTGGAGGAAAGCTATGCAAAATGGAAGATGCAACCGGTGTCTGATCCCCGCTATACTCACTTTCCTAAGCGGACGAATCTAGGCGAGGTTGTCGGTCAGACACGCCTGGATAGATCTGTGCTAGAGAGCCATTTCTTTTCTTCTTTGGAGAACACAACTCAATCATCAGACAGCCCTCGGCGAGCAATGCAGACCAAAGACCAGAATGCTGATGCCGGCAAGACATCAAGCGCTATGCAGCCACCTACAGCCCAGACCGTCGACGCTGAGACTGCGACACCGCGAGCAGCTGACAAGTCACGTAAAAATTCAGAAAACAAGAAACCACAGACGCCCGCACGTGCTCGGTTGGAGTCGGAGGGCAAAGAGAACGACACACCGTCTTCAACGAGCAGTCGCAAGTCAAAGGAAGCGGCTTTCAATCGACTCCAGGAACTCGCACCAGATATCGCCTTGTACGAGAAGGAGAAGAAGCGAGTCGGAGGTGTGATCTATGGCGGGCGAAGAAAGAGCGACGAGGACAGAGTCGTGCTGAACAACACTAAGAAACGCAGATCAGTAGAGCCACAGGAAGAAAGCGACGAAGACAATGCGACGGAGGCGAAGAGACAGAGGAAGTCGAAACCTCCTATTGCCATGCACCTCCTTATTACTGGATATCAGAAGTGGGTGGGCAACCTGAAGAAAGAGGATGCAGACAAGGTATGTTGCCAATTCATATTTAACTATATGCACCGGCCCATGTTTGGCCAAAGAGCTAACGATTATCAGCGCCAACTTCGCGATCTTGGAATCATGGTTGTGCAAGATGCACGGAGGTGCACACATCTCGCCGCCCCGTCTATACTGCGAACCCCCAAATTCGTCAATGCGCTGGCATACGGTCCTGCGATTGTGAACATTGATTTCATCACAGAGTGCCTCAAGAAGAATGAGCTTCTGAACCCTGACGACTTCCCCTTAGTGGACAAAGTGGCCGAAAAGAGGTTCGGCTTCTCTCTTGAAAAAGCGAGGGCCAAGGCGAAGAAGAACAAGAACAAGCTCCTGCAGGGCTATCAAATTTACTGTGTTGAGTCCATCCGTGGAGGATTTGAAGCGTTCAAGTCCATTGTGGATGTCAATGGAGGGACCTGCACCCTTTTCCGCGGAAGGGTCTCCTACCACTCGCAGCGGGAAGAGAGCGAAGAAGATAGCTCAGGGGAGGATGACCTCAGTCGCAAAGAGCTTTACCTTCTCAGCAGCGTAACGTCCGACCATCAGAAGCTCTGGCCACGATTTTCACAGTTGGCACAGAGCATGAGCAAGACACCACGAATCGTACGCGTGGACTGGCTTCTCGACATTGCCATGTCCCAGGAGCTGCGTACGGCTGAGGGATATGAGCTGAAGGAAGACATGGTTGACCAGGGCGACCACTAGACAGGGTGTCTGCCTGGTTTTGGTATTAGGTTTGCTGCATAGCCAAGCCTCGGGGACTTACCTTGTACATGGTTATGATGGATCAATGTCTGGATCTTTAGTTATATGGGATTTCTTCTTTGCGCACAGATTTGATGCTGCGCTCAGCAGCTCTGTGCAAATAGTTATGCAGCTCGAGAATTTGACTTTAGCGTTTCAAGACGAGGTCGGTTCAGAAAAACTTGACACCTTCCTGGCCTTCGCTGCCGAACACCTGGGCCTTGCCGCGTTTTACAAGAACGTTCAGAGACTTAAGCATCACGTCTGCATCCATCCCATGCCATTCTAGAAGATGTCAGCGACGACTTCCGAGAAGACAGAAGCCATAACCATACCTTGCGACATCGTAGCCTCTCCCTCCAGCAGCTCGTACACCGTCAAGACAACATTCTTCTGCCCTGTCGCTTCCACCTAGAACCGACCATCAGCAAGCTAGCCAACAAGCAGAGGGAAAGGAAGTACTCACCCAATCGGCCACAATCCCCGCCCACTCCTCAGGTCTCCTCCACCAAATCCAGGCCACCGACTTACTCCCCCATCGATCCATTCCGCCCGCCGTCCACCACCCCTTCCTCTTCAGGCTTAGCCATCCAGTCCAGCACGGCCCTTGCCTCACTCAGACTCAACCGTTTCCGCAGCGCAGCGTTGTGGAAGAGCGGGCTCTCAATTGCTTCAATTAGGGAGAGGCGGTAGATGCGATGATGGCGGCACCAGGATTGGATGAGCGAGGACCATTTCTGGAGCTGGGAGAGGCGGGTTGTACTGTTGGGTTGGGGGTGAAGAACGGGGGAAGGAGTAGGTTGGTGGGAATTCGAAGGTTGTTGTTGGCTGAGACTGAGACATCTTTTTGTTTCCGACCGGGAACTGGAGATATGGTTAGTATGGTTGTGGTTGTGGTTGTGGTTGTAGGAGGCTGTTGACATACTGGAGGCCGATATGGATACTGCGGGTGTGGGGTTGGTTGCGGTACGGTATGGAGGATTGCTGCTGGGATGGATGGCGAGATTATTCTATCGATGGACTGTGCATTTGCAGGAAGTCAAGAGGACAGTATGATTTCGCAAAAGGAGATATTTGACAAAACGAAGAGAGCGATTGAGCTGTGGGGTTGCTATTCGGAGGTGTAGGTCTTACTCCGCCAAGCTTCACCTCCGACATCCTGAACGGACGTCACGCTTCCGCTGAGGAAAAAAAAGTCCAAACCTCCGCCAGCACGCCTCTGGCCATTGCACGAATATTTCTCTATCAGGGATTGCAATTGCCCATCGCACTTCTAAACCCCCTTTTGTAAAGGACATTCTTCACTCGAATTCATAAATCAATCCCAGACAGAATCCAACCATGACACCACCCCGCCCAAACGCCAAAAGCGCGATGAATACCGCAAAGCTACAGCAGAGGCCGCCTCACAACCCGGCCCCAGCGACGCCGCAGAGATCAAGCTGCCCAAGAAAAAGTACTATCGTCAGCGGGCGCACGCAAATCCCTTCTCGGACCACCATCTGAAATAGTACGTCCCCACGCACATATCCACACAAACACTATTCTTCGTCGCTAATGTGTGATTACAGCCCCCTCAGCCCGGCGCATATGGACTGGTCATCGCATTACCCTGCCTTTGTGGATCCGGACCCGTCGCATACCAATCTCGCCGGGGCCCGGAAGCTCCTGAAGGATGTGGAGGTTGTGGATATCGGGTGTGGTTTTGGCGGGTTGCTCATTGGGCTTGCGCCTCTGCTGCCGGAGTCGTTGATAGTTGGTAGGATACGAGACATAGACATACATATGCGTTGAAAGAGCAGTGCTAACAGAGCATGGAAATCAGGCATGGAGATCCGCGTCTCGGTCCTTGAATACGTGACGACGCGCATCCAAGCCCTCCGGGCCCAGCAGCATAAGCTCAGGGCTGCAACTGCAACTGCCACAGGAGCAGCGTCGGAAACTCCGTCTCAGCAGCAAGTTCAGATAGATGGGAAACAAGCAAACGCAAACGCAGCGGCGGAGGCAGCGTCGCCCTCCCCCTCCACCGACACCGAGCACGCCCCTACCACTCTCGTCCCGGGCTCCTACGAAAACATCTCCGCAATCCGCAGCAACACCATGAAATTCTTCCCTAATTTCTTCGCCCGCCATCAGCTTTCCAAGATCTTCATTTGCTTTCCGGACCCGCACTTTAAGGCCCGCAAGCACAAGGCCCGGATTATCTCCGAGACGCTGAATGCCGAGTATGCCTACGCTTTGCGGCCGGGTGGGTTTTTGTACACGATCACCGATGTGGAGGAGTATCATCATTGGATTCTGAGGCATTTTGGGGTGGAAGCTGGTGATGAGGAGGGGACGGGGAGAACAGCGGGGGTGCGAATGTTGGGGTGAGGGAACTCTTTGAGCGGGTTTCGGAGGAGGAGCTGGAGAAGGACGAGTGTGTGCGGGTTATGAAGGAGGCCACCGAGGAAGGGAAGAAGGTGGCTCGGAATAAGGGGAATAAATACGTGGCTGTCTTTCGGCGTAAGGCGGATCCTGAATGGCCTGCATGACTCATTTGTTATTGAGCATAAACCAAGCGACCGTGGAATGCAGAATGAGTGATGGATTGAAAAATGCTATTCTGTAAAGGATGCTGCCTGTCGAACTCCATAGTATGATTCAAACCAAAAAAAAGAAAACAGTCTTACAGCACCCGCTGCATGCATAATCATACCATATCGCCGTAAATCCCGCTTGCTTGCATATGCAGTCATTTCGAAAACAGTCGGCAAAATCTGAGAAGATCAAACAAAAATGCAGAGTCCTAGATCGTAATCTTGCATGGCAGCGCGACAACATTTCACTTGCTGACACTGCGGATGGAAGAAGCGAGGCTTGTGGTGCGCAGCCTAGGTTGAGTATCATCACTTGGGTGATGCCTTCAGTCGGATGCTCTCGCATCGCTCACATACAGCCAACTGGACCGGACCCCAATGATCCGGCCTTTAGATGTTCGCTTGGGCTCGCCCTCTCGCACGAAATACCGGCCATCGGGACCGAAACCGTCGCCGCACTCGTGACAGACGAAGCATTCACTGTGCCATTGGCCCCCGACGGCGCTGACCACAACATCCTCCAGGACAGGCTTCTTGCAGCCCAGGCATCGAGGAGCGGTGCGCCGAGAATGGCATTGAAGGCACCACGCGAACCCGTCCTTTTCCACAAAAGGAGTGTTCGAGTCGAAGGGCTATAACAATATTAGTGGGGTTTGCTTACAGTGTTGGACAAGGTCAGAACGTACATCACCACATTCGGCACAGAAAAAATGACCAACATGCCACTCAGCCCCGCATGCCACCACAATCTCGCCTTCAATCGGGGTCTTGCAGCTCTTGCACCTGGGGCTGAACTTCTCATGGAAATCCAGATGGCAGTAGAAGCGCAACATACGTGCCTCCTCGTCGTCACTTGGCGCCCCCGCCAATCGCTCATTGCGCTTGGCCTCGGGCTCCTGATAAAAGGCCACACATTCTAAGGGAGTATGGCAATGATGGCACACGAAGCACTCTGGGTGAAAGCGAGCCCCCGCCGCTGTGACGATCTTCCCTGCAATGGGAAGCGAGCAGGACTCACATTTCGCTGTTGGTACTCCCGAACGCGTATACGTTGATAACCAGGGCTTTTGTGAAAACTGCGCAGATTTCTGAGGAGATGATTGCGGGCGGTGCTTTGTGCTCACTGGATCTGGCAGAGGCCTAGTACTTCCTCTTTCCTTCTGGGATGATGCTGCTGCCATCTCCGAAATGGCGGGCTCCTTCTCGTCCGGAACATTGATAACCGGTATCGCCGGCGGCTCGGACACTTCAATAGTAGGGGCAGCAGACTGCGGTGGTAGTGTTGGGGAGGCCGAATCCTGCCTCAGGCTGTCACGCTTTTGCGGTGACGGGCCTCAGTGGGCTTCCAAGTCGGGTCGAAGCTCACGATCGGCCGGCCAACGCGATTACTTACGGCTGTGGGCATAGGCAGCTTTGTGCTTCGATCTTTGAGCTTCTTACTTGTAGCCGCCCTGATTTCTTCGCTGCGAATCTCAAGGCCATTCTTCGTGGGAACGGCCTGGACAGCCTGCTCTTTGTCGGCATCCTCATCCGGGGCTGTTTGCGGGAGCGGGTCGTTCGTCGTATAGTCCGGATTTCTCGATTGCGTTGAATGTTGCTTATGTAGCTCGAACCGCGCCAACTTGTCAACGAACGGAAGACTGCTTAGTCTCCCCGGAAGGGGTCGAGAGCCTCGCGGTAGGGCATTGCGCGGCTTTGATCTGAGAGCTGATGAGTCGGATCTGGAAAATTCCGGTCGCTCATCCTCCTCGGGGCCACGAGTGTCTTTGGGTTCCTCATAGATCGAGTCTCGAGGATTTCGAAAAATCCCTCTCGATGACTCGCTACCGAATCTCGAGAGACAAGAGTTCCCGCCACGTCTAGATTTCGAGGGCGATTCCTCGGCGGGCAACGCAAAATCGACTCTGACATGCTTCCGCGGCGACGAGGACTTTGTAGGGCTGCTTGCCGAGTCCTCCACCACATGCTGGCGTTGTCTGTCATACTTTAGACCTAAACCTGTCCCCCCAGCATCAGCACAATGGCTGTCAGAAGAGCTTTCTGAGGTCGATCGATGATTATTCATGGGCCCGCCAATTGTATCAATTTGGCTGTGAGAGCGGCCGGCGTTCTTTGGCGTCTCGGATGATCTGTCCAGGTCCGGGTTATGGTACGGCGCATATGGGTTTTTGTAGGGCACACCGGGGTTTTGATGCATCCAGACTAGCTCCGTGGCTTCGTCTTGTGCAGCCTGATGGAGGCGGATCTCATCGTGCAAGTCCAATTCCTGCAACGCATCCCGCAAGGAGCGTGCTTCTTCCTTCTCTACCCGCCGCTGACCACTTTCACGATAAACAGCACTGGGAGATGGAGGCGAGGGGCGCGAGAAAACATGCGACGGTGAAACATTCTTGCGTATCGGCACCATTCTTGGTTCCTGTACTAATGGGCGCCCAGCTGAGCTCCCCAAGGAGACGTGGGGTTCGAATGGGCGATGGGTAGACAGAGAGCTGCTGGCTCGAGGTCGCTCTCTCTCGGGCGAAGTAGGCTGGGCGCTGGGGTGTCCATACATTGACATTGACGACGACGCTCGAGGAGGGAGGGTCTCTCGAGGGGTTGAACCTGATCCGGTTACTCTTGATGGAATGGGTCTAGATCCACTCGGGCGGACTGGTCGATTCGTTCGCAAGTCTTTCAGATAGTTGGCTGAAGATTAAGTCACATTATTAGCTCCAAAAGGTGATTAACGGTGCCAACTCCAAAGGTGTCAATCTGTCAAAAACCGCGACAATTTCCAAGAATGTCATGAGTCAGCGAGCAATGCAAACTCACCGAACTGATCGCTGGACATATAAGTCGGACGCGGGGGGTAACCTTCCGCTGGCCATCCTTGGCCTTAGCATGGCCGGGAAGATGAGGTATATGCGTCATCTTGGGCTAGCTTCTTGGGATGTGAAGAAGTCTAAGATCACAGTAGGGACTCAATGGAGATGGAGACTCTCTCTGATGGGTTGTACTCTCAGGTCGGAGCTAAGTAGATAAGGTACCTATGGAGTCACGTCAGAGCCAATAGGCTCACAGACGGTGGCTGGAATGACAGGGATGGAATCAACTAGAGAGATCTTTTAGGTTGGCTAAAGTTATGAAGAGTTAGATTAGAATATGCTTAGATTTGGACTGTTCAAGTAGATTTAAGAGGTATGTGTAATTCATGCAGGGAATCCAGTGATACTCGACTCTAGGCTTATTGTTATTATTTGCTACCTTATCATATCCTCCCCTCATCCTGGACGATGGAAGAAGCTATGACCACCACAACAACAAAGATGCAAACACGTCAAACTTCCCGTCGCGAGGCAACGCGGGGTTGTGCTTATGTCAGCTGCTGACACCTCAGGCCTCTAACCCTGAACAGGTCTAGTGCGTTTCGGACATTTGTCCTTCTCGGGGATCACTATGTAGTACTTTGTTACGTAGCAGGGTACACTGCATAAATAGTCCCGAGGATGAAAGATGTATGGAATGGACATGGCTATGACTGGCGACGGCAGACAGTGAAGGAAATGTTTGCCTATAGAGTACAGTTGTCCGCGTGAAACTCATGCTTAAACCAGGTTTCCTTGCATTCAGATCCATCTTCCCCAGAATCTCGCCCCAGTTAGAAAGGTACTCCAGTCTCCACGGGTTCAATCTCCAACTTCAACTTCCAATCTCCAGAAAGAAAAAGACTATCCACAAAGTATCTACGGGACTCCAGAGAATCCACGTCTCCGCACCGGTTAACCGGCACGGTAACTGCTGGTTGGTCCTTGATGCCGTCTTCCAATGACTGCGCTTGGATAGTCGGATAGATCGCCGAAACCGTATGGCCAAGGAAACCGAGCCGTCCTTAGAAAGCGTCACATCCATGACAGACCACCTATTTTTCCCCTTCTCACCGCAAGAGATAGACTAGACTAAATATATTGTCTCTGCTTATGGCTCTCTCCCTAAAATCGGTCATGCTGTTCCAGATCACCTCTGGTTCTCTCTTCCTGGAACTACACATGGGGTCCAAGTTCGGATTCTACTTGCGGTGCTCCTAATGTGTACGATCAGCTCGTGGTGACAAGCATATGACTCAAGTCGTACTGCCTTTTGCGTAGAATCGACCTCCAAGTTGCAATGGCAGATAATCCACCGATCGATATTACTCGTTCAAGAGATCATGACCGAGATGCGGCGGCTGGGGGCCCTCTATACCAACGAAATCATGGGCAGGGTTCGGATGATTCAACATCAGTAGCAGAACCGGACCACAATAAGCCCCAAGATGTACCTGATGGCGGTTATGGATGGGTCTGTGTCGCTTGTGTATTCTGGATCAATGCGCACACTTGGGGCATCAACAGTGTAAGTACGATGTCTAGCTGCTATCTCTGCCAGACGGAATGGGGACTAATCGTTTCTATGTAGAGCTACGGGGTCTTCCTTTCTTATTATCTCTCACACGATGTCTTTCCCAACACTAGTGCGCTGTCGTACGCCTTCACTGGAGGTCTGAGTATCTCCTGCGCTCTCCTCGTTGCCCCTCTGGCCACACATCTGATCCACCTCTTCGGAACGCGGTTCGTCCTCAACCTAGGCGTCTTCTTCGAAACCCTATCCTTGATTGGATCCTCCTTTGCCACGCAGAAGTGGCACATCTTCCTCAGTCAGGGCGTCTGTTTCGGATGGGGAATGGGTTTTCTGTTCGTTGGCAGCGTGGGGATCACTCCACAGTGGTTCCAACGGCGAAGAAGCCTTGCAATGGGTATCAACGCCGCCGGTTCGGGACTGGGAGGTCTGATCTGGTCTCTAGCGGTAGGTGCCATGATCCCCCGTCTCGGTCTAGGCTGGACATTCCGGGTCCTCGGCATCATCGCCTGCGTGGTCAACCTGGTCTGCGCCAATCTCCTCCGAGACCGCAACAAAGCCGTCGGCAGCCGCTTCAAAGCCTTCCACCTGCCTCTGCTGAAACGGCCCGAGTTCCTCCTCTTCCTCGGCTGGGGCATCCTAACCATGCTCGGCTACGTCGCGCTTCTCTTCAGTATCGCCAACTTCGCCCTTTCCGTCGGCCTCTCCCCGCACCAGGGCAGCATCGTCAGCGCCTTGCTCAACCTCGGCCAAGGCCTCGGCCGCCCCTTCGTAGGCATGTTCAGCGACAAGTTCGGCCGCATCAACATCGCCACGTTCCTCTCCTTCCTCTGCGGCCTCTTCTGCCTCGTGATCTGGATCTTCGCCCGCAGCATGGGTCTCGTTTCCTTCTTCGCCGTCCTCGTCGGCACCGTCGCAGGCACTTACTGGGCTACCTCTACCCCGGTCGCGGCCGAGATCCTTGGGCTCCGCGACCTCCCCAGCGGCCTCAGCATTACCTGGCTGACACTCGTGCCGCCGACGACGGTCTCGGAGGCGGTCGCCCTATTGCTGCGTGACAGCAAATCCGCAGATTCGAAGTATCTGAGGGTGCAGATCTTCACGGGCTTCATGTATATCGGCAGTGCGCTGTGTCTTTGGCTTGTCCGGGGTTGGAAAGTAGGGGATTTGGCTCGCGCCAAGGCAGAAGCTGTCGCTGCGGTGGACACCCGACATACAGGTGATAGTGCGGCTGGGAATGTGCCTTCTGCCGATCCAGCCAAGGACGCTGAACCTGAGGAACATGGTCAAACGGTTGACCCTGCGTTCTCCGTGCGCACGACGTCGAATTTGAACCCCTGGACGCCGTCGACCTTGTTACGTGGTATGGTGGCTCTGAAGCAAGTATGATAAGAGATGCGCAATATCCTTGTTGTTGCCGGGGTTTGTTTGAGTCCACATTATGATACCCTACAATTTGTCCATATTGCATCACATTACTCTAAGCTTGGAAGATTATAGATTTAGTGATCAAGCAATCCTCGCAAATGCATGTTCGTACCGCTGAACGCCAGTAACCCTATGTCTATGCTTTACATCCGATATCGTAGTATGGTAAGTTTCAAAACTTTTAGTTCCCGGCCCCCAGGATCAGTATCCGCACCCGCCTCTTTCCAGCTCCACGGCCTCCTTCTTCCTTCACCGAGCTGACATTCACCTTGACTCGCTGGAAGAGCTCGACGGTAACGCCACGTTCCTTCTCAGGATGTCCCTTCTCGGAAACACGGAGTGTATACTCCTCGCCGTCGAAATCGCTTTCACGTCGCACCAGCAACTCCCGTCTTTCCTCGACGGACCGGACTGCCGACTCGCCGGGAAGTACGAAATCTTCCAGGCGGACAACGCCCTCAATTCCAAAGCGGGGGACGAAGACAACCACGCCGTTCTCAAAGACACGCATAACGTATCCTTCTTCCTCGATACCCGCATCGACGCCATCGGCGACCATCTTCTCCCCACGAGCCTTGAGCGCCTGTCCAACGTAGTACTCGATGCTAGCACGGCCGGCGAACTGGGCATTCCGATGCCGGTAGTTGATATTGCGGCAGATGTCCTCGAGCCTGTTGCGTGTCATGACACCTTCAACCTGCGCCCGGCCGTCTTCGCCTTCGTATCCAATCGCGGCTGCGAGCTGTCGGTGGACGAGCAAATCCGCATATCGTCTGATAGGAGAGGTAAAATGTGTGTAGATGGGAGATGCCAGACCGTAATGGCGGAATTCAGACTCGGCATGTGCACCAGCACAGAAGTATTCGGCGGATGTCATACACCTGGTAGCAAGGATACGGACCAGAGTGTTAAAGAATGGGTTCTCTGCATCGACGCATCGGTCAAGGGAGTCAGCGAGGGCCCGTGAGCTCGACACATCGAGTTCCAGATTGCGTTTCTTCGAGAGCTGGTTGATGAGCTCCTCAAAGTTCTGTGGCGGAGGAGTGGCGTGCCGACGTAGTAAAGCAGTCTGGGAAAAGCTATCGTAGATTTTGGCCGCGACAGTAATGTTGGCGTGAAGCATGAATTCTTCCACAAGACTGTTGGTTGCAAGCATGGCCTTCGTCTTGACGTCCGTGAGCGGGTCGCCAACTTCGTCACTGTCTGTTTCGATTCGAACTTCCGGTGACGCAAGATTCAGCGCTCCTGCATCCATTCGTTTCTGACGGAGAATTTTCGACAGATGGAGTAGCGTGCGCATGCTCTGAGTCAGCTCATCATTTTGCGACGGGTCGTCGATGCGCATTTGTGCCTGTTCGTAGCTGAAAGCCTCTCGCGAGCGAATAACAGACTTGGTGAATTCAGCAGACACTACTTCAGCGTTCGGAGTCATCTCCCAGAGGACGGAGAAGGCGTAGCGCTCGACGTATGGCTTGAGGGAGCAGAGATCCGTGCCGAGAAGATGCGGGAGCATGTCAATACGCTTGTCGACAAGGTAGACAGTCGTTCCACGGACGCTAGCCTCCAGATCCATGGCATTGTTTGGTTTGACGAAATGTGAGACGTCCGCAATATGAACACCAACTTCAAAATTACCGTTAGGCAATGGCCGCGCGTGGAGGGCGTCATCAATATCTTGGCATCCAGGAGGATCAATACTGCAGACCAGAATATCCCTCAGATCTCTTCGTCCTTTCCAACCCACATGTTCCTTGTTGGCAGGAACTCTCCAGCCGTGTCCTTCTGCCGGAAGGCAATCCAGAACTGCTTTGGGGAATGGTTTGTACTGCACGTCATACTCAAGAAGTAGGGCTTCCGTCTCTGCACCTTTGGTCTCTAATTCTCCTAGAGAACGAATGAAATGTCCAGTAGGATACCGAGAATCGCGATCCCAGGCGTCAATCGTGACCAAAATCCGCTGGCCCAACAGGTCGTTAGCCTGCCGAGTGCGGACCCGGATCTTTGGAATACGTTTATCCATGGGTAAGACAAAGACGTTCTGTTGCCGCCGTCCAGAGCTGGCTGACGCCCCCGTCGAACCTTGATCAACATGTCCGACGTACTGGCGCCAGTTCCGCTTGATGACACCCACAACCTTCGCTGTGGGTTGCGGCCTTCCTTCGGAGTTCTTGCCATGCGCCTTTTTGACCTCTTCCTGCAGAGCCTTCCGCTCCTTTTCTGTTACTACCTCTTCATTATCTTCCGCCTCAGGATTGTCGTTCCGCGTGACTGCTTCTTCGTCGACGAGCTTCGTGGATGGTGACTTCCATTGATCCTTCGGTAAGACCTCAATAACAACAACGTCCCCTGCAATAGCACGGTTGCTATTATCACGACCCAGGATGAGGAGTGGCTTATCGAAAGCTGCGACATTCACAGACCCTTCCAAGTAGTTGTACGGGGAGACATTGAAAACGCCCTGATGCAGTGTGCCAGCTCTCAGTCCGGTCATAATTCTCGACATCGAGTAATATTCGGGATAAAAAAGCTCGCCACGAGCCCCCTTTGCGTCTCTTGCTTCCCTCGCCTCGCTGATCATATCAAGTAGCCTGTCGGCGTCCTCCAGGCCAGAGACGTAGTCGGACAGCGACAGCGCTGTCACACCTTCGTCCTTTGCCTTGCGCAGATTTTCCTTGTCATCCGTGATAACGACAATTGCCGGTACCGACTTCTCCTTCTTGCCCTTCTTCAGCGTGCTGCGAAGGTGCTCAGAGTACCATTTTGCCACTGCCCGTACTGCGCGATCATTTCTGTCATTGATGGACTCATTCTGACCTCTTCTTACGTGCGTTTCCAATCTGAACTCATTGAAGAACAGATAAAACCGTTTTTCGTCCGTCTTAATTAAAGAAAGCAAGCGGTTGTAGAGCGGCAGCGACTGGTTCTTGAGCTCCTCGAGGACCGTCTGAAGGACGATAACGTCGTAGAAAGCTCCCGTATGTTCGAAGAGATCCATACCGTTCAGCAACGCGTTTGTATCAGGGACGAGGTAGTGACCGCGCGGGAAAGCGCTCGTGCCAGCGGGTTGCTCTGAGAGGACGAAAGGCGCAACTATCCCATATTAGCAATCAGCCTCACGCATACGCCTGGGACTCCAACTTACTGTTCCCATTCGCATCCGCTGGTGCAATTGTAGGACATAGAGAACACAACTTGGACGAGCAAGGAATATCCTGCCTCAGGTAAAGCTCACGTACGATCTTCTGCACCTTTCCACTTTTCGTGGACCTGACGAAGATTTTGCTGGTGACATTGGCGGCCTGCGGATCAGAGGAGAACTCCCTCCGAAGGCTCTTCATATTTCGTGAAAAGTGATCTGATTCCCGTCAGATCTGGTTTTGCACAAAACACTGTGTATTTCCGAGCCGCAGTGCAGTGATTGACGTTTGTCGTTGAATCTCAGTCGGCGGAGCTTGGCGGTTTTAGGTAAGCCCCTCTCATATCGCTATCATACCGTTATCGGTCCTCAGTATCAAGCTTGGCAGTCACCATCCTACAACCCATTATTCGTTGTTCCTGAATCCTACATAGACATTTTTCTACCTTATCTGAAAGGAATCATAGATCAGCCAGTAATATAACAATGGCTATTGCAGTAAGAGCCGAATAACTCCCCAGCTTCAGCTGAAAGCCATCTTACTAATCAGGACCACAACAGGCAGTCGGGCAACTCTGCTCGACAGCGAGTATGACTTCGAACCTGGCTCAGTGTCAGGTTCTCGTGCGCAAAGCTGTGGCATCTGGTGCTAAAGTACAGTACACTTTACCTCCTCTCCCACAGGAGCTTAGGTACTCATGAGACCTTGATTGCTTAATGCTGAACAGGCATTATTCCTACCAGAGGCATCAGACTACATTGCCTCTTCGCCAGCTGAGAGCATATCACTTGTGCGATCCGTGCAGGACAGCGTGTTTGTGCAGGGACTCCAGCGTGAAGCCCGGCAGGCAAGCCTGCATATCAACGTTGGCATCCATGAACTGGCGCCGAACGGCAAAGTCAAGAATACTCTGATCTGGATTGATGATAAGGGTACGATTACTCAACGCTACCAGAAGATTCATCTGTTCGATGTTGAAATCGAGGACGGTCCGGTCCTCAAAGAGAGCGCGTAAGTAGATCCTAAGTAGAAAGCATACATACACGACTCACTTTTGCGGGAACAAGGAGCGTTGAAAAGGGTATGGAAATTCTGCCGCCATTCGACACTCCTCTAGGACGCGTTGGTCTATCGATTTGCTTTGATGTGAGTCTAGTGGCCCAAATTCCAACCTCTGATGGAGAAGAGCTCTTAATCTTACATGCTACTTTAAGCTGCGCTTCCCTGAAATCAGTCTAGCCTTGAAGCGTCAGAATGCGCAGATCGTCACGTATCCGTCGGCTTTTACGGTTCCAACAGGACAGGCGCATTGGGAAACGTTGCTCCGAGCAAGAGCTATCGAGACACAGGCGTATGTAGTGGCTGCGGCTCAAGCTGGTCCGCACAATGAGAAGCGGAGAAGCTATGGCCATTCGATGATCGTTAATCCTTGGGGAGAGATTGTGGCGAAACTCGAAGACGAATATCGGGAACCAGCAGTCGCTACCGCGGAGATTGACCTCAACCTCTTGGAGAAGGTCAGGAGAGAGATGCCCTTAATAAGGAGAACTGACATATACCCAGAGGTATAGCACCTGATTTAATTGCCAAGACATATCCAACCTAAGCCCCGTAGATCTTGCTACGTAATGCTCGTCTCAGGTCGTCTTTAAAGGCAATCGACAACCATTGCTCTACCAGGCCCAACGTCTTCCCCTTTTGAAAGATTTCTTGAGTGACTTCATTTGAGACTTTCAAAAATACAACGACGACATAAATCCCTCTGCGTGGAACAAGAGAATTGAAGGAACGAACAAAGACTTTGAAAAAGCAAGTCGTCTAAGTTGGGCTCATACGCCGTATGTATCACAGACCAGGCTTGTGGTAAGGCGCCTTTCATAGCCGATCACTCTATGTACAGTGTACAAGGAAAATCGGGGAATAATGCGATCACTTCTGCTGAACCTTGTCAGGGTCCTCCAGGATGCCCTCGGCCTCCAGCCTTCGTCGGGCCTCCTCCAAAGCCCACGTTTGTATCCTAGAAGACAATCAGTACCTATGTTCCCAGATAGCACAAGCCGATATGGTACAGCCGCTCATAAGGGAATGGCCTCCCATAAATGGCTGGACGTGGTTATGAAACGTACGAGGTATCAGGCTTGAAAATGTATGCAACACCAGCAGCGAGCAAACTGCCAATAAATCCGTAGTACCAAATGTTCTCCCATCCTTCCTTCACGTATTTCTGACCTGGCTTGACGCCGAAGAGCCATCCGGTGGGAGGGTCATAGTGATTACCGTGGTCAGCGGCGCGGAGAGTGTTCCGGGTCGAGAAGCCCCTAGTGTTCTGAGGTCCGCGGAGAAGGCAGCGAGCACGGAGGGCTTGCGACAAAGGGCGAGCAGACATTGTGATTATTGTGAAGGAATCTGGGCAATGTTCCTTTGAAGAGCCGGTTGATAGTCGGAAGGCGACGCTAGGTAGAGGAGCCCCTGCCAAATATAGTAAGGAGGTACTTCGGGGGTTCTGTAAAGAATGATGTAGACTGGTGCAGTCGCCCTGAGTTCAATTGGACGATAGCTCGATTCGCAGCTGTTGATGAGGCTGCGGTATGTGGAGGGGCGCTTGGTGTCCAGTGGTTGATGTTCGTGAGGCCGCAAAAGGCCGATGGAGGCGGGAGCTTGGAGTCACCACGCTAGTCCCTATTGAGGCAATCTAGACGCCGCCTTTCTGCCTGACATTACAGGCACCAGTATACACCTCAGGCAGGAGCCATCAACGCGCGACGCGTCTCGATTACCCTAATTCCTCAAGGCAATCATTGTACTACATCGAGACAATCACCAGCCATGGTCTGGATGGATATTATACTTGGACTTCTCCTTTGATCAGGAAACAACACTCCTCTCTCCAACGTCCTACCTCGATGGTAGATACCACATTCTACTCAGTTGCTACAGCTCGCTTCAATCTGTATAGTTCTTGAATTTCCAGGCAGACATGAACCGATGTGCTACAGAAGGCTGAAATCTCCAACAATTCTTGAGCCATGGCTGGAAACTCGGAGTCCTACCCGATATCCTCGAATTCACGTTCCAAGTTGAATGCCTTCCGGTTCAACAATCAACATACGAACAATGGAGGAAAGTCGCCTGCGAAGTCGCCATTAAAGGCAGGTCACGATGACAAAGAAAACCAAACTTCATGGTTGAACGGAGTGGTCAAACCACTGCAATCAGAACCAGGAAAAGAAGAGCCTTCTGGCGAAGCGAACGAGCCGAAACCAGTCAAAGAGTGTCCTCAGACGCCAGGGAACAGGATACCCCTGGCAGACCTCATTAGCAATGCAGAAGATGCATTCAACCGAGCACCAGGACAAGAATACACGCCGGAAGATCATGTTATCTGGCAGCATGTACCTGCGAGCTCCAACCCGGACACACTCTCTCAACCTTCCGCAACGAGAAAGAAACGGCGTCACAGCTCATCCCCGACCAGCTCTCCACTAGGTGGAAGCAAGAAGGGTGAACGGAAACGGTCCTTTGATATGCAATCCTTCCAAGCGCTCCTCAAAACACCGCAGAACGATCTCGCAACAGACCTGTGGAACAATTACCTGGGCAAGGCTTCGATCAATCCAGAGGACAGCTTCCCTCCTCCTCGCCTAGCTAACCTTCTCTCCTCTTCACCCCAAACTCCTGCCACGACCGGCACCAGTAGGGATTCTTCTGGTTTGAGGAGGTCAGTTAGTTGCAATGCGGAATGGCCCACATCTAAAGCAAAACGGAGAAGATTGAATGGACAAGAGTTTGGTAGTGGGCGCAACATTTTCTCTCGGTCTAAGAGTAATGTACTGGAGTCCGCAAATACGAAATCTTCCAGACTCAACTTCTTGTTGGAGAAGATTGAGAGAAGCTTGCAGAAGCCCTCTGTCGCTCCAGCAGAAATGTCGGATTCTTCACCCGTGCCGAAGCGCAAGCAAGTGCGATGGAGCCGATCGAATTCTCCTATCGAGAGAAAGGCCGCCGCGCAAATTTCAGAGCAAGGCATTGAGTATGACGACGGGGTTGCTCACCCACTTGTACAACCAAACGAAGCCGAAGGCGTAGGAGCTTCTTCATCTGATTTCGGTGATGATGACTTGGACGAGGACTTTCTCACCTTGGCCGAAACGTCTGAGGACCCATTCCTTGAACCAACCCGGCCCAACAACTATACGAATCCAATGAACGCCGAAGCCCCTGTCGAATCTACTATGGAGCAGCCTCGACGTCAACTTAGTACTTTGGGGGACTCGGACCATAATGCAGGAGCTCCTGGTTCGGGCAACAGGAAGCTCAGTGTCGACAAAGCTGTGAACAGTGACGAATTCGACGATGACTTCGACGATATAGAGGATCTTCTTGCCGAATGCGATGGAACAGCAGGCTTGACTCCTCCAGGACCAACAGCGTCAGCGAAGCTGTTGGCTAACGAACAACCTTGCATAAAACAGAATACGAAACGACCATCTGAAACAGACGGATTTAACGGCACTTCCACGAGGAGTTTGGAAATATCCTCTGCTGACGAGTTTGATGATGACGACTTTGACGTGGAGGCTATCGAGCAGTCTATGGAGCCAGGTAGAAATGGACCAGTCAACGTTTGTCGCTCTTAGTTGGTACTTTCCATAGGATTTTGCTAAATACATAAGAGCTAGAACTCTACAGACCGGCAAGCTATCAAACGATATTTGATTGTTGATATTGCAGAGAATACGTATATCACTAAAAATGGTCGCACTCAGCCAGAGCAGGTTTGTCGTACCAAACTCATCAGATATGCCGTTGCTGGCTAACAAATCGGACAGGTGCTGTTGGTTCAGGATGAAAGAACTAAAATCAAAAAGGCAGTAATCTTGAGAGAGTCTTGGTTTGACAGCCCATGCAGTAAGGGCGCATATATTCACCTGACCGGCAATTTCGATGCAGCAGGGCAATGTATTGTCGATGATGCTCATAACATGATTATACTTCATCCAGACCACCTAATATCTGCGACCGTTGTCGCAGACTCGATCACTTGCCAGCGAAGAGCAGTTCTCCAGGACCGTATCAAGAATTCAAGCGACATTAGCAAGCCTCAAGTGTTTGGAAATATCTTTCATGAGCTCTTTCAAGAAGCTATGAAAGTCAACAAATGGGATCTGAGCTCTTTGAGGGCTTTAGTGGAAGCTATTCTTGTCAGACATGTTGAAGACTTATACTTGATCCAAATGAGCATTCCGGAAGCCGTCGAGTACATGATGAGCAGAGTCCCAGCTCTGAAAGCCTGGGCAGAGGTCTTTCTTCGGACCACTCCGAGTGTAAGCGTACCCTGCAGGAGTTGGGATGCTTTGGTGATTAATAGCGCTTCCAGGCTAAATCCGTCGTTGAAGACCGGCATAGTTCCAAGGTCAATCTGAGCATCAATAAGCTGCTTGAGGTGGAGGAGCACATATGGTCTCCGATGTATGGGCTCAAGGGCAATATTGACGCTACAGTCCAAGTTGCATGCAATGACGGCGAGGGCAACAAAAATCTGGTTGTCCCTCTGGAGCTCAAGACGGGCAACAGAGATACAAATCAGGCACACAGGGCTCAGACTGCCCTTTATACCTTGCTGCTTTCTGATCGCTACGGTAAGCTTTTGGACCACAATTATGCTCCGGACCTTGTCTCACTGATTCTACGTTTCAAGACGTCGATGTAACCTTCGGTCTGCTCTACTATCTTGAGATATCGAAGATATTCCGCATCCGTGGTGTCAGACATGAGCTCTTGCAAATGATCCAGGAACGTAACCGCCTGGCGGGTTTTGTCCGTGAAAGACACCAACTTCCACCGATGGTGAGGAAACCGGGCATGTGCAACAGATGTTACTCAAAGACGCCTTGCTTGATCTATCATAAGCTTGCGGACGACGGAGATGGCGAAACTAGCGGACTTGGCGATGAATTCGTCAAGGCTATGGACTATTTGACGCCCCAGCATCGACACTTTTTTAAGAAATGGGACGATTTGCTGACGAAGGAGGAACAGAGCATGGTGCGATTCAAGCGCGAACTCTGGACCTTGTTGAGCAGTGAGCGAGAGGCTCTCGGGCGTTGCTTCGGGAATGTCGTGATTCAACCGGGGTCCGCATACGAGGACAAAGAGAGCACCAAGATTAATCGCTTCAGATATACATTTGCCAAGAAGCATCCTTTGCCTTCGTTCTCCTTCACTGAATCGCAGCTGACAGTGGGAGAGCCGATCGTTGTATCCGATGAGAAAGGTCACTTTGCGCTCGCCAACGGATACGTTGTGCAAGTCAGCCCAAAGCATATAATGGTCGCAGTCGATCGGAGATTGCACAATGCAAGAACAAAGATGAAGGGATTTGATGCTAACAAGAATCAATCATTCCGCGGCATCATGGAAGTGCTGGAAGATAGCTCCTTCCCTTCAACTACTTCTAACGAACCGGAGGAGGAGATTCTTTACAGGCTGGATAAGGACGAATTCAGCAACGGGATGGCGATCGTTCGAAACAATCTCATTTCCATGATGGAAAAGGACCTATTTCAAGCGAATCGGCTCAGAAAACTCATCATTGAGGGAGAAACACCCATTTTCAAGCCGTCACCATCAGCTTTTCCGTTGTCTGACTCCGCCAAAGCAAGCCTAAATGTCGATCAGAAAAGAGCCATAGACAAGGTCATGAGTGCGCGAGATTATGCGCTAGTGCTTGGTATGCCCGGCACAGGAAAGACGACAACCATTGCCCACATCATTCGAGCATTGGTGGCGCAAGGAAAGAGTGTTCTCCTGACCTCGTACACGCACACCGCTGTCGATAATATCCTACTAAAGATCCGAGACGACAATTTCCGCATTCTGCGGATAGGAGCTACTGCAAAGGTGCATCCTGAAGTACAGCAATTTGTCGATCTTGCGGCAGTCCCTAAATCCACCGTCGAAGAGCTGAAAACATCCTATGAAGAGTCACAAGTAGTCGCGACGACTTGTCTTGGGGTCAACCACAATATCTTCAATAGACGCATATTCGACTATTGCATTGTCGACGAGGCTTCGCAAATCACTCTTCCGGTATGCTTAGGGCCGATCCGAATGGCGCGCACATTCATTCTCGTTGGGGACCATTACCAATTGCCACCCTTGGTGCAAAACAAGGAAGCCCAAGAGGGAGGACTCGATATCAGTCTGTTCAAGCTCCTTTCCGACGCACATCCTGAGTCGGTGGTCAATCTTGAACACCAATATCGCATGTGCGAGGATATTATGGTCCTTTCCAACAATCTTATCTACTCGGGACGTCTGAAATGTGGAACTCCTGCAGTTGCATCGCGCTCCTTAGATCTGCCCAACATTGGCGGTCTCAAGTTGCATCATATCAACCAACTACCGCAGTCACCAGATCAACGGCAATTTTGTTTGGGGACAAAGCAAGGCCGCTGCTGGCTACGAGACGTGCTTGATCCGTCTGCAAAGAACCGTTTTATCAACACAGACACGCTTGCGATCCCAGCCCGAGATGTGGCAAACGGCGCCAGGATTGTAAATCCAACTGAGTCTTCTATTTGCGCACAGCTCGTAGAGTCATTGGTTTCGTGCGGCATCCCAGCACGTAACATTGGCGTTATCACATTCTACCGCAGCCAGCTCTCCCTGTTGAAGCAGAATCTTCGTCGATACCAACCCGAGCTTGAAATGCATACAGCCGACAAATTCCAAGGCCGAGATAAGGAAGTCGTGATACTAAGCTGTGTTCGGAGTAACGCCGACAATAATGTTGGCGATCTTCTCCGAGACTGGAGACGGATCAACGTCGCCTTTACGCGCGCGCGGACAAAGCTGCTCGTTATTGGAAGCAAGAGCACTCTGCGAGACGGCAACGATATACTCCGCAAATACATAAGCATGGTGGAAGAACGAAGATGGGTATATGACTTGCCCAAAGGTGCTTTGGAAAGCCACATCTTCGACTGCGACGTGAGCTTTACTCCATCACTCGATGCAGATGAATCATCATCCAAGGGGAGCAGAAGTCCCCCAAAGACCTCTCCTTCGCGAAAGGCATCTCGCAATCCTCTCGGCCCCATACAGGGCCAACAAACGCATAGAGGCCTCAAGAAACCCGCTAAGAAAGGGGCCAAGCTTCTAAGCGGGGATAAGGTCATCGGGAATAGACCTGTGTTACAGGACGTGGTAAATGAACTCTTTGGATAATGACTCTCGGAGTTGGTCCGCATTTGGATAATTCTTCCTTGTTGTTGCTTCAACCGCTCGTGAGTTTTGTATAACTGTTTTACCTTGGTTGACTATCTTCTTTCACTGGGTTGGGGCGATGACCGGATCTGATGGAGGTTTCTGATTCTTGCAGGTTTTCTTTTGGATAATACCACAACCTTGACTTAAATGATAGCATAGCTCGAACGGTAATGAATAGAAATCGTCCTTAGGGCTGGCGCATGCGTTACGAAGGGTTGAGAACCTTCTCTACAATTGATAGTCATTGTAGCATTATAAGACTGAGGCTCCCACATACTCCCAGCAAATACAAGACCGACTGGTCTTGGTAGGCGCGTCTGCTCCACTTTCTTGATCGTCGCGAGTACTGTCAGTGCGTTCGGATCGCGGCAACAACATGATCGTATATCCATCCTTCGCTTCCACTGCTTCCCTTCCCAGTGCGCTTGACGAGAGTGCAAACCATGTTGATACCGGCGAGGATTTTGAAGCAGTCTCGCGCCTAGTGAGCAACCGAGTCAGCAGAGCCGTTACGGTTCTAGTGAATATGGCAGAAGAGGACTTACAGCACGGTGATGAACAGATCTAAAATCCAGCTGGCGGGGACCAAACCGTGCCATTTCAAGGAGACTAAATCGACAGATCTGGCAGTTCCGTTATCCGGGACGCTGTAGCGGCTTAGGTATGGATCGATGTTGTCGTCTTTTGATACTCGCGGAGACCCGAGGGCTACCATTGCCAGCCATTCAGAAAGATTTTCGGAATCCTCTTTCAAGATACTTTCTGAGGATGCTTCTGTGAAGCTCGTCTCGCAGAAAGAGGGAGTGATTATGTTGTGGTAGTTGGTACGGGAGACATCGCAGTCGATGATTTGTGGATGATTGCCTTTGAGGGTGGGATCTCCTTGATTTCTTTTATTATTTTGGTCATGAGATTTAGGGGTTTGAGTACCTGTACCTTCGGAGACCCCGTTGGAACCCGGTGCCAGATCGTAAAAAAGCCAGGCTACGGAGTGATCAAGGACATTTTTGAATGCCCAGACGATTCTGTCAAAGCCTTTCTTGCCGTGTAGCATAGAAGGCAGCCGTAGATTGATTTCCACAACTTCGATTAGATTCATTAGTTTCTGAGTGAGGATGGGACGAGGACGGGATTTGACGCACGATATCGCTCTTTGGCGTGTTTTCTTCCTCCGCTGCGGATGGGTTTCCCTGTCAGTCCTGTCCGTTCGTAGGCCTCCTTGCCGAGCTCTAATTTCAAGATCCCTGAAAGATTGTCAGGTTTGAATCTAGATGCGCATCTTCCTAAGCGAACGTACCATTTTTGAGAGTGTAGACGTTGTCTGAGCCTGACCGCCCCTCAGATATCATGAGGATATTGCCTAAGTGATAGATTAGAACTAATGGAGATTGCTTGCGACGGGGTCATGGAAGATGGAAAAGAATGATGTACCAGTCTTGATGTACGTATTGAAGAAGTCTCCTTCAAGCAATGCAGAAGGAGACATGAACACTCTCGCATATCGAAGCTTTTGGACTTTCGCATCCAGCGAGTCCTTTATGCTTGAATAGACCTCTTCTGGGAGGATGACCTCTACCTGTTCTCAACGATTAGTTCACTATCGCTTAGAAGTCCAAATGAGTTCTTTATTTCTTAAACGTACCGTGTGTACAAATGGATGATTCGCTATAGCTGAAAAAGGTGACTTTTTTGTCGGTGGCTGCTTAGGGTCGACAAACGCAGGCAATTGCGCTATGGTGGTGAAGCACTTTTCACGCGTGGACGCGTCGTCGTCGAAGTCCAACATGATAAGATAATACCCAGCCAAAAAGTTCAAAGTGTACGTTGGAAATTCTATCAGGGTATAGTCTCACTCGATCTGGACTCGGAGTGGCGCTTGATGCTTCGTATACTTTGAAAATGTGTTGCCGTGATGCCGTTTGGGTCGGAAAAGTGTGATTTGTAGATAGATAGAGCTTGCGGACCGGAAGCTTCTTCAGCCCTACAAGGCTGGCCTTCGAGCATGCAGGTATCCCAGATTCGATGTATCTTTCTGGGTCTATAATTCATAGGAAGCTGATAGTAAAATGTTCGCCAGTGTCTGGATAGATATGGGATGAATCGCAGGTTTAGTACTCAGATGTACTATGCATGGCTACATACTTCCACCAAATATATCCACAGATATCACCGATTCCCATTAACAGTTCTTTCAACACGCTTTAGCTGCCAGAGTATTATTCTGTCGGTAAGCAGCACTTGATACAAATGACAGATGATTGCCAGTTGAAGGCGATTCGAGTACAATTGACTTGGTGAAGACAGAGTAGACTACATAGTGATCTGACCACAAACAGGAACTCTCTTTTGAAAGGCCATCGTCGAGGTGGCACCACATGAATCTTATGCAGTAGACGCAGTCTCAAGCCTCAAGTAATTAATTGATCATTGCATGGATCGCGCTCAACTTCATGAAGAGAGCAAGAAGATTGCTATACATGTTTCTGCCTGAGGCATAAATCCTATCTTAGCCTGATAACAAGTAATGGACGCATTTATTGTTCTCCAACTTTCTCATGCGCCCTTACTGAGCAATCCACTGCAATTGACCCCGCTATCATTATCAGACCAGTCGCGCATATATACTGGCCGTTCTCTTGCCACTCGCGAGTGTCAATTCCTAACAGCACGAACCACAGCCCTTCGGGGCATGCATGTGGGTTTCCACTGCTCTCCGCAGTCGCACGCCTTTCTGCCAGCAACTCCATCGCAGCAATAGCGAGCGATGGCTCCTCCACCACGACGGAATCTCCTGCCAAAGGAGCGATTCGCATTCGCGTTCGGCAGCCTCAAGACTCAAAGCTATCATGACCCCATTGCAAGGGGTCCCGGGTCCCACACGTGCGTCTTGTCTTGATCTTCGTCCACTTGGTGACCTCACGTTCAGAAACTCCCAGCTGACCGCGGCTGCTGCTTCTCTGCCACAGTATCCGCACGATAGCGTGGAATCCCACCGGGCAGCTCATCGCTACAGGCTCGGCCGATCGAACCCTTCGCATCTGGAACCCCGAGCGCCCAGCAGTCAAATACTCGACCGAGCTGCGCGGCCATTCCGCGGGCATCGAGAAAGTGTTGTTCAACCCGGTGAAAGACTCGGAGCTGGCGAGTTGCTCGACGGATGGTACCGTCAGGTTCTGGGATGTGCGGTCGAAGACTTGTGTAAGCCGTCTCGATGTCGGCGGAGAGGCATTCACAATGTCCTGGTCGGCGGACGGGAGAGTCCTTATGGTGGGAAGAAAGGTGTGTTGAAAGAACCACATGTTACACTTGGGACTTCAGAGTTCATCAATGCGAAGCCGACGCATGAGCCACGAGAATCGACGTATGCGAAACGAGACTGACTATTTTTCCGGATCCCAGGACGACACCCTGATCCCCATTTCGATAGGATCGCCCTCTTCATCATATATTCTGACTGACGGCGTCACCAACCACCCCCCTACATCACCGAATTCAAAAGAAGGAACGACAGCCTACACCGCACTAGAATCCCATCCACAGCCCGTACAGACCAACGCAACGACCTTCTCCCACCACATCCCTACGCCCGCCTCTCCCGACTTGCATCTCTTCGCCACGACAGGCGAAGGCACCGTCAAAATCATGTCGTACCCGTCCTTCGACATCCTCCACACCCTTCACGCACACACATCCGCATGCCTCTCTATAGCCCTCGCGCCTACAGGCCGGTACCTCGCCGTCGGCGGCAGCGACGCCCTGATCTCGCTCTGGGATACAACGGACTGGATCTGCCGGCGCACAGTCTCGAGTAACAATGGGGGTGCCATCCGCGGCGTAAGCTGGAGCTTCGATGGGCGTTTCGTCTGCGGCGCCTGCGACGAGGTAGGCTGCGGCGGGAACGGCCTGGAGATCTTCCATGCCGAAACAGGGGAGAGCGTCTACACAGTTCCTACGGGCGGCAGCAGTGCTTCTGGTATACCGACTGTTGCGTGGCATCCCTCGCGTTACTGGCTTGCGTACTCGACAACGGCTGACGGGCCTGGAAGCGCTGGTGCCGGAGGACTGAAGATCGTCGGTGCGGCTGGTGGAAGTTTATGAGCCTTGTTAGTCGTACTGTAGCATGTACTAGGCTAAGAAGACCTATTTGTTGGCGAACCTGAACCAGAAGATGGTATGGGATATTTTTGATATTTTTGCTCGTGGGATGTGTTGCATTGAGGCTATTTCCAACTATTGAATCTGGTATGTGCTGATAGAGCATTATACAAAAAATCACGATACTTCCTCCATGGACGTTATCATGTTACATTACGGAAAAATCTCCACATAGTCGTATACACCGAAACTCCAAACTTCAAGGCCATTGAACAAATCGCGACTTGGCCGTTATCAGACACCCGCCCAGCGTAAAGGGTATCACGTACATCCAGCAGATGAGCTAAAACACCCAATCAATTTCCAAACCCTGCTTTTTTGAGAAGCTTGCAGGTTGCCTCAATAATGTTGGCCTTCGAAGGCCGCCTTCTCGGCTTAGCCCTGGTTTCGCCAGGCGTCCCAGTTATTGGAATTGAGGAGTTCTGCCCACTGGGTCTCACTGAGAGACCCCATTGTCGCGGGTGTCATATTAGTATTTTCTCCGTTGGATGATTGCGTAGCGGCAATATCCCATGATGGAGGAATGGGGAATGGTGGATCTGGAACAGTAGTATCGAGAGATGACATGGCGTCGGTCGAAAAGATATTATCATTGTACGTAAACCCGTCAAATTGCCCGGTATTCGCGGAGCCCGATGGCACGTGCACCGACTCACTGTTACCGAGCGTATGGCTGGGTGTTTGATTCGAGAGACTGAGGGGCGAATGTTGCCGTACCTTTGGCGATGATGTGCTACTAGGACCGACGTAAGATGTATTTGAAGACGATTTCACGGCTGACGACGTTGAGCCTTCTGATATCGGATTTCCATTGTCATCGAAACCCGGCGAAAGGTCCATATCCGTCCCTGAGCCTACCGTCTCAGGCCCGGAACTGAGATTATATGATAGCTCAACGAAAGATTGCGAAACTCCAGCCCTTGATGCACCTCCAGAGTTCTGGCCCTGCGCTGGTGTTCGCCTTTGGCGATTTGGAAGTGAAGCAGAGGGATGGAACTCGTTGTGCGTAGGCATCATGGACGTGCATTTTCCGTTCACAAAACCAGGAACCTAAGACAAGGTAACGTTAGCAATTGCAGTTTGACATTGTCCATTGAAAATATGATGTGCGGCCTTACCCTTTCTGGCAGCACTTCACCCATTGGACGCCGTATATCGCGGAACGCTGTTCCCTCGATGTCAACGTCCAGCTGTACAAGAAACGACTCCGTCATGGGATTCTTGTTCTTCAAAGCATCAAGAGCTGAGAAGAAAAACTGCAAGGATGAGCGAGCAGCCGAGTCATCGGGCCGCGACTGCAGATACTGCACGAAGACCCGGGCGGCGATGTACACACAGAAAGACATGAAGGGATTCATCTATGGCAAATTAGCGCGGTGGCCGCTCAACGAAAAGTGGAAGGACGAACAAGAGTCAGATCTGTATGACTGATCATTTTCATGATGTTCGAAATTTGGTCCGCCGCAACAATACACCTCCGCTTGCTCTCGGTGATGATCTGATCGGGCATCTTGTTCTTCTCGGCTTTGAAAATGGCAGCTTGGTGTAAACAAATAGTCGACGTCTGCATGGCCATGTTGCAGAAGACTACATTCGGGTCGGCTATTCCAGCTGGAAGCCGCAGATGGCTGGGCATTGTCAACGCGAAATGGAGTAAAATATTGTCAAGACATCTGTGCCTTTTCCAATACTCGCCATTTAAATCGTGGTCGTTATCTTGCGGATCAGGGCGATAGAGATGGGCAAGATTGCGACCGAACATGCCTGACAGCAGGACAACACTTGCGAGAGATGACAGAGTCGCGATTCCTTCCCCTCGCATAACGCTGCTGAGACGTAGAGTACGCTCGGGCTTACTCTTAACAAATGACACTTCACTGGCGGGTAGATTTGTCATGATCTATCGCGACGGTCAGTAACTGCTGTCAATCAGGCTGTAGCATGTTAGGGGCCCGGGAAAACAGGGTACAAGACTGACATCTCTTTCGTCAATAATGACAGGCCATCCGGTTCCAACACTAGCGTAGCGATCAATGCAGAATGCCAGCCAGAAGGTTCTCCGTCGCTCTTCCTTTTCCGTCCAGTCTCTGGCTGGTGGTAACGATTGCTTCACTTCGGGAGCCAAACCGTCTAGCCGATTCAGGCCCATCATGAGCGCCAGTCGTGTAGCTTTGCCGCTACTGAGCCACGCTCGCGGGAAATACATCATTTTGAACTCGTATGTGCTGATCAGGAGCCAAGTTTGGCAGTGTGCCAGAGTAACAATGCTCTCCCCGAAGCCTTTCATTTCATCCAATTCAGCGTATTTCCGCGCCCGCTGATAGAAAAGAGCATGCAGGTTTGAGTATTTATCGCTGACAGAGGCCGCATGACACCAGGTCATATACTGTAGACACACAGCGGGTCGTATGTTGTAGGCTAAGTTCATGGCTGCTAGATGTCTCGGACGATGCAAGATGGGTAACGAAGGATGGACTTTGTCGAAATAAATTTGGTTCCTGTCAACTCATGAGATATTGATATAGAAATGCGAGAAATGATATAGGCGTACAATTCATCGATAACATCCTGAGTTGGCAACGGTTCCTCGAGTCCCAGACCCAACATATCCCAACCAAAGTTACCCCCAGCATTGAGTCCTGACGGTAGGTATGCCTGAGATAAAGGCTGATGCTCAACTATTAGCTGTGGAGGTGACAGAGAGGTGCTGAGATCGGTTGCGAGTAAGGGAACGTCCGGTAAGCTCGTCATGTCATTTTCATTCGACGCTGGAATATGGTTATGACTTTCTTGAGTCTGGGCTGTACTCGGCTCTTGGGTTCTTAGCAGATTTTCGACCTGGGCTTCACAGGGCCTAAAATTAGCAATATGCAAGGTGCAGAGTCTCCTGTTCAGAGACAACGCCGAAAGGAAAAGATATCACGTACCAAGCCGAGCTTCCAGCTGCTTCACATAACCCCGCTTTGGACCACTCTTTTTGCGAATCTCATCGTAAGCACATTCATGACCTAGTCGAGAGCAAGTCCCACAGCTCGGTCTCTTTCCATCGCATCTCAGCTTCCGTCGCCGACATACAACACATGCGATGCGCTTGGTACGAGGAAGATGGATGTTATCCGCGTCGCCATGGCCGGTGGATGCTGATGGTGCGTCAGGATTTGTCGGTGTAGGCCGTAACTGAGAGGAAGAAGAGGTAACGCTTAAGAAATTCTCGCCGAAGAGATCTGCCATGGCCTGGTAGTAGAGCAGAGGTTGGTAGAAAACGTATCGCTAAAGGTAAGCCGCTGGCTCTCGGGACTATGCGACTCGACAAGGGCGCAAGAACGGAGGTTTCACGACCTCAATGACGAAGTACGAAAAGACATACCAATGCAGCATTGGAAAGCATAAAAGTGAGTTGAAGAAGAAGAATAATCAGGAGAGAAGTGTCATGCTCAGGTCGGGAACAGGCAGTAGGAAGATTCGTTGACGTTGATCATTTTAGGTTGGTGACGGGGCTGACAGCGCCACGATTCCCCAATCTGGAACTGCTGATCACCCCGCGTCCTCGAAAAAGCCAGCCTCAAGCACTTGCAATGGTCTTCGTTATTAGCCTAAATGGAATACGGGCCATATCGAATTGAGTCTCTTTTTGGAGTCTAGGTACGACAAGCTGTCCCTGAGAGTGGTGGTCTCGTTATCAGCAGAAGCCACCGTCAGGCATCTGAATGGTGTGATCTACGTCGGTCTTGGGTTGAAAGTTCTCTGAACATGCTGTTCGATAAGACAAGTGGGATCTCAAGAGGCAGCCTTTTTTGCCCCTGGTGATCAAGTGTATCTCGACCGTAGACCAGATAGCCATGGCAAACGCATGGGTATACAATCTATCAACCATACAGAGAAGGAATAATCACAAGAATTTTGAAAGATATCGAAGACAGCATGCCTGGCGCCAAAATCGAGTCAAAATATGATACAGTGCGAGCGGAGGACCCATCCTCTGCACATGAGAATAATCGAGGAATACAATGAGGAACTGAAGGAAGTAAGGACATGTCACAATGCTAGATCTGTGACAGACAGCCTTTGCCATATGTTTCCCCAGTGGAAATATGGCTAAACAGTCCTCCGGTGAAATAAAGACGGGGAGAAACGACGACGATCACAGAAAGGGAAGCTCAGTTGTAGCCTCTGCGACGCTTGCCCTGGTTGCGGACTCTTGGGACCACCACAGCCTTGTTGATCTTCCACTTGGGCCGGGTTTTGTAGCCGGATTTGGCCTGGACAAGGTGTCAGTAAATAAATGATCATAAAAGCATTTGTCCCGTGATTTCGCAAGTACATACCGGTAGACCCCAAGGACTCTTTGGATCGACGTTACCCTTCGACTTACCACGTCCACCACCGTGAGGGTGATCGGCAGCGTTCATGGCGAGACCACGGACTGTGGGACGGATATTCAACCAGCGTGACCGACCCGCCTTACCGAGCTGCCGATACTGATGGTTAGGATTGCTGGCCACTCCAACCGTTGCGCAGCAGTCCTTGTGAATAAGTCGAACTTCACCACTTTGGAGACGAATGGTGACATGTTGAGCAATACGTTCTTGCTTCTGCTTCTCCCGTTGGGAGAGGGGCTTCTGGACTTCCGTTCCATCTTCCTGGGTTTCGACTTCGTTGGCCCGGGTTTTAGTATCGCTGCCCTTCGAGATGACAGTTGCGTAGGTGCCCGCGCTCCGGCACAGCTGACCTCCCTTGCCGGGACGAAGTCCGACGTTGAATATCAAAGTACCTACGGGGATCATGTGCAAGGGCAAGCAATTTCCTCTCCAAGCGGTCCTGGCAGCGAGAACACCTGGATCAACGGTACCTCCCATACTCTTCCAAAGATCCTCCGGAATACCAGACATATAACTCTGAACAACGTCGCCAGCTCTCATACCTTCCGCAGCCAGAATGTAGCTCAGCTTCTGGGTTTCTTGGCTGCGCACAAGCGCGATATGGGCACTTCGGCCAGGGTCGTGTTCAATGCGCTCTACCAGATGCGGCCCGGGAGCAGTTCGTGCAAAGTCAACAATTCGAATGCGGCGTTTGTGACCACCACCACGGTGCCGAACGGTGACCCTACCCGTGTTGTTTCGACCACCCTTGCCCTGGCCTCGTTTGGGGAATGTCAACTTGTGCACCGGTCGTCCCTTCCACAGATGGTCATTGACTGGCCTTCGCAAATGTCTGATACCGGGAGTCCGTGGCTTGTACTTTCGCAGGAGAACGCCAGCATCATCACGGGTCGGTGGAGGGGCAAAGGCGATGCTTGGATCGAAGGTGGAGCTGGATGAGTCTTCAACTGGGGGCTTCTCTTGCTCGTGGATAACTGTTGCATATGCTCGTGATGACACTGAAGACAGGCATCTGAAGGGTAGGCGAAGACCCGTCAGGGCGAATCGAGGTTGAAGCATGATGTTCAGTTGTATTTCGATTGATCGGAAATATTCCAAGCGCTGCCGGAGCTGCGAGATTCGGACTGCGCGATTTGAGGAGCAAGTAGGCAATCAATGGTGAAGCATACCCCCTCAATGCTAAACGATACAACCAGAGACAAGATCCAGACACCCTCAAAACCAATGACAACACTCCTTCGCTAATGGGAGTGTCGTCGTGATCTGCTTGTGCTCCGGAAAATGTCTTCGACTATCCGGTGCGGATGTGGCTCGCGAGAGATCACCTGACTTACCGCACGGCCACCCCTAGTCAATTGTGGCACAGCACTGAGATCACGGGACTGCGCCACACGGGAACACGTCGAATGGAAGGTTCAAAGGTACAGCCGGTTGCTGGGCAACAATATATTGTTTTGGTGGCCAGACGCGCGCTGCATCACGGCTGATGCCCGCGATGGCGTCTGTTCTGACTTCCTGCCTGGGGACAAACTTTCAGGCATCGATACTCGTTTGACAGAAAGCCTCCACCACTGTAAATAATCGTTCTGTCGATGACGATATCTATACGGAGATTTCCGTACCTTGCTTTCCTTAGTTTCCTTCTGGTTACCTTCAATGCATCCTAACATGTAGAGAGCAGTCACTATATGGATCTAATGGAAGTAGCTAACTATTTGAGAAGAGATATTGAATATGCCTCATAAATTAGAGCACTTTCAGGAATAATAATTGGACAGTCGAACTGGTAGCCCTGTAGTAGGTACCTGAGATCTCGATGCCTCTTCTGGTCCATCCAGTGAAGATCCATACAATACCTATTACCTTACCACCTGGGAGACTTCCTTTTATTACCGTCACCACCCCTTTCCGTCCATCTTTACTTTGGCTCTTTTGCGGTGTCTCATGAGGTGTCTTGTATTTCTCCTTTATCAAACGCCATTCTTCGCTCATCAATTATATTAATTGAGCCAAGTATCTCATATTTGATACTTCATACGGGGTTTATCAAGATCAACTCTTCTATCTTCCACGCGGTGTCGACATCATACAACCGGGTGGTTGTGCTGTGGGGCAGCTTTGCCAGCGTAGTTTGTTTCCACGCTAAGCGTAGGGCCAAACATCGCCTTTGCCCTGTCAACTTTACCAACCTTCTTTACACCACCCCAGCAGTACTGCTTCTTCAAGACAGCGGAAAGCACCTCAAAAACACGCAATCACTAGTTCTTCGCGTGTCGTCTCTAGCCATCGAGACATTTTATGAAAATCTGCTCGCCGACACGAAGTTCTGGTTGTTTTGCGCGCCCGGATAGGACGTGATTTGAGACCTCAAAAGGTTCTGTCAACAACATCATTGGAGCCATATATGCGATTATTTTTGCGACTCTGCAACAAAATTCCCTTCCTCTAACTAGGAATTCTCCTTCAAGTTGAATTGCTGGTCATTGAACGTATTTCCACGCGTGGTACGTGCAACCTGCACCTTGGCTCTCAGGTATTCCATCCCCACCGGGGTGATCTCCTGGAATGCTGACTGGAGAGCTTCTGCAGGTCGACAATAGCTACAGTATATCTCCTTTATTTTTCCTTCGCTTTCCTACGTACATCTTCTCTCTGTTTTCCTCAGCATCATGCCTCCGGTAAGTTCTACCCATGAGAGACACGCGTAATGTTTCTACCGATCATGTTTCGAAAGCCATTGTGCTCTTTGGTTTGATGATTTGCAATTGTATTCTGATTGACCTTGTACAGGCCCGAGGTCTTCGTACACGAGGTACAATGAACGAAAATGATGAGAACGGGCCGTCGACGCGTCTGACACGAGCAAAGGCCGCTGCTCTGTCTGCAGGAGATATTCCAACAACCACCGCGGCTGCTAAAAAGCCCCTTCAGACCAAGAAGGCCGCCACCAACTCGACGACTACGGGAACACAAAGAAGACGCGCTGCCCTCGGAGACGTCAGCAATGTTACAAAAACGGAAAATGGTGAGGCCAAGGAAACGAAGAAAGCCGCGTCTGGCAAGGTCGGCTTGACGTCGAAAGCTACCCTGCAGACCGGCGGTGTTCAAAAGCTGAGCCGAAACAACTCATCACGTACGGCCTTGGGCGCCAAAGATAACAACGCGAAGAAGGAGAAGCCTGCGGTTGAAGGAAAGCGTCCTGGAAGTGGTTCTGGTATCGGCAGCACACAAATGAAACGGACGTCCAGCCAGAAATCGGTACAGGAGAAATCCCTGCAGACCGACGAACCGCCGCGCAAGAAGGTCGAAGTTGAGAAGAAGATCACCGAGAAGAAGGCAACCGTGGAGAAGGTTTCCTCAGCGAAAGAAGATGCTGTGATTGCCGCTGAGCCTGAAGTCGCCAAGAAGCCTGAGGACGTAGTCGACGACCTGGACACTGAAGATTTGGACGATCCTCTGATGGCCGCTGAATACGTGGTGGAGATCTTTGACTACCTGAGAGACCTGGAGTTGGAGACATTACCCAATCCTCGCTACATTGAGCACCAACCCGACCTCGAGTGGAAGATGCGTGGCATTCTTGTCGACTGGCTGATTGAAGTTCACACACGCTTCCGTCTCCTCCCCGAGACGCTTTTTCTCGCTGTGAACATCATCGACCGTTTCCTTTCCGCTGAAGTCGTCGCACTTGATCGCCTTCAATTGGTCGGAGTTGCCGCCATGTTCATTGCTTCCAAATATGAGGAAGTTCTTTCACCCCATGTGGCCAACTTCAGTCACGTTGCAGACGAAACATTCACAGACAAGGAGATTCTTGATGCCGAACGCCACATCCTAGCCACTCTCGAGTACAACATGAGCTATCCCAACCCCATGAACTTCCTCCGTCGTATTTCAAAGGCAGACAATTATGACATTCAGACTCGTACCCTCGGCAAGTACCTCATGGAAATCAGTCTTTTGGATCATCGCTTCATGTGCTATCCTCAAAGCCACGTCGCCGCAGCCGCAATGTATCTTGCTCGGTTGATCCTGGAACGTGGGGCTTGGGTAAGGACCTTCGCAGTTGCGAGGCAGAGTGACTTGTAAAGCTAACTCAAAGTAGGACGCCACCCTAGCGCACTATGCTGGCTATACCGAGGAAGAGATCGACCCTGTCTTCCGATTGATGATCGACTACCTTCACCGTCCTGTATGTCACGAAGCGTTCTTCAAGAAATACGCAAGCAAGAAGTTCCTCAAGGGTAAGCTCTCTAGTATCATGCCGTCGGAATTCAACAGCAGCTAACCAGTCTGTCTAGCCTCCATCCTTACCCGGCAGTGGGCCAAGAAATACCATCAAATGTACATTGATAGCGCACTCACGGAACCGTACAACTTCATCAAAGAAAGTGAATAGGCGCGCATCGATGTTGTGCTAGCATGCTGATCATGGCCACGATATGCCACATATCTCCGTGTTAGAGCAACGGATTCAATTCGAGTTATATGTCGGCATTTGTTTGTTTGTGATGGTAAAAGGGCACCTCTTGCATACGGTTATGACGGTATTTCTGTTTTCCAGTTTGCGTACGTTGGCATTATCCGCTTCTCTCGGGGTGTCTGGCGCATCGTCTGTTTAAGTTCTTTCAGCTCTTTTTGGTTTCGGCACTGTCTTCGGAGTTGTTTCGCACAAGCTTTGATTGATACCTTCTACACATTCTTCTTGCCCGGCTACGGGTATCACAACTGTTGAAAGCTTCAGGGTTGGAAATGTACTTCCATTTGACTTAATTTTTGGTTCGATCACCTTACTGGCCTTCCGTATGCGCCGAGTGTCCGTCGTACGCAGCTAACTTCACGAATCAATGACGCTCCACATGCTGCTGTAGGCTAAAGGTGAGGATTCGGAGTGTCAAAGTTCTGTTGAAGATGTACGGATCCAGCAAGAAGCGCAGCTATAAGTAGAAATTAAAGTATAATGTAAATTCGAACAATTCTGCATTTCTTTGCCTTAGTAAGTTTTTACCTAAATTCCTGAGTACCTCTCACAACTAGATGTCCAAAACGTGGTAGAGCAACACCACAAATCAGTATAGAATGGTAGGCGGGTGTGAAGATTTAAGCCGAGGTCCCCAGTGAGGAGTATCACTCTCGTCCCGGCCAGTTTGATTTCATCAGGTCAGAGGCACAACTCATCCAAAACGATTGAAGAGTTGAAGTCACAATCTTCCTGATAAATTGGCTGAGAGTATATAGCTTTTATGCCTGTAGAGATACCCTGCTTTGAGGTCAATCGTCCCCTCAATGCACCCCGGCAGATGAATCTCTGCTCCAGACTACCAAGCGCTTGCTACCATACTTATTGATGTTCTCTTCAACAGAGACCCAGTCTAAGCTCTATTGAGACAGAATAACAAGATGACTGTACCGTCATCATCAGTGTCATGCCCCTTCTGCCGCATCGCAGCAGCATATCCTCCCATCCCACCATCGACATTTCATCCTCAGCAGAAACAGGATGGCGCACAAGAATCGGCTATCATCCCCACAGATACGACGCAAGAAACGCACGCGCACCTTGTACTCTCGACTCCATATATCCTGGCCTTTTTGGACATCATGCCATTGACAAGGGGCCATGTTCTCGTCGTCACGAGAGATCACTACGAGAAGTTGAAAGACATGGGCGTGGAAGTCAGCAGAGAGGTCAGTATACCCTCTATCTCCCTCCTATCAGACTACATGACAAGCAAATACTAAATACGGCACGCGCAGATCGGCCAGTGGCTCCCTATCATCTCGCGGGTCGTGATGAGAACTGTCTTTGGCACGGAGGCAGAATCAGACTGGAGTTGGAATGTGGTGCAGAATAATGGTATGTTATCTGTCCACTTTTGCTGGTTAAAATCTTGCTCATGCATTGAACAGGCATAAGGGCCGCACAGCAGGTTCCCCATGTGCATTTCCATGTCATTCCCAGGCCGCCGCTGGATCCTGCGCCTACTGCAGCCAAAATGAGTTTCGTCATGTTTGGGCGGGGGCAGAGGGATGAACTGGATGACGAGGAGGGAGAGACGTTGGCCAAGGCGTTGAGAGAGGAGCTGGCGAAGGAAGTTCGCCGAGTGGAAGAGAGGGAAGGCGTTGATTTGAATGTGACGGCTACGGATGTGCGGTATCAGAGGATGAAGGGGAAGCTGTGAGATTGCAGCCTTGTGCTGCTCTTCGTTATATGTGTGTTGATGTATGATACCTACGTCGCGTTCTATCTTTTGATGCTCTCAAACAGGACTTCAAGTGGCTCCCATATGAGGGCGTATTATAAACCATTAGGGGACAATGATCGTGGGATGCGTTCGTATTTCTAAGTAAGCTTTTTATTTCATCGAGATACATCGCTTTCTGTGCCGGATTTAGACTTTGAGATGGGATTCTTCATGAAATACTGAACCACTGTTAGTCATATACTCTCTGCAGATGTAGGACTGAAGGAAATGGCTCACCTTTCTCCTGAACGCATTAAGCTCATCAGCATACATCCCTTCTGCATCAGCTTTTCTTCGTCCCACAGAGATGTCTGATGTCTCTCCTTCCGGGAGTCTGCGGTAAGTGATGAGGCGTCGTGACCCTAAGATGCCAAATCAGCCATGGTGCTATTGCAGTCCATCCTCTCCATGAACTTACAGTTGTTGAACGGCTGTACAGAGACACACACAACCTCCAAGTTTGGATGCATCGGGATGGCCAATTCTCCTTCCTCGTCGCTGGATGTGGGCATCCACATAGCTAGCCGACCATTTGTAACTAAGGTCCTCGAGGCGAAGTTGAGAATGTCATTCTGCATGGCCTCAAATCCGTAAGGTTTCTTCGGCGCAATGTAATCCGGCCGTCTGAAGATGCATCAGCAAACCATGGGTCGATACGTCCTTGATGCGAACTTACAGATGAGCTGGAACCCCATCGATCAAGACCTCTTCCTTCCCACGCCCATCGCGAGTTCCCAAAACTCGAAGCCCTTCACGGACACCGTAAGGAGGATCACAAATGACGCCATCTAAGAACTGACTGGAGCGGAGAGGCGTATTTGTCAGATCGGAAGTGAAGACGTCCACGAATTTGCTTTCAGTGCCGTATTGCTGGAAATTCGACAGTACTCCCATCGGTTTACCCTTCCCCATCTCTTTGCCGCGAAAGCTGCGTCCGTCAATGTCTGAGCCGAGAGTCAGGGCGCCAAAGTGCGCAGCAGCAACGCAGAAGCTTCCTGTGCCCACAAACGGATCAAAGAACAGCTTCCCCGGCGCTGCATGAGCCATATTAGCCGTTACTAGGCTCAATTCAGCGTCCATCGATGTGGTGCTGATATACCGACGCTTCTTAAGGTCGTACTTGTTGACGACCTCCCGGCTACTATTAGCAACCCAGCGTCCGAAATAGATCTTCTGCGGAGTTTGTAATTCAGCCGGCACTGCTGTACTTAATGGCGTCGTCGTCTTTGAGATTGCAACGTCTGGGATGTACTCCTCTAGCACCCAGAAATCCTCATCTGGGTTCTTCATCCGAATGGGACCCTGGAAGTCAAGATAGGCGAATGACTGGATAATGTCTCTTTTCTCTTCATTACTTCGCTTTCCAGCAAAGCTCTCGATGGTGAAACGGAATGATACCTCCTTGTAGTCGTTCCAGCGATGCTGGGTCCGCCTGCGGACGTCGCTATGGACTTCTTCATAGGTAGTGCCTTGAGCCCAGAGCTCGAAGATATCCTTCGCTAGGATGCTACGAGCAATAAGTCTGCGTGCAGCTTCCTCATTTGCCAACTTCACAATGCAATACGGTGACTGCTCTTTAGGTCAGCTGTGCTCGTAATGATATATTGATATATTTCTTTCAAATGATGAGGGGCGCGGGGAACAAAAAAAGTCCAACCTGAAACCCTCCAAGATCATTACAATCCGAGATGGAAGGGTGAACCGCAGTCCGGGAAAAAAGTGAATAGAACACCTACAAATTCATTATAACAAATAATCTCAAGGTCGATTCCAGCCAGAGCTGCCAGTGCTTGGATCTCCGGCCGTCGAAAACTTTCGTGCACTTGAGCGAAGCGGATCAAGTATTCCATTGTGATGCCACCACGCCAAGATGTGGCCTTTGCTTCTGGATAGACTATGTAAGAACAATCAATTACTCATAAGTTTGCATGAGTAGGTAAGAAAGAATGTATCCAGCCTAGCCGTGGCTGTATGGTGCGTCAAATGGTGGTTGCGACTGGGATGACTTTTTCGTCGATTCTTCTACTTTTGCCGCGAAACGGAATCTGCTACTGTCGGACAAACCCACACTGTAGGGAATGAACAGAGAAATGAGGGCAACACGCGACAACAACTTGACTCGGTAACAAAAACGGGTTGATCTCCTAGAAAGCTACTTTAGTGACCTCAAAGACTCTATTCTTTGGCGAGGATTTCGCAACTTGCTAGCTCCAGCTCTTATGTACTTCGCAAAACAAGGAAATACTTGACAAACATACCCCTTACTGAAGTTGACCTTCAGTATAACCTAGTACAACCTCTGATAGATGATACTGCAAGATGTGAATATTAGAATAAACCCACAGACCCGCGCCAGCCCTAAACCGATAGACAGTAACACAATAACCATGACAAGACTCCGCCGCTATGCGCCCACAACCTTAAATACATATCGTGAATCATATCCTTCAACCCGAGTAATCTCAACCTTCTCATCGGGGGTATCATGTCATGTTTCAAGTCCCAACCGGCCCGGCGAGACAGCTCGGAAACTACCACATCGCAATCACCCAAGAGGTCAATATCGAAGCACGTATGCGTCACCGGCTACATAATGGGTCAGTTCCAAGGCGACAAATATCCAAGGGATTGGAGCGCAACGTACAGTGCGAGAAATGTAGATCTGAGGGACATGGCGCGGGAGAACACCCGGCACTTCAGCCACAGGTGCTACTTTCAACGATGTACCAATCACGATGACCAAGTCCACCTTGTCGCGGTCGTGATGAAGCAGACGACGGCCGAATTCGTCGGGCAAGTCCTCGCCAAAGAATGTAATGTCAGGCTAAATAGCAATTAGCTGTCAGTTGCCATTAGGACCACAATGATAGTTGACGCTCACCTTCATAACGCCAGGAGTGGGAATCTCGTAATCTTCTTCCTCCGAACTGTCCTCGCCGTCCTTCTTCCTGCTCTTTTGCGTTCCGTTGGACATCCGTTTACGTTTGAGCCCCTGCGGCTTCAAAGAATCGTCCTCGAGCCTCTCTTTGCAAGCCATGCATTCGGGAACAATACCTTTCTTGATGTCGTTCAAAATCTCTTCGCCTTTCACTTTGTGATGACACTTGACGCACGTAGCCGTCGCAAAAGAGCCGTGACATTGCAGGATTTTCTCCGGCATAATACCTGCGTTGGCCTCAATGTTGTCGATGTTTTGAGTATAATTGGTCAACAGCTTCCCTTGATCCTGCAGGAGCTTGATGAAGGCATGAGTGGGCGAGAATTTCTTCTCCGTAGGCAATATATCCTTCGCGATTGAGAAGAAAATATTTGGATCCTCACGGAACACATGAATATCAAATACTTCCTGAGGGTCACTTAGTCCCAGGTGTTCTAACTGAGAATAGAGTCCGGTATCTTTCGAGCGAAAATCGGGGATTCCAAGACTCGTGGAGATCTTGAGGAAGTCGTCAGTACCAAATTAGCCAAGCAAGCACCTTTGATCTGAAAACTTACACCTGCGCCAGTCAACACAATGATATTCTTGGATTCGTTGAGCAACCGGACGGCATCGTCAATTGTATTGTATTGAGGAAGTTTCGGCCGCCTCGAGAATTCGCGCGAAATCCCGATCGCAAGAAGAGGGTGATACGCTTCGTCAGGGGCCCCTTCCAGGAAAGCTGGAGGCATGATTCCAAACGCAGTGCATAACTTCTTCGCGGTGACTGTATCGCGAGCGATCGTTTCCTCAACGAATGCAGCTTTTCCGATTTCATGCAGTCGTTCGCGATAAGCAATGGCTTCTTCCAGAGTGCAAGCACCCGGCACTGATCAAGATCATGGTTAGTGGAACGACGCTACTGAGGGGAGTGGCGTGTATAAGCCAGGCGCATAAAGAAGGAGCTTACCGCCATCGCGAAGTTGCTCATCCTTCAGTACTTGAATGGCATCTTCGCACAGGGACTGAGTTTCCCACTCCTCTCCAGAGCCATCGCTGTCAGTCTCGTACTCAGAATGGGAAACCTCGCCCACCACGGCAGCCGTATCTTCGGCCTTGATCGTCCCTTCCGTCTCCATGGCTGCCATATCAACGGCTTCCACTTCGACCACCGGATCCTTCAACGACGCGCTCTCCCCGCCGGGCACTGACATTACGTCCATCCTGAATAAAGATTGGACACTTCCGGCTGCCTCTATGAGGGACCTTCACTCACATTGAGCTTTTTGCCACTCAAAGTCGGTCGCTGAGATAAATTTGGTTCTGGGTATCTCGGGGTAAAGCGGTCGGAGAGGACTTAATCCGATTCCGACTCCGATATTGAGTGACAGAGAAGTCAGGGATCATCTTGATAGCAAGCAGTTAAGACTGACGTTTACTGGTCCAAGGCTGGTCCACAACAGTCTTGGGTAGTCGTCGAATAAATACGGCGATTTCTATGAGAACCTCCATTGTTAATGGAGATAAATCCAGCGTGGCTTCTGTGCATTAATAAAATCATCTCTATTGGTATCATGACAGATATTCATCAAACATATATGACTTGTAACTTTTCATCAATCCGCCATCTCGTGGTCTTCATCTGACTCGTCCTCAATCTCATCTTCCCAATCCCCTTCCCCTTCCTCCCCTTCGGCATCCTCGGCGTTGCTGTCATCTTCCATATCCTCGGGTATTTCTTTGTTCATCTCTTCAACCAGCTCAAGAGCATGCTGCTTGAGTCTTTCATCTTCATACTGGACCAGATCGTAGAGGGTCAAACTCTGTTTCAACCACTCACGACTGGCGACAAGGGAAGCTAGCCGCTGTGACTCGGGCGATGCTTCTGCCTCTGCGTCCTTGGGGGCCTGTCGCTTCTCTGCGAGAAGATAGAGACACCAGCCACCCAGGTACCATGCTTCCACGCTCTGGTCATCTTCCAAAATCAAACGCTCCAGGACTTCGAGGGCTTCCAATTCCATTGCAACCTCCATCAGTAGACGCGCAAGGCTGACTCGAGTTGCGAACTCCGGGACCTTTGGATCTTCGGGAGGCAAGTCTTTCCAGAGCTCAAGACTTCGGGAGAGTGCGGCTCGGGCATCGTCTTGTCGTAATTGGGATATCCTTATGGATGCTAGTGTCTGGAGGACTTCAGGCGCTTGAGGGTCAACCAAGAGAGCTTCCGTTATGAGAGATTCGCACTGGTTTTCGGCATCTTCTTCCCAACTGAAGACTGTCAGATTATTCCACCATGAATATGTTTGGGTAAAATGCTACTCACGAGAGATCTGTCATGTAGATTTCCGCTACTCCGCAGAGTGCATTCGCCATCTTTTTCTTCTTTTCTGCCAACTCAGCAGCGGTCTGAGGGTCCTGCTTTTCCTCCAACTGCTGGATGATTGTTCTTAGAGCCGAAACACCTTTCTCAAACCACTGAACACTATCCTTCCCTCCCGCTTCGCTCAATTGAGCCAGCCATAAAAACTTCTCAGCACCACCCCCTTCGGACTCGGGTATTGCGCCATTCGGGTCGAGCTCCACCGCACGTAGAAAGCATTCTCTCGCAGCATTGATATCACCGAGTTCGACATAGATCTCGCCAATAGTGTTCAGGGCTGATAGTCGAGTGGGGGAATTGGCAGGCGCAGAATTGAAAGCTTGCTGAGCTGCTGCAAGCGCTGCATCTGCTTGTCCCGTTTGAAGTAAGACGACGGCTTGCTCAAGGAGCGTCGCAGGATCTTCGGTCATTTTCTGTTTGGATACTGAACCGCCAGCTCGGAGAACGGACTTTTCACGCGACTTCGAAGCCTTCTTCTTGTGAGGTCTAGATTTGCCCATGATATCTTATTGGGCTGGTGTGTCTTGGACGTACTGTAGAATTGTTCGCGAATAGAAGATGTCAGTTGCAAATTATATAGATTATCATAACAAGTATCCAACAACGTGGGCTCTATCGAGTTTGTATTTGAGATAGGCGGAGAAGCATTGAAATTATTCCCTTTTTTGGATGAAATAATTTTGGTCGTTTCTTATCTGTTTGCCTGGTTTGCATGCGGGACCGCAAGATCGTCTATGGGCATTCCTGTGCACTCCAAGCTTTGATAATAGCTGTCAGATGAGTATACTTTAAGTCTTCTGGGGTCAAGACTCTGAAGCTAATTCGAACGTCCGAGTGCTAATATTTTGCACAACTGTACTTACTGTGCATCTGCCGCGAAACCTACTCGCACTACCCCACCAACTACTAGCACATTTGAAGCAGAATGGGCCGTGAAGAGCAGGTCGAGGAGCGCGAGGTGCTCGACTCCATTTTTCCCGAAGAGATTACAGGTTGGACTTCAGCTGTCTTTATTCGCAATTGCGATCTTGAATGCACTCGGGCCGCTGATTGTGAATTGACCCTCAGATATTTCCGACACCGCATACCGGATATCGATTAACTTAGAGACGCCCGAAAATGACGCCCGAGACGAGGAAGAAACCGAGCAGCCAGTCCTGATTCTTCAGGTATCATACCCACCAGAATATCCCGACGTTGCCCCGGACCTGGACATCTCGGCCCCTCCAAATGCGCCCAAGCACCCTCTGCTAGACATCCAGGAAGATCGTGATCGGCTCCTTGAAGCTTTACAGCCAACTATCGAGGAAAACTTGGGAATGGCTATGGTCTTCACTCTGGTCAGCACTTTGAAAGAAAGTGCCGAACTGCTCATGGCTGAACGGGCGAACGCTGTCCAGGCCGCGAAAGAGATGGAAGCTGCGAAGGCAGAAGAGGAGGAGAATCGGAAATTCCAGGGCACAGCGGTGACTCCTGAAACATTTTTAGAGTGGCGAGAGAGGTTCAGAAAAGAATTGGAGGAAAAGGAGCAGAAAGAGCGCGAGGAGAAAGAGGCGGACGAAAAGAGGGCAAAGAAGGCACTGGTCAAAGAAGAGAAGAAGCTTACTGGCAAGCAATTATGGGAGAGAGGTTTGGTAGGGAAAGCAGACTATGATGAGGATGATGAGGATGCTATTCCGGCCGCTGTTGAGAAGATGAAAATTACTGCATAAAGAAGTAGTGCTGGTATATCTGGGTTGAGTTTGCTCCAGCATTCACCTGTACATATCTGGATCTAATATTGAATACACTTGCTGCGAGTAGCGCTGGACACTTTGAAGAAGCACGCGCGATAACCCCACCGATGACTTTGTAGAGGGCTGAAGTATTCCACCTGTTGACACCGTGGTATCCGTCTGATTCGTACCATGTCATAATTGGGCTAATCCTGGCTGTTCCTAGGACGAAAGGTATGTTTGGACCCGGGATAGACCGGTCGATCAAACCCTCACCATTTAGATGCGTGCTCATGCCCCAAGCTGCAACAAGGGTAGTAGAGCTGGTTGTCACTAGTTTCTCTTAAGGATGACCACCCAATTTCATGTTCAAAACACTTAGAGCGACACACTAAACGTCCGCATCAAGTATTATGGAGGTGAAATGGTCGGCCCACATTTACCACTCAGCATCATAGACGTTTCCATGCTGTTGGAATTCTCGCACAAGCGAGCTCTCCGGTGAAAAACAGTCCGTTGAGCTCACTGCAGCCGAATGAGAGGGCAATCTCTCGTGTAGTGGGTGAGGATATGAAGCTTCGCAGAGCGCAAAATTCACGACATAAAGAGTGGCCTGCGTAGAATGGAACATTGCTTCTCTGGTTCGATCCTTCATCTTTGGGTTGACGCCTGTGTTGCTTCTTCCGCAGCCAATTTGCGCTCCGCAAGGACGACTTGCCACATCGCCTCGGCAAGCTCCTTATTCTTTGAATCTGACTCCTTTAGCTGCGTGTTCACCTCGGCCAAAGCTTTCTTGATTTCTCCAGCCCATGTCTCTGTCTCTGGCCGACCAAGAGTCAATTGATCCCACTCATCCTCGTCCTTGGCGAATAGTATTTCAACACCGAGCTTGTCCCGGCGCTCTATCCGACGCCAGCGCTTATCGAGTTTCGTCCGAATAACTCCGCTCAGATTCTTGGGCTGGGGCTTCTTGATGCGCAGGAAAGGGATCCCCCGCGCGCTGACGAGCACGGGGACCCGACGTCTTCCATTCACGACGGGTCGGGGCCGGGAAAGGATGGGAGTGGCGTCCGGATGCCTTCGCGCAGTCATTTCTTGAAAGCGCCTCGATTCTTCTTTCTTGAGTTCTCTCTTGGATAAAGGCTTTGGTTGAACCGTGCTAGCTAATGCTTTCTGGAACTCAATGGTCTGTTTTTTAATCGATTGGCTTTCCAGGACTAGTGTCGCAATACGGTGGCGGTCATGTTCATTGCCCTGAGACGCTGAATGTAGTAAGTCGAGAGCCTGGCAGATTGAACGGGACAGTGTATTAGTGGTAATGTCACAGAAGATGGCACCGAGCGACTGAGTGCCTACCTCGTATCCAGCTTTCAGGGCATTTGCAGTCTGTGACGGACTTTGAAGGCTCTTATACTTATGAAATATTTGCTGGATTAGCGACTTGGATGTTTGGAGCTCAGGTACTGCACCTGGCAATCTGCCGCACTGGCGGAGGAGTGCTCGATACAGTGCCAGACCTGCAGACGACTGGTTAGCTCATGTGCCAAATATGCCTCGTAATAATAAACGATCTTCTAACATGGTACTCACAAGCATATCGATGCGTCCGTAAGGTTTTTGGGACGATGAGTCGATGCATAGCTTGATCAATTTGACACTCAGTACTCCATAATAATTTGTTCCCTGTTGATCTCCAGAACATGTGATTATGGACAAAATAAATATCACGTGATGAGCATTGAGCTATATAGCTGTGCTTGACATTCGCATATCCTTCAGTCAAATTTACTCGGAAGACCTTGTCATCTACCAGTGTGAGGTGCTTTTCACCTGTTATCAAGCCATCTTGTCTGGGAGCAGTCGTTACGGTCTCCATCGCATCTTTTTCCTGATGCCGGACCTTCGGAAGCATGTCTGGTTCCGTCGCCTAGGTCTATACAGGTTGGACGGAAATAACCGCTGACCGAAATATTAAATATGAAGTCAGATTACTTCCATTGTCGCTGTTACAAGGTTAGGGTCAGATATAATCTCTGGCACGTTTCGTATTTTGATTGCTTGAAAAATGGGCTTCTAACGAAACCACGCCAATACCTGCTGATATGCATAGACTGTACACGCTCTAGAACTCAATGTAGTAAGGAGAGAGACCTAACGTAATGACCGACCTGTTACTCCAATGATCATTGTCTGATCCATGTACAAGGCGATAGACTCAGAAGTTGGTGCCTTCTGGGGGCTGGGGAAGCTTCTTGTGTTGTGGTAGGGCCATGTATCTGAGCGATTGGTTAGCCTACTCTTGCAAGGTAAATAAGAGGTCCAAAACTCGCCTTCTGATCTCAAGTAGGATCGTCTCCATGGTATATTCCCGTTTCCACTGGGCCAGACAGGGGAGTTTGGCGGGATCGACCTAAGCGACGATTAGGAGATATCCATCTCGATTGGGAAAGTAGTGGACCAAGATTCATACTTTTCCCGTCTTCTGGTCGACGCATGGTATGTTGACGCGAGAAATGAATTGGATAGTTGGGGGGTTATCAGGATAGTCAGGTCCGCAATGGATCTGGACACTGTATATCCGATTCTCATGGACGCTCTAATTTCCTTAGGTCAGCTGGCTTGTAGGTCTGACAATCGGAAAGAGACAGAGAACGAACATGGGGTGGGCCAAGAATGGTGCCGTTCCAATTGCTCATCATCATATCCTCACCATCCGCAAGACCATAGGAACACGCCTCTAAATTGAAAAGCATCATGATATCAGCGGGATGATGCGTCATGACAGATTGGTTGCATGCTCACCTGCTCCCAAGCCCTTCTCTCCCTTTTCAAGCTCCTCAAGAAGCCTGAAGTTTCTTGGAATCTTTGCGGCCATTGCAGTGACTGTTGTTGAAGACGGGACAATACGAGTTCTGTACTCGGACAAAAAGTTACTGGAGAGAGCGAGATTATCCTACCTTATCAAGGCGGGAGGAAGAGGGGCACTCTGCAATGCACTACTGATTTTGGTTAGCCTGTGTGCCTGAGGTACTCGTCACGGCTGCCTTGATTTCAAGAAGAGTCATCTCACGTGATGATAACGACAGCCACTTGTATCACGTGGGGCCGGCATATCCACTGATGTCTTGGCATTCCCTTGAGAAGCCACCTAGTACCAGGTAGAGCTAAGGTATCTATCACAGGAACGGTGTATGTGGATCAACTCGGTTGCATTGTCTTTGCTAAGTGGTTGCATCACAATTATCTTCTCTCTTCTACTCCTTGACAGATACATGGCTGTTATACGGGAAGTAAAGTGCTGAGTTCTGTTTCCGGTCTGGAATTTTCTAGACTCCTTACAATTCACTAAATGCTCCATGAACGAATATCGGATTCAGCGAACACCTGATCGCCAGTAGGGAGAAAAGTCAAGGAGATATTCCTCGGACTGGTAGCGTTTGGCATGGTGCGACTGTACACATTGATCGGAAATGTCCTCTCAGTTCTTGCAGACAGAACTCTTGAATCTGATTCAGGAGTCCAAACGGAAGAATTCTGACTTGCGAAATGTTTGCTTCCCATCTACTAGAGGAGGTTTCATGAAACTCAAACTTACTGACCGCTTAGGCTGCTGAGGAGTCACTGAATGATTTGAAGGCGTTGCCTTCAACTTCCGAGGCTCAGATATCTGCTGGTGGGTGTCAAGCAATGCCATATGTCGCCCTTGTTGCTGCTTGGGAAGATTACTGAATACCCAAGAGATCTTGTGCGCAAACCCAGATTTGTCGATCCATTTATTTTAGCTTGCCATAGTCGACATGCAAAGCTTGCCGGAATCGGAGTTGTCTGCTTGCAGAGACTTGTGGCTTCCCGGTCTCTACCTTCTGAGAGGCTGAAGGATGTCCTTGGGGGATTGAAAGAGACCACTAGCCTGAGTAAGCAGTCATAGCTGATAATCCTTCAAATCACTAACTCGATCAGACCTGGATATCCAACTCAAAATTTTGCAGTCCTTGCCCTCACTTTTGCAGCATTATTCCAATGACCTAGGAGGAGAGCTTCTTGCAAGTACATTAGAAATATGTGCTACGCTGCAAGCAAGCAAAACTCTTGCCGTATCTAGCACAGCAGCAGCCACTCTTCAGCAGTTAGTAGTCTCGACATTCGAACGAGTTGCTGAAGAAGACAGTCAGTTTTTCCTTTGTTCGGCCTGGCTTGTTATGTCTGCTGACGTATCTTCAGAAACTCTCGATGAAGGCAAGCCACAAGTGACAATCAAGCTTGAAGCTGACTCCGTGAACATCGGGTACTCTGCGTATGATGCATTGCGGGTAAGCACCACACTCCTACGCGTATTCGGACTTCATTGACATAGCGCGTAAAGGTCTTGGATGATCTGTGCCGGCTTGTAGATGGCGAGCAATTGCATTTTCTGCGTATCAAATCACTTTCTCAAACGTTCACATTGGAGCTCATCGAGAGCATCCTCACTAATAGCGGACACTTATTTGTTGGTCATGCGGAGCTCACGCATGTTTTGCGGACTCGGCTCATGCCGATGACAGTCAGGTACCTCTCTGAGAGGCACGGCTTTGCCCTTACCAGCCGCGTTGCTCGGATTCTTCTTATACTTCTCAAGCGTTACATGTCTCTTCTGACAGCCGAATGCGAGATGGCTCTTGGGTTGCTGACTCACCTTCTCGAACCCGATGGAACGTCGCCTTGGAAAAGAGTACTCTGTATGGAAATTTTTAGAGGACTTTATGCCGAGCCGGGGCTAGTTCGGCTCATTTATTCTCTATATGACGGAGAAGACAACAGGAAGAATATTCTCAGAGATCACATGGCCGCTCTCGTGCGTCTAGCGTCTGAGAAGCCTTCATTGATTGGAGTCAGCAGTCGTTCAACTGTACCCTTGCGAGCTGAACATGCACGATCCATAACAGAAGAGCAGATAACACTTGAAGCTGGCGGAGTTGCTGGGGTTATCGGGGCCACTGGCCCTTCTACTGAGACTAATTTCCAGGGAATTAGCAGTCAGTGGAGCACAGTCCGCACGCCGTACATCGAGCTGCTTGACAAGACCGATCCGCCATCTCCCCCTGAAACATACATCTACAGCCTAGTGCTCAATTGTATCACCTCATTTGCAGAAGGGCTGGCGAAATTCATACTTCCATTAACTGTCCCAGACTCGAAGCAGAAGCGGAGAAGTCGGATTATGAGCCCCGACAAAAGCAATTCTACTAAGCCTGCACATAATCTTCAGAGAATGGATTCCGGCACAACTATACACCGATCGAATTCCAAGAAACTCGCGATACCTCTTAATCCCTTGGACCTAGATTCTCACCCTCAATTGACAGCAATCAAGGCCTGCGCCGGCATCATTGAGAATTGCTGGCCTGCTATACTTGCAGCCTGTTCGACATTTCTCTACGCTTCGTTGGACGAAGAATACTATCACAACCTTGTTCGATCTTTTCAGAAGCTCGCTCATGTTGCCGGCCTTCTCAGACTGTCCGTTCCGCGGGACGCTTTTTTGACTACTCTAGCGAAGGCTACAATGCCAGCTGAGATGGCTGGTGCTTCGACTGCAGCTGCCTCAGATTCCCACAGCATCACCACCTTGGATGAAAAAAGCAAGGGCGGCGCGGTGTCCCTCGTTAGCTCCCCATTTCCTGCGGAGGGTCCGAGAGCATCTGCGGAAATTGCTTCATTGTCAGTAAGCACCAGAAATCTGCTGTGCCTACGTGCTCTCTTGAATCTGGGGATTGCCCTCGGCCCCACTTTAGACCAGCCGGCCTGGTCGATCATTCTCGGAACGCTGCAGGATGTAGACTTACTCATCGGCATGGCCTCCAGCAAAACCAATAACTCTATTAATAATGCGGGGGATGTGTCAGGCGATATGTCTAAAGCCAACCTCGGGGCAGAAATTACAGCTGTTCAAGCAGCCTCTGCAAAATTGTTCGAGAGCACTGTTGACTATCCGAGCGATTCGTTCGACGGTCTGCTGATTGCTCTCCTTGACCTCTCCGGCACGACTGAAGAACCAGTTAAAGATGGGCCATCTGAAAAGATACTGGGGACTCCGAACTCCTCACCGTCGCAAAAGCATGTCGTTCGGGCACGGAGGAACAACCGGGGTGTGTCCTTTTTGGTCGAAAAGTCCAGAGTGCGGGATGAAGAACTGAAGTTTGTCTTGGACAAAGTGAAAGAGCTCGCCCAAGCAAATCTTAAACGCTTGTCGTCGTTGGCCGACACTGACCGCGGCGTCTGGCAGCTGCTCACTGAGTGGTTGATTGCCACCGCCGCAAACCCAGAGATAAGCCAGAGACTTCGTCTAAAAGCGAACGGTGTACTCAGCTATGTCGTATTTGAGACTATGAAACAGAGAGACGATGCTGATGATTCAGTCCGAAACGCGCGTCATATCAGAAACCTGGAAACTCTGAACATGCAAGTCTCGACGCTATATTCGGTTAACGCTTGCATTCCAGGGTTACCACCCTCTACGTCCGTCATAGAGATCCATGAGCAGAGTCTGGAGACATTAAAGAGCATTCTGGAGCAGTATGCAGAGTCTTTCAATGAAGGATGGACCCTTGTCTTCGGTCTGATATCCAGTGTGTTCGGGGACGTTTCAAACGGCGAGAGTGTGACAGCGGCAGGAGATACCTCTAGCAGGGCGCGTGACACACGCTCGGTAGCCGACTCGCCTCGGCTCGTTCGTACTGCATACAAATCTCTGCAGTTAGTCGCTTCTGATTTTATCGCTCTCTTGCCACGCCAATGCCGGTTGGACCTCGTGAATTCATTATCCCGTTTCGCTTTACAGCAAGAGGACTTCAATATCTCATTGACAACGACATCATCCTTCTGGAATGTATCTGATTTTCTGCAAGGGCAAATTGAGGAATTCTGCATTGAGTCGCATGTCGAACTCTCAGTCAGCGAGGAGACACTTTCGACTCTTGCAAGAGGTGATGAACCCTCGGTCTCACGAAATGCGCTGTGGCTGCTGCTTCTGCTTAGGATTGTAAGCCTTGCGAGGGATAGCAGGCTGGAGATCCGAAACTGCGCGATTCAAACCCTTCTACGGATTTTCGATGCGTACGGGCAACAACTTTCACCCAAGGCATGGCGTCTGTGTCTGAATCGTGTTTTGTTCCTAATGGTTGAGGCCATCGAACTTGAACTCGCAAATTCTCGGGCAGCGGAGAAGGCCAGGGGCTCTGAGGTGGTTCAGTCTTGGATAGAAACAGCAGTTGTCATGATCAAGGGGTTTTCCAATCTGATAACTACATTTTTCGAGCCTATCGTCGGAGACGATGCCTTTGACGCTTCCTGGGAACGTCTACTGGGATATTTGCACAAGCTCATCAGCTCGAACTTCCTGGAGCTCAGTGAAGCGGTATTCTCCAGTCTGGCAAACATCCTTCTTCAGGCGCAGACGACAAATATTATGAGCAAGAAGGCTCTCGAACTCGCTTGGTCGCTGTGGGTTGCTGGCCATCCTGCTCCCAAGGAGGACATGATTGACCTCGGACGCCCAAATCAGGATGCATCATCTGCATACTTGCAGGCATTTCAGCAGTTGTATGCCCTCTATAAGGACGATCTAGGGGATGACCATATTGAGCATATTCTCCATCATTTGCGCCTCCTCGCTTGGAACTCCGTCTCCTCTCCTTATTCGCCGGACGTGGATCGGGTTTCGGATGTACAGGCAATTATCATTGACTGTGTGAAAATGCTATGTTCAGACAAGCCGGAGGCTCAGCCAAAGATCGTTTTCTGTCTTGCTGACTTCGTTGATTCCGCATTGACAAAATGGTCCCTAGATTCAGATTCGAGAAGGCCAACTTTTGTTGCGTTCTCGAAAAGCGCTGTAGAGCTCCTGGGCTGGTATATTGCTGCCTTTGGTATCAGGGAAGATATCTTCTCCAATGGCTCTCTATCTTCTGCCTTGGAACATCTTGGGAACCCAATTGTTCAGAGATACGAGTGGCCAGGAAAAGACAGAGATCCCAGTTTATGGCAGAAATCGACCACTGCAGTGCTGGATATTCTCCGTGTGGCGGTTCCATACGTCGAAAAGCAATACGAAAACGCAAATTTGGAAGAGATCTCGCGGTTCTGGAAGTGCGTGGTAGACATTGCGAACGGCATTGCCTCTGCGAAAGGTTATCGAACCCGTTCAATTCCCAAAACAAAAATCCGCGCAGACGAAACCTTCGATATCGATGCTATGAACAAGCTTAAGTCTATCATCATTCCATCTCTAGGCGCATCCATCATCCCAGACAAAATTCGACACCAGTTCGCACGTACGATATTCAACTCCTCTTTCATCTACCAACAACAGCGTTTTGGCGCTCCTATCAAGTATTCGGACAAGGAGCCTTTGCAGGGTCTATATGATATCCAGCCTGGCCGAACCTTTGACCCACCACCAACCCCACGCGCTCGGATGGCATACGTTCTGATCGACACGCTATTTGAGCTCGCACCAGCCCCCCAGCGCGAAGACTCGCGCAGCAATGATTATACATCCAAGCAAGAGCCAAGCAATACAGAGCAAACAACAGCCCGCGTTCTACTCTCGCGCTCTGTCGCCCCGTATCTCATACTCCGATGCGCCGTATCCCTGAAGGCATACATCGCGGATCAGCCACTCCGCGGACTCATGCCGCAGCCCACGCCGGCGCGCAAGGCGCTCCTGCATCTTCTCCGCGGCATGATCGATTTGCGGAGCGAACCAACTGCCGTTCCTGCTCCGCCTAAGACGAGGACAGTGGTCATGTCGTCCGGCGACTCAAGCCAGGCTGGAAACGGACATCACAAGAAACATCTGGAATGGATATACCCACTCGTTGTGAAGGCGGTGCAGGTCGCTGGAAGGGAAAAAGATGACGGAGAGGTTCTCCAGGTTCTCGGAGCGGTTTTAGAACGGGTCGGCAACGATGTCTAATTTGTATATTTTACATTTCGCGCTATAGATCATCCCAAATAGATCTCAATCGTGCGTATTTCTTATGGATAAGCATTTGCGGCAAGTGTTCCATCCTCAACCATCATTGGACACAAGAGTGCTATTTTATTTAAAGAACCAATCATAGACCGTCAGCTACAGGACCAGTTTATCTGATGGCAAGGAATCAAGATAAGCACAGGATACGGATACAGAGTCAAATAGGGTATATGTATGGAGTAGAAGATGTCGCCAAATCTCAACAACTTCCATGAAATAGAAACGTTAAGCGAGACCCCATGCGACATACTCAGCCTACAGGCTAAGCGGCAGGGGCGGATAATCTCTGAGTGTGATATGATTCGCGTCCAGGTCCAGCCGTGGCTGAGCCTTCTGGTAGGGGCTGTTGCTGCTTCTGTTGCTGAAGGAGCTGCTGCTGCTGGATCTGTTGCTGTTGAGCGATTTGAGGGGTCGCTGCGATCTCGGGAGCTTGTCTGTAGAGAGTAATCTCGGACTGCTTGAAGTACCGACGGGCATCTAGACACAAGGAGTTCAGGTCAGTACGTTATCAAACCGCAGTGGGATGCAAAAAACTGAGAAAAACAGCTGGGTTTCGAAACAAAAACGTATGAAATGACGAAAACCGGGGGCTTAGTGGGACCGCCACGCGAGGTATCAGCCAAGTGTGGCTTAGCGTGGGGGTTTTGCCGTTCGGAAAGAAACCGCAAGTCAGCCGGTTCGAATGACCACCATGACTGGTCCGAGGTGGTTTCAATAGCCGATCGGCTATTGAAATGTTCAGGGTGGGATGCCGTGGGATATTATTGGGCAAGTGTGAACATATTGAAACCTCAGGTACCAATTCAGGTAGCAAACAACGCCGCGATAATGGGTCATGCGCTTTCGAAGTCGCACGGACTGCCAGTTGGTTCTCCGTAGGGAATCGATCGGGCAGATTCCATGCCAATAAAGAAAACATCCGAACAAGCAGTGCTTTATTTTTGTTCTGCTTACCTTCATCGATCAACACCAGGCTCAGATAGTATCTTGTGGAGTACTTTTTGTTGACATCACGGAATGTGGGCGTCAGATCGAAACCACCCAGGAACAGACGAATAGGAATTGTCTCGCCTGGTCATGATCAGCAGGAAGCTCTTTCCATTTGTTCAACAACATATATTGCTTTTTGTGGGGTGCCAGCAGTGTGACATGAAGCGATTTCAGTCGGATGCGACTCACCTCGCGAAGGCGACCCGTCCATGATCTGTCAGAAGAACAACGTTAGCAGGCATCCCCTGTTTTGTGCCAAAAAGGGCTGGCCTACCTCGAATCGTACCAGCGTCTCGCTCTCGTTGTACTGGTTTGGCGGGGAGCCCGTCGTCTCACGTCGAATAATAGATAGTTCCATGTGTTTGATCTTCAGCCGCACGAGGAGAAAATAGATACGCCCCACGATGACATCTTTCAGGTGATACTTGGATTTGGAGTATTCAAACTCAATATGCAGGCAGTCTTCGATACCAACATCCATCTTGATCGGGCTGTTGGTTTCCGGGGGCATGCGATAAGAGTAAACCCAGAGATCCTTCTCGCGAATAACATCTGCCATCCGCCTCGAGACCGTCACCCGAACAAAGTACCGCAGCTTCACATTGATACCATTGTATGATTCGTATTGTTTCTCGACGTTCTTGAAGTTGAAGGGGAATGTCTGTGGGTGTTGCAGCTCTCCGGGAGCTGCAAGTTCCTGCACCAGCGAAAGAAATTCGTAATGGTTGCCTCGATCGTAGAACATCTCTGCTCAGCGAGACGCTTGGTCAGTTCAAGTCTCAATTACTAGTGGCAGCAAGTGCTGCAGTCTTTGATCGGGCAGGCTCCCATACCGATCGTGCCAATGAATTGCACCTTGATGCCTGTGTGTTCTAATCGCTTCCCATCCTTTGGTCGAACCGTAACAGCACCCTTCACCGACTCCCCATCCATGTAAAGAGGGACTCGCTCGCGGCGGCCCTTATCGAGCTTTACGTCCACTGTCTGGCGTTCATCGCTGTCTTCGAGCACGACGTCAATGTCGACGGGAGTGGAGAAGAAGAGAGAAGTCATTTCGGAGGCCGGGTGGCAGGGTTTAGGAGGCTTAAACTAGATTGGAACTCGTGCACACGTGAAGTCCTTGCAGTCAAATCAGATAGAATCACACAATTGCCATGCCGCTTAGCTTCGCTCAAGCTTACACCTGGTTGTTGACCGCAGAAGGCGATCCACGACTGCCTGACGGTTAGCCTGTTATATCGTGATTACGTAATATCCCGGCATCATAGGAGATGTTCCATGATCCATCAATAGTTACATCTGTACTTGGGGATTTCGTAGATTAACAGTTGAAGAACATACGAGTCACTCTCCCCATGAGCCAGAAAATATGAAGTGACTCGACATCTCCAGTGCCAGGAACAGTAACATACTACTAAGTTGTTGTGCGCTACAGATGCTGACCAATGGGCTGCATACTTGCTCATGTCATGTCCGTGCTAAAATGGCTAAAGAGCAATCGTTATGGATAACCACCTATTTTAAATCAAGGTCCAAGATAAAAAACAACGGGTGCAGCGTAGCCATGTCTCCAGAAGGTCAAAATACAGAAGTATGAGTACCTGGGTATCAGTATTGCTACCGCATCCCCGCCATCCGCCGCGAAATATCCTTTTGCGAAATGGAGGGTAATGATACTACAACTGATATTCAAAGCCGATTTCAGTACGACCTGGAACTTTCGAAGATAAAGGGGACGCGGAAAAGAATGCAGTTTCCGACAGGTACGACACGTCTTTTGTCCTGAGCTGAACTGGAACGAACGGATTGGGCAGAAATCCGCCAGCCTACCATACCAGTAAGGCAACTGGAAACACATTTCCGGAGCCTTGTTACACGGAACATATTGCCTTCTTGAGGCTGAGACCCAGTTCCAAGTTCCAACAAGGTTTGGATAAATACGGAGTACTCAATGCTAGGAACTTGAAGATGTTGGCCAGCGAATTGTTTGCATGCAAACTGGCGGGTTTCCCCGGATTGAGCCACGTCCCCTTGCAAGCCACAAGGACCCAAGATCAATCAATTTAGGCGGTGGGCCACATGGCCATGCGCTCCTGTCGAAGTCAATACACGGCTTTGACTGTTGAGTGGTGGAGTGTCGACGCTCGACAGCTTGAAGAAAAGGCGGTATCGGGCTTGCAGCTTCGCTCTTTTGAACCATAACCCTTGTTTGGAAGATGATTGTCTGCTGAGCGCCTATCAGAGCTGTGACGCCAACGTACCTCCAGAAGTGCGGAGTATTAGTCCGTCCATAATGCACTCATTATCGTTTGCCCCCTTGTTCCCTTGTCCACGGGATCAAACATTGGCAGATTGAAGCGTTGTACAGCCATGCTGGTATATCAGGGATGCGTTAAAAGTGAGTGAGCAACGCATTACAGAATGTAGCTAGGGATAGATCCTTTGCGCTTTGATTGAATCCTCCCACTTTTGCTGTTAATAGTATTGAAGATCTCGAAGGTTGCGTGGGGGAATATTCCGGTTACAGTGTAAATGCTATGCGTACGCCATTCGTTTTTACAATTAATTGCAATCAAATTGCAATCAATATCGAAAAACCAGTAGACAGATAACTGATAGATATTAGAAGATTCCCATGCCAGGCCGCTACCTTATTTCCGTCAGCCCATGCTAGCCACAGCATCCTGGTATCTGGTCCCTGGAGATCATCTCTGAGTAATCCCTGAGATTTTCGTCTGTATTCCGCGTCCTTTGAATTTTGAACTGTATGTCCTCCACTGAATTCAAAGAAATGCAAGAAAAGAACATGGGAAAACTGCTTTCCCAGTACACAGTATACCTATGTGGTATAGCGTGGGGGTTATATGATGAGTGTCTGTAACTCTCTTGTAATTGTATTATTGGCTGTATCAGTCCCGGATCCCCGGTGCAGGGCAACCTTCTTTTCTACCCGTGACATCATGAAAAGATGGGATGACATTGGGACGTAACTTCGTACGTATTTGATGCTCATCCAAAAGATACAGTCTTACAATTTGTGTATGGCGATATACAAGCTACTAAGCTGCTTCAAATTTCCTAGAATTATTTCAGAAAGTACTCTTCCCTTTTTCTTTCCATTCTGCGATGGTGAGTGTCTTCAAAGCTAGAATAAGAATCCGATCTCCCACTAACACCCAAGCCGGCGGAACCCCCTTTCTTCTCGAATGTCCCCCACCTTGTCGAATGTTTCACTGATTCCCCCACTCGGCTGGCTGTAATCTATACTCCGTACCTCTGTAAGGTACGTTAAGGTTAGGCTATGGAGAAACCCAACGCTGTAGGTAGAAGTTGTTCGGACTTCCAGTTTCAAAGTTGTCGGAAAATTCCCGTTACGTCTGTATGATTCGATGTTTTTGTAACTCCAACTTGACAGAAAACAATAGGTCATGTTTCCCTACAGGATCGGCTTTCGACATGAAAGTCCCCACCGGCCCAGGTTTGATACTTAATATCCGTCTGCTGGATTTCTTCCTTTTATTTAGTCATTACTCCCTTGTCTTTTTCTCTTCTTCCCCTTATAACTTGCATGAAAGATACTGGTATTACCTTTGACCTGCAATCGCCTGTTCAACGACCTGGTTTGCTGCATTTCACGTAGTTCAAAGCACTCAAGACACAAAAGCGTTGCCTTGCATATACATCCACCGATCCCAACAACACACTCAAAAGTTGGTTGAACCATCCGGCATCACCCACCGAGTTCCGTGTATCACTAGAGCGTCATAGTCTTTGTTCCCTCTGCGGCTCTCTTGCGCAGTTGTTTTCTCCTTTCTGTTTGAGCCGTTCTTCTTCCTTTGTTCTACACACACACCCACACACACACACTATGCTCTCAGCTGGGGAAAGGCCTCAACCGCCTATAAATACCAATGCGGTTGTAGATGCCTCTCGGACACCAGTCTCCAAAGTTTCTCTGAATCACAACTTGGCCACCTCAATGCGGACAGAGACATCCAAAGCAGAGAACATCCAACATATCTGGGTCGTCACCGGGCCTGCGGGATGCGGAAAAAGTACCGTTGGACGGATGCTGCAGAAGGAGCTGGGTCTGCCCTTCCTCGAAGGAGATGATGTAAGTGCTTCTCACACACCCGATATCCTATCTATGGCCTTTGGCAAAATGCGCAAGTCGAACTAACACAACACCCATACAGTTTCACTCACAAACCAACCGAGAGAAAATGGGCAATGGCATCCCTCTAACTGACGAAGACCGTTGGGACTGGCTCATCTCCCTGCGCAAAGCCGCCATCGAGGCTCTCTCCCCTTCACAAGCCAACAACTTCCACCCTCCGTCCGGCGTCGTAGTCGCCTGCTCGGCCCTCAAGCAGAAATATCGAGACGTCATGCGCGTCGCCGCCTACGGCTCCCCCTCCGTCCAGATCCACTTCATCTATCTCAAGCTGGACAAGGACGTCCTGATCGAGCGTGTCAAGCAGCGTGATCCCTCCCACTATATGAAGAGCGGCATGGTCCACTCCCAATTGCAGGCTCTCGAGGAACCCCAGGGCGAATGGGATGCGCTGACCGTCAGCGCTGATGGTCCCCGCGAGGAGGTTCAGAAGACGGTTCTTCAGTTGGTGTCGGAGAAGCTGGCGGAATACCAGTAACCGGGTTATCATTTGTCTGCTTGATTTATGATTTTGCTGTTTTTTTTGGCTGGGTTCAATTGCACGGATTGCATCGATCTCTTGCGCCGTCCGGTGTCTTTGGAGTTTTAGAGCTGCCTACTCATGCTTTTGGAAGCATCATGATCTGTCCTTGTGTCTACGGAGTCCGCATCATATCCTGGAGTTCCCATCGGTTTGAATCTTTATGTCCTGTCATGGTGATCTGTCTGCTGTTATGATTCATGTACACAAGAGGGTTTCCCTGCGTTAGGCATAGCTGATACCTTGACTAGAAAGATGATTTGCCTTGTTTTCTACATCCTAACTTGATTCGCATTGTTCTGAACGCTGGTATAAGCGGTTGGTGGGAACTGACGTCATCATCGATGGTTCCCTTGAAGCCGCCTTACTTAGCCACACTGGGGGGGATTCACATCGTTCTGCATAAAGTTACACAGCTGACTTTAGCCTTGCAGGATATCATTATGATTCTAGATGGGCTGAAGTTAAGCACATAACCATAGGGTGTGGACAACGGGGCTTCCCGCACGCCCAGCCGTACTTAATCCTCTTAGGAACCTCAGGTGTGTAAGCATGTGATACAAACTAGTGTCCGCTTTCGTCCATTGTTTACCTCCCTAGCCTAGATCGGCTAGATAGGGGCCGATTGTACCGATTCTGTCGTCGCAAACAGCTGGCCTTTGTCTATTTTGGTTTCTCTGGTAAATGAGTATACCTGGCAATGCTGGTACTTGCAGCCCTCCGCCATGAACCGAATTGACAAGACGGATTACTCGCGCTGGCGTATGCTGGACGAGGATGGAAAGCACACATGGCATTATCTCGACGACGATGAAGCGGCTCGGAAATGGCCCCAAACACTCGCTGATAAGTATTATCTAGGGCTTCCTTTGGTATCTCCATACGCGATTAACCTCCCCGCATGGCGCGTGCTCCAAGCAACCCATTCTAATTTGATATGGAATAGGATCTCCCGGATCTTCCTACTGCTACGTCACCATTAGAAAGTGCGGTTAATGGCCTAAAATTCTTCTCGAAACTACAGCTTCCACCGGGGAACTGGGGCTGCGAATATGGCGGGCCAATGTTCCTGCTTCCCGGGGTGGTGATTGCGTGGGTGGTGACGGAGACACCCATTCCGCCGGCCTATGCGACAGAGATCAAAAATTACCTGATTGCGCACGCGAACCCGGTCGATGGAGGATGGGGGCTCCATTCCGAGGGCGACAGCACTGTGTTTGGCACATCGCTGAACTACACCGTGTTGCGGCTTCTTGGGGTGGATAGTGAGCACCCGGTCATGGTGCAGGCGCGAGGTCTTCTCCACCGGCTTGGAGGCGCCGTGAATGCGCCGCATTGGTCGAAGTTCTGGCTAGCAGTTCTAGGGGTGTGTGACTGGGAGGTCGTTAATCCTGTTCCTCCCGAGACATGGCTGCTGCCGGACTGGGTACCAGTAGCCCCATGGCGATGGTGGGTGCATATCCGACAGGTCTTTCTTCCGATGTCGTGGATCTGGTCTAAAAGGTGGACGGCCGCGGAAACAGACGTTGTGAGGGCCCTGCGACGGGAGCTGTTTGTCCAGCCGTGGGAGAGCATCGAGTGGGCGGCACACCGCAATGACATTGCCCCGACCGATAATTATCATCCCAAGTCGTGGGTGTTGAACTCAGCCAATTGGTTCCTGTCGAATATCTGGACACCATACCTTCGACCGAGAAGCCTGGCTACACGGGCGGAAGACTGGGTTAGTAAATTGGTTGACATGGAGGATGCGAATTCAGACTATGCTGATTTAGCATCCGTTAATGCACCTATGAATCTGATTGTTTGCTATATCCGCGATGGGCCCGATTCCTATTCTGTGCGTCGTCATCGGGAACGCATGGAAGAATTCCTTTGGGTGAATAAAGATGGGATGTTCGCTAATGGGACGAATGGTGTACAATGCTGGGACACAGCGTTTCTGATTCAGGCTGTGTGGTCGGCTGGTCTAGCTGAAGATGGCCAATTCAAGCATATGCTGGTACAGGCGCTGGAATTTCTGGATCGACAGCAGATCCGCGAGAATTGCAAGGATCAGGACGTTTGTTATCGTCATTTCCGTAAGGGCGCCTGGGCTTTCAGCAATCGCGACCAGGGATATGGGGTGAGTGACTGCATTTCAGAGGCGCTGAAGGCTGTTATTGTGCTTCAGAAAGAGGCCGATGGATATCCACAGCTGCTCGAAGACCAAAGGATCTTTGATGCCGTGGACACCTTGCTCACTTATCAAAATCCGTCGGGCGGTTGTGCGTCTTATGAGCCGACCAGGGGAAGTGAATACCTCGAAATGTTAAACACAGCAGAGGTCTTTGGACGCATTATGGTTGAATATGATTATCCTGAGTGCACGAGCGCTGTGTTGACAGCTTTGATACTGTTCTCCAAACACTGGCCTGACTATCGACGCGGAGAGATACAGACATTTATCCAACGCGGAGTGAATTATATCAGGACGGCGCAACGCGCTGATGGCAGTTGGTATGGAAGCTGGGGAGTATGCTTTACATACGGCACGATGTTTGCTTTGGAATGCCTGGGAGCAGTTGGAGAGACCTATGAGAATAGTGAACATGTCCGCAGGGGGTGTCAGTTCCTGCTTTCGAAACAACGCGAGGATGGTGGATGGTCTGAAAGCTTTCAGGTGAGTATCTTATATCAATAAGCCACTACACTACCCCTATGCTCCGTTAAAGATATCCGAGAACTAATCCCATTCAGAGCTGCGAACAAATGACGTACATCGAGCATTCTATGGGATCCCAAGTTGTTCAAACTGCATTCGCTGTCATCGCACTCCTGAGTGTCGACTACCCCGACGTTGAGCCTATCCACCGCGGAGTTCGCTTGATTATGTCTAGACAGCAGCGAAACGGGGAATGGCTACAGGAGGGTATCGAAGGCATCTTCAACAAGAGTTGTGCTATCACATATCCGAATTACAGATTCATCTTCTCGATTCTTGCATTAGGCAAGTTTGGGAGAAAATACCCCCATCTCATGTAGGAGGTGGGAGAGGATGGATCAATCAAGAAGGCAGTATTTATTGTATTCCATTCTTCACCCAAGGATTGTAGATACAGAAACTTGGAGCTTCAGTTGGCCCTTCTTCCCGGGGAAACCACGAACCGGATAAAAAGCAGTGTGGTGACTTGTGATATACTGCTGTCGTCCGCTGCATGCTGCTAGAGAGGCGGATGCCCCCAATCGGCCCCCAAACCTATTGTTATAGCCCGTGGGCCTGCAGATGTCTAGCCCAAGGTTAATTGTTATTGTTTCCGGATCCAATTTCCGCTTCGATCTGGATAGTCTGTCTGCATCATGGTCCCAAGTACTTTCTTTGTGCTGCTACCAAGTGAGGCAAAAGAGAGATTGACCAAACAGGTCAAGGACACTATAAAGTTTTATCTTGCTTCATTAGCAAGGTATAGTCAATTGACACATTCCACACTGCTCAGAAAGCTTCACAACCTGCTCATCATTCATACACCTAGGTAACAAATATTCATTTCTCTCTGTGATGTATCGACTTCTACAAAGGACGGTGTACTGAAGAAGAGACTGGTATGATGATGTCAAACAGATAGACAGCAAGGAGCTGAACAGATCGGTGAGGAATTATGTAGGGTCGCGTCAAGCTACTAAAGCAACATGGCTGACTCAATCTGACTCCCACCTGTCCGTCAACTAACCTTCGTGCCCTTCATCGTCTTCGCCATTGTCCTCTTCATTGTCCTCTTCATTGTCCTCTTCATTGTCCTCTTCATTGTCCTCTTCATTGTCCTCTTCATTGTCCTCTTCATTGTCCTCTTCATTGTCCTCTTCATTGTCCTCTTCATTGTCCTCTTCATTGTCCTCTTCATTGTCCTCTTCATTGTCCTCTCCACCATCCACCTCAGCCTCCCGCTCAAACTGTTCGGTGTATGGATTGTATTGTAGTGAGCTGTTTTTACAGAGGAATGTGATCCAGCTTTCAAACTTCATCCTGCCATTATTGTCTTTTAGATCGATTGGATCTTCTCCGGTAATGAGCTGGACAAGCCGACTGCCAGGATTCGGGTCAGTGCACTTCTCAGCGATTTCAACCGTGTATGATGTCGCATTCGAGCAAATCGCAGGCTTGACCTCACGATGAAAGACATAATAGAACAGTTTGGCTTTTGTCGAAAAGGCCACAATGACGGGATGGCCCCATCTCTGGAACCTATCTCTGGGGCGGGCTTCAAGCTTGGAAAGCTGGCGAACGACATACTGAAGTGTCCGTTCCCACTCTTCTGGAGTTTCGTCACGCTCGTGGCGGAAGAATGCGTGAAAACCGCTGCACTGGAAGGGCTCCATCCCTAATTCACGGTATCCAGGAGGCAGAAGACAGCGGTACAGTCTGTTGCGGAGCATAGTACTGAAGAACCTTGAGTGGGGATCACCAGCGTCTCTTGCTAGCTTGGACAGGTATTGTCCCCAGGCGTTCTCGACAGCACCGAGATACGCATAACTAGGCAGACTGAAAATCAAGTCACCATCTCTCTCGTTCGGAGGGAAAGACCAGCCGTACTGTTCTCTACGACATATCAGCTTTTACTGCTCTCCTGGCAAATTACATATGAGATGTACCACTTACCGCGAAGGGCCTTCTTCTGCCTCAGACCACACTGGATCCTTTGGCGTCACGTCCGATAATTGAATGGCCACGTCATCCATGATACTGAGTCTGTCTGTATTTGCGACGCCTATAACAGGACTCAATTTGAGCCCATCTGTAATTGCGCGGCCAAGCCAATCCTCTTGGTACATGGTGAGCTTAGAATGGATCTTCTTCCCTGAATGCAAGTCTTCTAGGACAAAGGTCTCAGAGTCTTCGCCACTCCCAATCACAGCGTATTCATCGTTCAGCCGGAGCTTGCGACGGCTTATCTCGTGGCAGAAAGCAGATGATTGTGCAAGGGCCAAATACGTACGCATATCCGAAAAGTCCATGATCAAGGACAAGATCTCGTTGGGAAACAGAAGAGACTTCGTACCAGCAAGCCTCTCAGCTGCAGCTGCATTGAAGAAGTGATACATCAGCATGAAGGCGAAATAACCCGTTGCCGCTGGATCCGCTGATATACCGGAAGCAGCACCGTCCTGTTCTGAAGCATCGTCCTCTCCTAGGGATGTGTCTTTCGGTTTGGTGTCGTGACTGCCTAGTTTGTTGAGACCCTGCTGGGACTGAGACCGATGAGTACGAGGGCCATGAGCATATTCAGAGTTCTCGCCAGTAAACTCAAACAGAGCCATGAGAGAAGACCTTCTGATATATGGCTTTCCGTCACGTCCCTTCTGCACGCGGATCAGAACAACGTCTAGAATAGAGAGTACCATGGCATAGAACTCTTCGTATCCTTGACCGAGTCCATCATTCACTACCGCTACCACTGATGCTTCTTCGACATCATCTAAATCAAGTCTAGAATTGAGAAGAACGAGAACGTTGTGAAACCAGAAGCTAGTGCTTTTCGGTGCTGATCCAGGCTCGATGCCAGGAAGGTGACTCTCATGTATGAATCGCGGGAGCATCCTCGTATGGCATTTTGGAGTCCTGGAATTCGGAAGCAGGTAATAGCCATTTGTCCTATACTTCGCATCGAGGACTTGAGGGTATTCGAAGAACACTTCTCCAGCTGCGAGCGACAGCACAGCGAACGCCATTTCCCTGAACATAAAACAGCTGGGCTCCCAACCAAGGACAAAGCGATCAAGAACCTTCCGATACACCCTACACATCTGCAAAAACGTGGTCATCAGAAAGTTGATGCGGACAGGCATCATTTGTTTGACAGCAGTGGAGGGTGAGGCGGCATCCAAGCCCAAGGGGAGCATAGTTTCAGCAGCAAAATCGGTAAGCGAGAGAAGTTCAATGTTGAGAGCTTCTCCCAAAACCTTCAAGTTAGGATCGATGTTTGGTTCCCAGGAGATATCAGCAATGATATCCTTGGGTGTATTGTCACTCAGCTTTCTGCGCCGCCGGGCGTCCTCAGCGAGATATCGGATCCACCGTCCCCCGTGGGGTATATTGAACAGCTTGAAGCATGCGGCATCATCAACAGCGAACATCTCCCGGTCAAGGTCTATGGTGTAAGTCCATTCAATGAAGAGGTCATTGGAGAATCTGTTCATGATCGTCTGAATTGGAGCATATTCAAGGCGGTCATCGACAGCCAGATAACTCTTTGCATGACGCTCACTGATGCTAAGATCGTCTTGCTCGATATTGACATCCACCGTGAGTATCTGATCTTCGAACTTCTGTGCAGAACGAGAATACATCTCCCTCATCGAATTCAGCCAATCTAACGAGAACAGATGTGTCAGTTTGTGTGCACAGCGTCCAGAAGCATAGCGTTTCTCTTACTGCGGTAGCCCTCAGGGTCAGTTGGTATTTCATGAACAATAGCATCTCCGAGTCCCTCAGGATAGCTGTCAAACTGATTCCAGATGACGAAGTATCTGCCGCGGCAGCGGATGAAGAGAAGTCCTCTTGTCCCCATCTTGACAGTTCGGTGTCACTATCAAGGACAGAGACAAAGGCTACGAGACAGACTGAGGGTTTCACTTCTTCTCGCAAAGTAGCAGCAATAGTGCAAGAGGAGTATGAAGTGAAAGAAAGAGAATACCAAGGAGAAAATCAGAGGTTAGAGGTTGGTGAGTGGTGAGAGGCTGAAAGCTGTGAGGAGGGGTTGTTGACGCCAGCACGCGCAGCCTTGAGCAAACAAACGAAAGAAGATCCAAACACAAAATTCAAAAGGAAAAGAAAATTCACTGCCCACGGTCTTGGGATAAACAACTCTTCATCGAACACAATAGTAGGACTTGGTGTTCATGGCTCCATCACAACACAGACTCAGAAGCAAAATACCTGTTGACTTTCAATCGCTTTGTCAGGTGAACTCTATAACTACTATATTAGAACCTGGTATCACTGTGATGGAAGAACCGCTCTTTCTCTATTTCAAATTCAAAAGCATCAGCTCTGGCGACTCGATAAACTCGCGAACTTTGTTGGCCATTCTTGCCATAGTAGCCCCATCCACAACTCTATGGTCTGCACTCCAACTGAAATTCACTAACTCGCCCTTGGTGACCTGACCAGCATCATCAAAGACTGGTACTGTTCTTGATTTTCCAACCCCCAGAATAGCCACTTCAGTTGGTACAATCACCGGTCCAACGTAGGTGCCTCCGATGTTACCGATGTTTGAGACAGTTATCGTGCCACCACTGAGGTCAGCGGGTGTGAGTTTACCCTCTTTACCCAGTGCACTTAGCCGCCTGATTTCTGCTGCTATTTCCATGATTGTCCGGTTTGCGACATCTTTGATGTTCGGAACGATCAACCCCTGTGGAGTATCCAGAGCAACTCCGATGTTATGCTTCGGCCGCATGATCAGTTTCGGCTTTTCAGGATTGCTCAAGTCCACCTTAGCGTTAAGAAGCGGATATTCGTTCAAAGCAAGGGACACAGCCTTGATGACAAAGGGGAGGAAGGTGACCTTTTTGGGATCTTTGGGGTCAGACGCCAGCTTCTTCCTCAAAGCCGTGATGTCGTTGATCTTGAGCTCATCCGCATAGAGGAAGTGCGGGATAGTGAGAGAGCGGGTCATGGTCTTGAACATTTGGGATTGGATCGGTGTCAGGTTAACCGTGGTTTCTGTTTGCTGACTGGCAGGTGCCACAGAACCCGCTTGCGCTGCTGCGTCGCGCATGGTAATAAATTTATTGACGTCTTCTTTAAGAACACGACCATCCTTCCCTGTCCCTTTGACGTCAAGAATATCAACATTGTAAGTCTTCAGCAGCCCACGGACTGCTGGGGTAGCGAGAGAGGCATACTTTGACCTTGGGGCTTCAACAGCGGCCTCATTGACCTGTGAAGGGGGCAACGGAGTCGATGCTGTTGGCTGTACAGAAAGAGTATCCTCAGCAACGGGATCTGGCTGCAATTGCTCGGGTTTGGGCTCAGTAGGCGTGTGATCATCTGGATATTTGCCATCTTCGACTTCTATGTCACAGAGTGCCTGGGAAGGGCATAATGTTAGACACGGATAGTTCTCGCCTTCCAATTGTACATGAACATGCATACCATTCCTGTGGGAACAGTGTCATCTGCTTGAAAGTGGAGCTTCTTGACTACTCCTTCGTATCTCGAAGTTATCTAGATTGGTAAATTGTCAGATAGGTAAATAGCGGGATAGAGGAGAACTCGCTCACATCATCGACTGCTTTATCAGACTGATACTGGCACAGTGGCTTCCACTCTTCTATGTGAGCGCCTTCCTCGACATACCACTGAATAATCTGGACTTCGGTGATCCCTGCGTAGAGAATCTGGGTGAGCAATTGAATGACAGACATGAGAGTTGCGTAGGAAAGAGTGTACCTTCGCCCACATCCTTCAGTATTTGAGATTTTATGCCCCACAAAGGTAATGCAGCGTGGAATCTCCGTCGAGGTATTGATATTTTTGACGATGGGGTGGTTGGGATGACCCTCTGAGGCCGAGAGGACCTGAGAGCCCCCAGCACACCTCTGTTGCAGCGCAAAAAGCTCATAGTCGATCACGAAGCGACCGGGGAATGGGAATATAGAAAGAGGGTATTTTTCCAAAGAAGAAAACCACGAGGCATCATGGAATTGTCCCTATTAGTAGGAAGAGGACTACACAGGGTCTCTCCGCAATATTGCTCCCCATCGCCGATAGTAACCGAGCACAGCGTCACCCCACGTGATTTACTCCGCATTATCAGTCGAATACTCCATAGTTCGGTCCGTCTTTCCATCCGGGCTCAAATACTGAGAGCTTCAACACACAATGGTACCTTGATAAACGGCTCGGCTGCATTCTTTCCTACTTGTATGAGCAAAATATTGTGGCTGAATTGAATCTGATTCGAATTTGCGAGTCAATTAGGACGAGCCCAAGCTTGCCTCGACTCAAGTCCGGCGATAACCAACATTCACTGAGTGCTCGTTTGATTAGAGCAAGGATATCTACTTGTTCCGCAAGGATATTTGCTGCATTCCATGCAAATACTTTCTTCATTATCAAGCAGAGTTATCTGATATCCAAAATTAACGACGATGATGTCCATGGTTGAGATTACTATCTCCACAACTAGTCTAACTTCCCCTCCGTTTTCCATTATTTTGTGAAACCCCACCATTATCTCAGCACAGTGGAGCTGAATACGGCAGTGAGCGATAACAACCGACCACCATCATTTCGCCTATGCTGTGATCCAGGGTCTCTGAGTATCTGGCTTTGATGGCAGTGAAATTGTTATCTGTTCAATAATGCTCACTCTCCAGCTCAGACCGGGTAAACATGCCTGTTGTCCGAGCACAAATTGGTGTGTCTTAGATGCACCTTAGGGTTCCAGCTACCGGCGTTGATGAACGTGGGACTGGGAGATCGCATTGCGGAGGATCGAACCATCATTGGTGCAACCTAATCTTCTAGCCCTGTCAGGGCCAAGCACCCTCCCTGAGGGTTGAGAAGAGCAGGCGGCAGTATTCTCTTTCTCCCTTCTATTCATGTTCTGCATTTCAAGACTGGCTTCGCTGTACTTGATAGACCGTTCAATTGAGCACCGACGTGCTGCACAATGGTGGCCGAACACTTGACGATTCGCAACCTTACCACAACCCCGATAACCCTCAAGCTCATTGAGCGTTTTCACCCCCATAAGGATCCTCGAGATGACATGCAATTCTTGGCCAGGAATTTCTCTCGAATTCTAAGCAATGTCACTCGCACCAATGAGACCGTAGCCGCGATTACTGATGACAATGAACCATTTGCTCATGAACAGGTTGATATTCATGTGGAACCTTTCCAGACAGTCCAGACCGAAGTTCGTGCATTCATCGATTCGGACAAAGAGCGCCTGCGCTGGATCTTTGAAGCAGAGGGAGAGCGACATCAGATTCAGACACCGGTTCCTACGACGGAGTCTGCCGGAATGAAGGCGTTGTGCGATAATCCTCGATTTCGCTTCACTGCCGTCTACGTAACACCTGAATCCCATCTTGCAATCTACTCCTCGGCCAATCTGCAAGCATGGATGGGAGAGCTCAAAGATAGCACATTGCTCTCCTCGCTGTCCATTCCAGGAACACACAATTCTCCTACGTGCCATGTTGCGGCTCCGTCTGTCCGCTGCCAAGCGGTCAGCCCGCGCGAACAGCTCCGAAATGGTGTTCGCTTCTTCGACATCCGCGTGCAGCCTCAGTTTCCCGAAGATCCCTCCAAGGACGAGCTTATCCTAGTGCACAGCGTGTTCCCCATCTCCTTGACAGGCAACAAGTATTTTCGCGATCTGATGCGCGATGTTAATGAATTCCTCGACGAGAATCCATCTGAGACGCTCATCATCTCTCTGAAGCGAGAAGGCCCAGGAAATCATACCGATGAACAACTGAGTCGGATTGTGCGCGACCATTATGCTCGTCCAGATAGCCGGTGGTACACGGAACCCAAAATCCCTACCCTGGGCGAGGTGCGCGGGAAAGTTGTCCTGCTTCGCCGGTTCAACATCATAGAAGAGCTAAAGAATGAACACGACGGCCGCGGCTGGGGCATCGACGGAAGCGATTGGGCAGATAATACTCCAAGCGCAACCTGCAGCAGTGGCCAACTCTGTATCCAGGACTTCTACGAAGTCGTCGAGACGAAGAACATCGACGTCAAGATCAAATATGTAACGGAACACTGTGATCGCTCCAGCGTGCACTGTTACCCGTTCGGTGCCCTCCCGGATCCCGAAGCCAGCAAAGCGCATCCATTTTATATCAATTTCCTCAGTGCAAGCAACTTCTGGAAGGTCGGAACGTGGCCCGAGAAGATTGCAGCGAAGCTGAACCCGGCAACTGTTGACTATCTTTGCCGGAGACACAGCGATAAGGACGGTGACTGGTCGACCGGCATTCTTGTCACGGACTGGGTCGGCCACGAAGGTGACTGGGACCTTGTGCGGTGCATTGTTGGCATGAACGCTAAGCTGAAGATGAGACAGATGAGAGAGGAGCAGGAACACTCTAACGGCGTTGCTTGATTTGTGCTTTCACGCGTGCCCTCGTCGACACGGGCAGCCTGATCATGCAGCTGATCATTTCCCATCAATGCTTTATATGTTATTATGATATGTCAATAATTTGGTCTCATACATGCACCCATGTAAGATTGGAAATACACTACACCGTATGAGAGCAGAGCGGGAGGAACAATAACTCATCTCAAGGAATGGATCCTGATTGGACAAAGCTATGCTACTCAAGTTCGAGAAATGTAACCGAACGATTTTCCGAGGAAGTCTAATTGAGAAGTACAAGAAATATTATACATGGATGACCTGACAAGATTTGCTATGTCGTTAAGATTCGTTCTTGTCACCCTCGGGACCCTTTTGCTCATCTTCCAGAACGCTCCTCCTGCTCTCGAGGGTGAAATAGAGGCTCTTACCAGCGCCTTCCAGGGCATTCGTAATGCTAGATCCCATGCTCTGCAGAGCCATAATAAGTTGAGACCGCAAGCCATCCATACCACCTTCGATACTGCCGACCCATTTCGTCTGGTCGACATCGAAGACCTGACCGTCCACTCGAGCAGCCAGCAAGCTCAATTTCTGTAATCCATTTTGGACAGGCAGTTCATGCCATGCCGGGTTAGCCCTCCTAGTGGGAGCAGGGAAGCCGGTCGCCTTGGGGGCAAGAACCGACATGGCGGCTTTCAGGTGCTCGGGAGACACCTGTGGGATAGAAAGGACTGCGACGGGGCCCACGAGAAGCGCTGAAAGTTCATGCTTGCCTTTCAGGTGCATCACAGCGTCATGGGCCGCACGGGAGAGGTCATGGGTCAAAGCCGGGTCGTCCTTGGATCCCGACAGAGGGATCTCGGCGGAGGTCTGTGTGACGGGGTCGACGGCTCTGGGAGGTTTGGCATTGGCCACTGTGGCCTCATCTGGGCGGAAATATTCGACAATGCGGAGAGCGACCTCGAAGATGCTGGTCTGCACGATTTGCACCTTGATGTGCGGTGCCAGTGGTTGAGCTTGCCGTCCCTCGGCGGCAATCTTTTCATCAACCTTCTGCATGGCCTTGCTCAGTTCCCGTCGAATTGCGGTCCATTCCACCGACTGAAGGTTATCGTGCTGGAAAAGAACCATGAGAGGTGTAGTGCGGATAAGCGATGTGTACTGCCGGAGAAGCTGCGATCGTCGGTACTCGGGATTGCGATGAGAGGGAGGCTGAGAAGGGGGATATCTAGCGATTGGAGGAATGGAAGTTGTCATCTGTTCAATAGATGCGGCCGGAGTCGTCGCTGTAGCTGCGGTGCTCGCATAGCGAGCAGCGACTGGTATTTCGAATTGACATAGGACTCTCTGGCGTCGGAACGACTGACAAATGCGTCCATTGGCGAGTCGTAACCGGGGGGGCATCTTGAATCGAAGTGTAAGATTCGGTTTTCTGCGAGTGTGATGATATCCGTGAAAGCCCTCAGGAAATACAGGGCGTGATAGTCTCGCGCAATGGTTGGCGCCGATAACGTTGGCCGACGAATTATTGAAAGCACGCAGAGAAACCAAAATCTGGAAGAAACAATGGCCGATGTTCCCATTTCGGTATAGTCCATTGGGTGGGCGGTGAAATTCTGCCAGATGCCGCTGACTCCTCCGGTGATACAAGCTGAGGGGCTGTTTACTACTTCCACCTTCCTTTGTCACTGCTGACATTTGGAGTCATTTTCAAGTGTCTTGAAGAGTAGAACTCTACTCAAGTCAACATGTTGTCTGCGCATGAATTTGACCAGAAGCCTAATCAGGTTTCGATCTCACCCCTCCTTCAGAAACTTGCCTACCCCACTACGCAGGTCCCTGTTGATCCCGCCGAAATCGCTTCGGCATTTGCATTGATCTTTGAAGATCGTCTATCGGCCATCCAGACGGCCGCTCTCTTGACCCTTTTGCATTCTACTGCAAAAGATCGAGATGCGCAGGTCATTGCATTATGTTCGCTCCGCATGAGAGAGGCAGCTCGCCAGATCGAGAAGAGCTCTTTGAAAAAGGTCATCAATGCTCGTGGGAAGAAGGAAGGAAACTATGGGGGCGGCCTGGTGAGTGGATTGAAATCGGAATCGATAGCTTGACTGTCTCGCTTATTCGACAATTTTGTTTTGTTCCAGTGTGATATTGTTGGGACCGGTGGTGATTCACATTCTACATTCAACATTTCGACGACTGCCTCTATTATCGCCTCGCCGCTCCTTATGATGGCCAAGCACGGCAACCGCGCGCAAACTTCATTCTCTGGCTCTGCCGACGTCCTGAACGCGATCGCCCCAGTTCCCCCGAAGATCTCCGCAGTTACTGCCGAGAACCTTGCCCAAGTCTACGAAGCGACGAGCTACGCGTTCCTGTTCGCCCCCAATTTCCACCCCGGTATGATGTACGCCAACCCAGTGCGTCGGGGCTTGGGCCTGCGAACTATCTTCAATCTAATGGGCCCATTGGCAAACCCGGTCGACTGGGCGCTGGAAGCGAGAGTGGTTGGTGTGGCTTATCAGAGTCTGGGGCCCGTGTTCGCAGAAGCCTTGCGCTCCAGTGGGGTGAAGAAGGCCCTTGTTGTCTGTGGTGCGGAGGACCTGGACGAAATCAGTTGCGCGGGTCCAACAAACTGCTGGAAACTTACGGGATACCCCAATCCCGACTATGACGGCCCTGATGAGGAGTGTTCCTGCGGCGAGGATGAAGATGTTCCCCGGACTTTGGTCAAGATAGAAACCTTCCAGCTTCACCCGTCTGATTTCGGTCTGCCTGCACATCCTCTAAGTGCAGTGTACGGTAGAAAGATGCCGAAAGAAAACGCAGCCAAGATCATGAGTATTTTACGAAACGAGCTACCTCCGGATGACCCCATCCTTACATTCGTCTTGATTAATGTTGCCGCCCTCCTGGTGATTTCGGGCCTTTGTGAAGCCGACACCAGTAACATGGGCCCTGGTGATGATGGCAAGGTGATCACCGAACGTGGTCCGGGCGGTGGTCGCTGGAAGGAGGGTGTTCGACGAGCAAGATGGGCCGTCGAAAGCGGTTCGGCACTTAAATGCTTGGAACAGTTCATCGAAGTCACAAACAGACTTTAACAAAACTGTCCCATTGATGACGCAGGGTTATGTGTGATGCCTCATGCCTTCCATTTCGGGGTTGTTTTCTTTTAATTCTCGCTGGGACTGTTTTGGATAGAGGTTAGGTACATACTGGGTTACGAGATTTTGGAATACCTGGGGACTACTGGACTACTCGGAGAGCATATTTCGAGGGACGGAAATTCAACACCGTCAGAACGGGGTATATTTTAGCATTGAATCAGGTCGGACTGAAGATATTTGTGAACATATTATAGGGATGTTGTCCTCAGCGCTACCTTTGCAGAACATCAGGCATGCTCGCAGTTCTCAACTTTAAAATAACCAACTCCAAAGCGCCACAAAATGCACATCACTGTCGTAAAAAGGACGAGACGGGCGGAGGCCCTGCAAATTTTTGTTCGGAAACACTTCGTCGTGCGGATTCTTTTAACGAGCCTCGAACTGGACCATTCTACTCAAAAAGGGCAATTAGCAACCGCACACGGACAAATCTTCACTTCGCGCAGAAGTAAAAATACTCACCTCTTCGTTCTCTCCTTGTAGAGCACACGGTGACCGCAATCCTTGCAGCGGATCTGATCGCCTCTCTTCAGGGAGACGCGCGCATTGCATTCGCCGCACAGATAGGCGACGACAGGCCCATCCATCGAGCCAGCGGCCATACCCTCGGTGCCAAAGGCATTCTGGGCGCCGAGAGAGGGGACCTGATACGCTTCGCGGGACATGATGATCTAAGGTGGTCTGTTCGAGAGCGACTGGTAGGCAAATAATATATCGCTGGCGCAGGTATCGCTCGAGTATAAACCGGGGTGCGGGTGATTGAAGGCGAGTTGGAACAGAGTTCAGACTTGGATCTCTCGAGCACTTTTTCTGCCGAATGCTCTAGGCTGCTTTGTCATCCCGATGGAAGGTTCGGGGGGTAAAGAAGCTAGCCTAATAGGGACTAGCGCATTTGTGCCTCAGGTACCTATGTGCCACATGTTTCATTGCTTTTATTGTTTGCAATCGAAGTATTGGGTTCAAGCGCTCGATCATGACCGTAGTGAGAAAGCTATGGCGGCATGCTTTACCCTGATCTATACATCTATGGAGCTTCCTACAGCAATCTCATGACTGATAAATCCTCTCAAATGCCCAACAAACCTCACATGAGAAATCTATAATAAAAGGGTATCTCTCCAAATGCGTAGCATGCAACCAGTGATGCAAAAAAGCGCTTCCCCAACAACAAATTGAAGGGTATAAATGATATATGCAAAGATGTTCTCAGACCAAACCGGACAGCGAGTGCGGTATTACCAACCACCTCCGATCTTTCCTGCCAACTCAACAACACGAGCAGTTTCGTTGGGTGCATTCTGCGTCTTACCCACGTCACTCTCCACTTCGCGATAGGACGTGTACACCAGCTGGGAAAGGGGTATATCAATCTTCTCTGACCAATACTTCAAGAACTCATGAATCTCGGTATCCCTTGACAGGACGGAAACCGGCTCGGTCGTGACAGACCGCTCGCTATCCGAGTCCGCAGAGTAATACGCCTCATCTACCCGGGCAAGCCAGGCACGCTGCTCATGCGGCGTGGGTTTCGACGCAGCCACAGGAGCTTCAGTCGAAGTCTCTTTTAACGTGTTCGGAATAGCTTCCCGGGCATCTTCAATCCTAATCTGCCCACCTCCATTGGTACAGCCGCCAGGACAAGCCATGACTTCAACATATGCATAATCAGCGCCTGTTCCAGCTGGGGTTGCGATTCTTGACCAGGGCTGTCGTCGACTTGCACTTGAAGAGACTGCTTGCGGCTTGGCGCCTGGAAGCCTCGACACACGTGCCGGTTTAAGCTTTCTGACAAGGTTTTGGATATTCCTGAAGCCATAATACCGAGCCGCCTTCAAGAGGGGCTCTTCCCCAGAGGACATGAGCACATATTCCACAACATCGGCATTGCGCCCACGCTGTGTGACAATCTTGCTGCCGGGGTTTCTGGCTTGGAAGATTCTGAGGACGTGATGAAGATAGCCTCCAGATGTCCCCGATTCGACTGTTTGGCCTGATGAGCTCTTAGAGAACAAGAATGAGTCTAAGGCTTGGTCTGGAAACGGCGTGGAACATGACGCGGGCAATGCTTTGAGCGGCAAATTGGGTAGAGAAAGCCCCCTAGCAGAAGCTAAGGTTAGTAGCTCACGGGTGGTTATGACACAGTCAACGTCGCGGACGGGTGTTGTCTGTGACTCGGTGGAGGTTGAAGCCCATGCAATGTCGGTGAGCTCTTCCCGGCTGGCTTCCAGCTTCTTGTCGAAGCATGGCATAATAGCTAAATGCCATATCTGAGAAGGCGGGACCCCAAGCGCCTTGCTTAGCACTGACTTCAGAAATGTGCCGCTCAAAGCCTGAGGAGACTTGAGGCGAGATAAATGAGGAAGAATGAAAGGGTGTGTTTTCTCAGCATAACATATCCAGCCAGGGCAAGCGGACGAAAGGATTGGACGCTTGGGAAGGCTGCCCGATTCAGTTGATAATAAAGAGCTGGTGACCTCGTCCGCTGTCAGAGCCAACACTGCTTCACGCATAATGTTCGTGTCCACAACCCATGTGAACCCATTGCGATGTTTTCCACCAGCTCTGAGACCATGAGGGCCCATCAGAAATTGATCAATCATATATTTTGCCTCCCGCTCGGTGATTCCGTATGTGGCTGCCAAGCTCGCCCTGACTTGAGGACTGACACTAGCAACAAAGATACGACCATCGCTGTCGGCTGATCCCACATTTTGTGTAGCTCTTTGATCGCTTCCAAAATCCAGCGGCAATTCAGGGTACGAATCAAGAGTGTTGAGAACCTCCGTATGTGATTGCAAGGATATCAGCACCGCTTCCGCAGAAGTGACACATCCGGAGCATGCAAGGCAATCGGTCAATGAAATCTGAGCCGGGGGAAGGTTTTCCGGTTGAACTTTGTCTTCCTTTGTCACTTCATAGGGGTTCTATAAAATTGGAAATGAGCGTTAGCCTATTGGCTGATAACGACAGTTGATTGGTAAGATAGCAAACATACCTCCGACTGGGATTCTTTCAGTGGTAGACTCTCAACGGGCTTGATGCAAGCAACTCCGGGAGAGATGAAATCGTTCAAATCGTCTGCAGAAAGGATTGCACTCATTGTGGCAGGGGCTTTTGGTCGAGCTCCCCGCTATGCGATAAGGACGAAGAAGAGCGCCACCCAAGAAGTATGGATCTCGCAGCGGTCTTCGAGCCCGTCTTCTTTGCTGTAGATGCAATACGGCGGAAATAGCGACAAAGAAAACAGTAGTGAGGGGCTGGTGAACAGATTGACCGGAGAAGCGCTCTTTCAGAAGATAAAAGAAAAGAAGCCAACAACCCACGTCTCTTTGATAAAAAAGTAGGCAGTTTAGTAAAGCCAATCTTGCGCTTTGTAATGGCCGCCGAAAGTGGCGACCGACTTGATTTGCTGCCCCACCCCGCAATCGGCGCTGATAAGCTCACCGCCCGTGTGTTCAAAGAAGATTCCGCCTTGTTTATGCTCCTCGTTCAGCCGGTTCTGCGGTTTCTTTGTCTAGTGACCTCAGGCTCCAACAGGAGACGCCGGTTTGCTTTGCTCTGTTCTGCCCGGCTATAGGCTTGGGATTCGATCAAGAACCCAGCGAGAGTGATAGACGTATATAGCTTAGGAGAAAGTCTCAGAATCCATAACATCTAGTTTCCTAACTTTCCGACTACTCCCCTGTGTATACTCTAGATTTCCTACCAATCATGACCGGTGCACCAGCGGATGGCTCTAAGCAGCCAGTAACTGTCAAACCACAGAAACGGCGCGCAGCAGTCAAGGATGTGTATGAAGCTTCCGGCGCAAATGACTCGAATGTCCGGCAAGAAGCCCAACGGCCCGCAAAGATACGGAAAACCGATGAAGGCGAGGAAGACAGCAAAACGAGGAGAGCGCGCCTGGTAAGAGTCGCCCAAGAAACAAAGAACATCATCCCGACGATATTGACGGTGATGCCTGACGCTCCGCCCGATGGGCATAAATATTCGCTCGATAAATTGCCCCAGTTGGATCAGAAGAACTGCCCCAATGTCCGCACATTGGTCAAAGTTGTAGAAGGAGACACCTTCAACACCGCGATCAACCTTGCCAATGCCGCGCAGTTCCTCGATCATGAGGATACCAAACCTGTCTGTGTCTTGAACATGGCGAATGCGGATCATATCGGAGGCGGTTGGGAACATGGAGCAATGGCTCAAGAAGAGGAGCTCTGTTTCCGCAGTAGCCTCAGCTTCACTCTCAAAAAGCAGTTCTATCCCATCAGTAGCCTTAGTGCTATCTATTCACCGACCGTCGTTGTTTTTCGGGAAGACACGCGAAAACGACATCGCTGGATGGACTTGGGCAAACCTGAGTGGCTCCCCATAGTCGGTGTTGTCAGCATAGCAGCAGAGGTGGCACCGGCTGTCGTGATTGATGGTTCCAAGAAATATCGGTATGCGAATGCGGAGGATCGAGATTTGATCAAGGGTAAGATGCGCCTTGTCCTGCGCATTGCTGCGACCCACGGTCACCGGAGGCTCGTTTTGGGCGCCTTGGGTTGTGGCGCGTTCATGAATCCCAAGCATGACGTCGCGGATTGCTGGTTGGAAGTCATGAAGGAGAAGGAATTCAAAGGATGGTTTGAAGCAATTATATTCGGCATTGTGGATCCCGGTCATAGAACAGGGAATTTGAGTATCTTCCGAGAATGTCTCGATGGAGTGAAGTTGTGATGAGATACTAGGGATATCTTTATTTTGTGTTTCTCATGGCCATATTTGAAGTTTAATATGTTTCAAGATATGTATATGAAGACGAATCGAATTGCGTCGCTATAAGTTCATGTCTCTGCGTGTAGAAGAAAAGTCTTCATTTTCTGAGGCGCGTGGATCGTCTTCTTCCCTCTTGCTTCGGTTCCTCCTTGATTTCCACTGCATCCTCGGATTTTCTGGACCGCGATCCATGTTTCTTCGATTTGGGCTCCTCCTCATCGTCATTCACATCATCCTCCTTTTTAACAGCCGCCGTTACCCGCTTTCTTTTGGTCTCGGTCTTAAGGCTACTGGCATCCTCGTCGCCAATATCTTTAGCAACGGGGCCCGTTTTCTTCTGAACACTCGGCACAACGGCGCTCGTTCTCCCTCCGACAGTCAGAAAAACAATCTTTTCGCCATTTGGCAGGGCCGATGGCTTGTTCTTCTTTCCCTTCCCCCATCGATGCTTGAACAGCCAATGCTCGGGAAATTTCTCGGAATCAGCGAGCACATCTACCGACGTGGTACAAACATAATGGATGGAGGAGTGAAGCTGTTTGATCTGCTCATCGTTGAGAGTATTGCTATATTGCTCCGGGTGTATCTTGGCATGATATAGAATCTCGTCACTGAACAGCTGTCAGCTCTTTGGGCTCATCAAAGCGGCAGCATACATCGTCGTGTAGCCCTACCCCATCCAATTACCAATACCGCTGATATTAGCCTGGTCCAGCAGAAGGGCCTTGATGGGAACCTTTCTGCTCTTGAGCTTGTCTGCCAGCCACTCTTCCGTGACGATGTCTTTATCGGCCACCGGGTCCGGACCATTCTCTTTGAGTGGGCTATGTTTGCGGATCTCTTCTGCAGGACAATCCACAAGTCGGATTCGACTTAATCTGCGGAAGTCAACGAAAGCTGCCTCGGTTTTCGGGTCCCCGTCTGTTTCCAGCAGGAACTTCCAATATTTCGGTGGCCATTCTTTATCTTCGGGTTTCTCGACGCGGTAGTAGTATGTGTCGCCGTCTCGGATCTTGAGCCAGCCTGCCATTCCGAAATGCATCACTGCATGAGGAGGCTCGTTCATGATGAGCCAGAAATACTTTCCTTGTTGACCTGCGCTGACGACCTTTTTCCCTTCCATGGCCTTTTGGAATTCAGAGGCGCTGGTCCCAACTTTCCCGTACACAATATCATCGTTCTGAGCAGAAACCTTTGTGAGTGTCTTCCCAACAAGATGTTGATCGATAAAGTGAACGATGCGCGAGATTTCAGCTAATTCAGGCATGGCAGCTGAAGTACCTCTAAGGACAAACCTATTGATGTATATGCTGAATTATTAGTTTAGATGGAAGATAATGTACTCGAGGTCTAATAATAATTCTATGAGAGACACCAGCTTATTTGAACACGAAGTTGTTATAGAGACGCGTCGATGTCACGAAGTCCCGTGATCCATAGCTCCCGACTCAATTTGGATTAGCCACTATCGATAAGAGAGCATCAGTCGTTGGATTGCCGCAGCCACCTGCAATATCCAGTCTCATCCTTACGTCTTTCGGATTGAAGAGTGTCCAGTCTGCCACATTATTAGACTTGGAAGATCCTCCTGTGTTCGTGTGCTTGAGAGCTCTTTGAATCAAGAGGCTGAACGTTGTTCCCATATCCCGCTCTTGTGCCGCTGCACAAGTCAACCTACAGCTTACTTCCCTAGCTCTTGTCTAGCTCTACAAACTGGAGTGGTTTTGGGCTCTTTCGACTTCTGGAAAAGACGGTGGACCTGCACCGTCTAGGGCTGGCGGAATGTCTGGGGCGTCATCGACATCAACCCCACAACTCAGTCCTCAGTTCTGCTTCAATGAGAGGGTGCTCTTAGGTACTTGATACACAGCCCAAGATCGCGCACAACTACAGCAGAGTAACATCACTGACTTCGCCGTTTCTGGATCGAGCAGATTTTCTGCGGCTTTCTAGGGCGACCATTGATGACTCCATTTCGCAGAATCTCAATGCTCTGGTCACCCCGGCCCGGGAGGGGTTTGATCCCTCGTCAACTGCAATCCGTCAAACGGACTCCAGAGCCGGAAGGCCGATAGATCCCGAAGCATGCCGGAACTTCAAAGACAATGTCCTCCTCCAGTCATGGCAAACGCGATCTGATGTGCTGAACTTTTGCGCTGGGGTGGCGACCAGTCCCGATCCCGACGATCCGGATCTTATCCTTCGACAGGAAGAGTCGGCAAAGGAACGAGAAAAGATTGTCGATGAAAGATTGGATCCTTACTCTGCTCGATATTTCCCGAAAGAGCTGAGGACAGAGTCGCTTGCGAACTTGGTTCGAAACCAGCGAACAGTGGAAGAGATCATACGAGCGCGAACCTGGGGCGTGGTTACTGACAGGTGCAGTGACTCGGCTTCGACCTGGGAGGAGGCTTTGAACAATTGGCGCCAGAGGAAGCAACGGTGAGGGTTGTGAACGGCGCCAACAGAGGCCGTTATCCTTACGCCGAAAACATGAAGGATACTCCCCCATTTATTACTCTGCTGGCATAGCAGATGTTGATATAATTCGAGGTGTCATGTCTCTTGATGTATATTTCTGTATATTATCCTTGCATATCTCAGGCGTTTGGTATCAAGACACAAGCTATCTCAGCGCTATTATCAACTTGTCGAAGAACCATAAAGCCAGGCATATACCCAAAAAGAACAAAGGTACGGTAGCACGACAACGGACTTTAATATGTAAGGATTCCCTGGGCGGCATATGCACGCAAGCGACGTCTCGGATACTCATGCTGACTGACGCTGGTCAGCCCTCGTTGGTTGAGCGCGAATGCAGCTGGAGAGGGAGGATTGTACGGGCAAGCCATCCATTGTGTTACAATAAATTTAAGCAGAGGAGAGAAAATCAATCCATTGTCTTCAGTCAAGTAAATAGATTGCGGTAGAGTGGACGTTGATATTGTTCAAAGGCTAAGAAGAATAATATAAGTGCTCGTCATTGTTTCCGGAGCGAAGAGCCCACTCCCCGCACAACTTCCACCAGCTTTATCTACGCACAAGTAACTTGGCACCTTCAACTCCGCCAACCTTGCACAACAGCCACCATGCCGCAGCCTTTGAGCTCCAAGGATGCGTCCTCCTTCCGACAGGTGGTTCGCCACTATGAGAACAAGCAATATAAAAAGGGTGGGTTGCGGACCGAACTGAGTCACTCAAAGTTTCCGGAGAGGTGGACTCAAGAAGACTGACTCCATTCCGTCTTGTATAGGCATTAAGCTCGCCGACCAGATCCTTCGAAAAACCCCTAACCATGGCGATACGCAGGCGATGAAGGCTTTGATCATGAGCAATCTTGGACAACAAGAGGAGGCATTTGCGTTGGCCAAGGAAGCCCTGCGGAATGACATGAAGTCGCACATTTGCTGGCACGTGTATGGGCTGCTGTACCGAGCAGAGAAGAACTATGAGGAGGCAATCAAGGCATACAGATTCGCGTTGAGGATCGAGCCGGAGTCACAGCCCATCCAGCGCGACCTCGCTTTGCTCCAGATGCAAATGCGGGATTACCAGGGTTACGTCCAAAGCAGGAGTGCGATGCTGCAAGCCCGTCCAGGCTTCCGCCAGAATTGGACGGCTTTGGCGATCGCACACCATCTTGCAGGTGACCTCGAGGAGGCGGAGAAAGTTTTGACCACGTACGAGGAGACGCTCAAGCAACCGCCGCCGGTATCCGACATGGAGCACTCAGAGGCTGTTTTGTACAAGAACATGATCATGGCGGAAGCAGGCAAGGTCGAACAGGCCTTGGAACACCTTGAGACTATTGGATACAGGATTACGGATGTGCTCGCGGTCATGGAAATGAAGGCAGACTACCTTTTGCGATTGGACCGAAAGGCAGAAGCGGAGGCCGCCTACACTGCCCTTCTTGAGCGTAACTCGGAGAACTCCATCTACTATGACGGTCTAATAAGGGCGAAGGGGATCTCAGAAATCGATCACGCGGCGCTGAAGGCTTTCTATGACGCTTGGGCGGACAAGAACCCTCGAGGAGACGCTCCTCGCAGAATTCCACTGGACTTCTTGGAAGGCGAAGAGTTTAAGCAAGCCGCGGATGCATACCTGCAGCGTATGCTCAAGAAGGGTGTGCCATCACTCTTTGCAAATATCAAATCTCTGTACACCAACCCTAGCAAGCGCGACACGGTACAGGAGCTTGTGGAAAGCTATGTGTCTGGTAATGGGACGGCACAATCAAACGGCTCCCCGGAAGGAGAGGCAGCTAAGGATAACACTGAGTTCCTCGCTTCGACTTACTACTTCCTTGCGCAGCACTACAACTACCACCTGAGTCGCAATTTATCCAAGGCCATGGAGTCCGTCGACAAGGCCATCGAACTAGCCCCCAAGGCTGTCGAGTACCAGATGACCAAAGCCAGGATATGGAAGCACTACGGCAACCCTCAAAAGGCTGCCGAAGAGATGGAGAAGGCCCGACTTCTGGATGAGAAGGACCGCTATATCAACTCGAAAGCGGCTAAGTATCAACTACGGAATAATGACAACGAAAAGGCACTTGACAATATGAGCAAATTCACAAGGAATGAGACCGTTGGAGGAGCATTGGGCGACCTTCACGAGATGCAATGTGTTTGGTATCTTACCGAGGATGGCGAGTCATATCTACGACAGAAGAAACTTGGTCTTGCTCTGAAGCGCTTCCATGGAGTGAACAACATCGTTGATGTTTGGCAGGAAGATCAGTTCGACTTCCATAGCTTTTCTCTTCGCAAGGGCATGATCAGGGCGTACGTTGATATGGTTCGGTGGGAGGATCGTTTGCGCGAACATCCCTTCTACACCAGAATGGCTCTCTCTGCCATCAAAGCATATCTTCTACTCCATGCCGAACCGGATCTGGCTCACGGCCCGCTGCCTAGTGGACTCAATGGCTCCGGCGACCAAGACGACGCCGAGAGGAAGAAGGCCCTCAAGAAAGCCAAGAAGGAACAGCAGCGTCTGGAGAAGATCGAGGCCGAAAAGCGAGAGGCAAGGAAAGCTGCCGCCGCTACTGCGAAGGGCACCGATGGGGAGACTAAGAAAGAGGACCCTGACCCGCTGGGCAACAAGCTTGTCCAAACGCAAGACCCGCTCAAGGATGCGACCAAGTTCTTGACGCCCTTGTTAGAGCATAGCCCAAAGAATATCGAGGCTCAGTGTCTTGGATTTGAGGTGTACCTCAGACAGAGTAAGTACAATCCTTGAGATACATTTGAAAATTGGCTAACCCGTTTGATAGAAAAATACGCACTTGCGCTCAAATGTCTTGCCGCCGCTCACCAAATCGACGCAAGCAACCCGACTCTCCATGTTCAGCTTCTGCGCTTCCGCAAAGCTCTTGACAATCTTTCTGAGCCCCTTGCCCCTGAGGTCGCTGAGGTTGTCAATGCTGAATTCGAAAAGCTGCTGCCCAAATCGCAGAATCTCGGAGAGTGGAACGACTCCTTCTTGTCCACCCATAAGGAGAGTCCTTTGCACACACAAGCCGGCCTCAAATGCCGCCACATTCTGCAGCCTGACTCCAAGGCGCAGTGCGAAAAGGATCTGGTCGCCACGCTTGACTTGAACAATGCCTCCATCGAGACTGCGCTGGCGGGTCTCGAGATTCTGCACGAGTGGGGAAGCGATCCGGCCGCGAAGACCGCATACACCGAGAAGGCCACCAGCAAATGGCCTGAATCGACAGTTTTCCAGCTCAGCTGAGCCATCGCACGAATGTTAAGAGGAATCATCCCGTCATCCACATATCACGGCGGTGGTAACTGGGGCTTAAGGGTTGGTCAATCCCTTGCCTCGGATTCACCCCCGAATCATCGCGTTGGAAATCGATGGACCTGCGGTTGAGGGCTCAAGGGGACAAGGAATTTAGTCCAGTGTAGCGGAAGAGATACAATGTGATTGATGTATGAGTAGGATACTATACTTCTTATCTTTTCCTGGGGCTTGAATATAAAACTGAGATACGACTGGCTTGGTGCTTGCTTCGTTAGTTTCTGACGAGCTCTTCCTTCGTCTTTGTCCGGAAGAGATCGATAATCTTGTAAAATTTGCGCCATTGATTGTTGGCCTAACTCACTGATATTAGATGTCACCAGAGCGGTGTCCGTTGGGGGAAACAGGACGCTGCCTAAGACATTGAATGGACTACCTGTAGCGGGCTGATTTCTACTATGATGTCGCCCTCCTCTAGAAGTCAGCGACATGGTCATGTACATTCGTCAGGATAACCTACAATATATATGACCTTCAAGGTCGCACTAATATACAGTCTAAGTGGGAGAGTATGGTACATCAAGAAGTTGAGAGGTTCATCCCTCCAATGGCAAGACTCGTCATCATTCACCATCCGCTCCATCAAGATTACCAATGATGGGCTTCATCTTGACGGATTCTTCGTCCTCCCCGTAGCCGTACTTGATCCACATCCGCTGCCAGAAGGAGACAGGGGCGGGTCTCTCTTGTCCGAGAATGTATTCCTTGCCCTCGGTAATGCGATGTGAGCGTGCCTCTTCATCAGTGGAGAGAAGGGAGCGCTGCATCCGCGATGCAATGCGTGGGTCAAGGGCGATATCATCTAGCCACTCGCGTTCCTTGTCAGGGTTCTCCTCGTCCTGCTTATGCACTGATTTGTGCCATTCGGACTCTTCTTTTTCGAGGACGGTTTGCTGTTCGTACTTTGCGGAAGAGGAAGGCATCAAGCCATCGGATGAAGGGAACGGCGAAGCACCGGCGTCGACACTTGCACCGCTCAGTTCGGAGTCGGAGCTGAAAGAACTGTCATGATATGGTCTGCTGGACGAGGCGAGGACAAGGCCGGCGACTTCCCGTCCGATCTCATCGGCTAGATGGCGTCGGTTCAGGTAACGGTAGAATCTGATTGGTGTATTCAAGAAACCCAGTAAATGTGGGAAAGGGATGGGGACGGAGCTCTCCAAGGACTGTGGGAGGGTGGGTGGAAGACCCCGCGATGAATATTCGGCCGGAGAGATATATGCTGGTGTCGGTCCACTAGGTTTGGCCGGTTTGTCATCCTTCTTCTCCGCTTCCTCCTTCTTCTCGGTGTTCTCTGCAGCGGACATGCCGTCGGCAGGTGTCTCTGAGCCTTCGACAGGTATCGACGGCTCTTCCACGGGTGCAGCTGGGGGCTCGGAGGATCAAGGGGCCCAAGCCAACCTTCGTGAAGACCGCGAATGTATTCTCTCCAGGTATGCCGTCCAATTACCAGATCACCTTTTGGACCTGGTTCTTCAACAACACCGATCTTCTGTCTCGCGTCGGCGATAATATCTTCGTTGCCGATTTCCTCCACAACCGAGCTTGGCTCGCCAGCCTTCCTTCGGTGCTTGCGGATTCGTTCCGCGAGTGTTGCACGCACGTCGCCCTCCCTTCTGCCTTCAATGATTGTGTAGTCTAGAGCTGCCGCGACTAATATCGGCTTCACATATTCCTTAAAATGTTCACGGGCAATGCGAAGTCCGTCGCCCGGCGGCGCGGCCAAGAATACCGTTAATTTCCGCCGTGTCTGTTCAATGGGGAGGGTCTCCTTGGAGAGGTGTGCGACCAAGTCACACCACTTCTGTTGTACGCGACGTCTTTCCCGACGATCATAGACGATAGCAGCCGTAAGTGAGCCGGTGATGGTGAAAAAGATCATCCAATTCCGAGATGGAAGCTTGAAACGGAAGTTGGGCAATCCTGCAGACCGATTGATGTCAGCTAAAACTAGTGAAAGAGATCGATCAGCAATTACCTAGCATCCTGAATGCTGGATTGGCTGGCTTGGGCGTAGCTTTCGAAGCATTTTGAGCCTGACCCGAGGCAGCGGCGGAACTGGTTGACTCCGCCATGGCTCAAGCTGTTGATGGAGGTAATGGGGCGCAAGTGTGAAGGTCAGTAATTCCAATTTTCATGAATTGGGCCAAGCCCGGTGAAGGGAATTTCTTTAGAAAGTGAGTAGAACCTCGTTCAAGAACACTGCGTAGTTTCTGGCCATGACTCGAGATAAGTCAAAAACTTCGGGATCCTCCAAGCTGCCCGGGACGAGGTTTATCCGGGCGGTATATAGAGCACGTTTGAGCATTGCTCAAGAGTCAGTGTCTGCCCAGACAGATAACTAAGAATGTTCCAAAAAAACAGACTACATTGTTGCAGACAGTACAATAGATATGCTATGTTGATCTAAAGTGTTTGACGACTTGAGTGATATTGACCTTGTTTACTGATCATCTAGTTCGTGCTTCTAGGTCTTGTCCCACTTGTTTGATGTCAAAGCAAAGCCCGTTCATTGTTGTTGGTTGAAGGCCCTAGTATTTCAAGGTACCTTATTGATCCGCCAAGGCGAGTTCCTAGAACAGAACATGATTAGATGATATAATGCGCAATGAAGTGTGCTAAATCATTCTAAATCATTAAACATCCGAGGTTGCACATATGGACTATCTTTTGAATAAGAGCCTCAGGAACCTCTTGACTACTTAGATTTGTGCCTGACTGCCCCAGGCCAACAACCAGCCCCTGTCTTGCATAGTTGGTCTCTGTAGGCTGCCGTATCCCGACAGTCCAGACTCCGCAAAAGTCGCAAAACGAACCAAACATCGCGCAGAGTTGGAGTTAGATAGACACAGTAGCCTCTCGGTCGTTTGGCTCTGACACTCGTTGTTTCTCCAGATTATACCTTCTACTCGTTAAATAGAGGCAAATTTGTTTAAAAGTATTCTTGGAATTTGCTCAGATAGACACCATCATCTCTTGTCCTATTTCTCCTGAACGTGGAGGACGGAGCAACGTGCGGCTTCTCCCCCGTCCAGCCCTCCCCCTCTCTTCCCCCAAAAGGGCTCCTCGTACTACTCCTGAGCCACCGCTCCTTTGAATATTGACCCGTGCCCTTCCCCTCCCCCTTGGATCGTCAACTTTTTTGTCATCACATTGACAACCCTCCGATCCCACTCCCCCAACGTCTGTCACGTCGAGGTAGCTGAGTCGAGGAAAGAGTCTCAAAATGGATCCTAACAATAATCGTCTCCACCTGAATTTCGGGTTCAACGATCGCAATGGATACAATGCAGCAGCGGCCAACCGCGCATACCCAACAACCCCCTCTGCTTTTCCTCAGCCGATATACCAAAATCAGGGTCCTCAGGATTATGTCGATGCTCAAAATGGGGCTTACAATCAGGGAGGATACTTTATGGCCAACCCTTATCCTCCCCAGTATTCTCAGGCGCCTTACGGCCAGCAGCAGCAACAACAACAGCAGCAACAGCAACAGCACAATCTGGCGTCCCCTCAGCCCACCTACCAGTCACGGATGGCCTACAATGCCAACGATGGGACAAATGGACTTATCCAGCAGTTCTCTAACCAGGATCTGAACTCGACGCGCACGGGTTTCTTTGGCCGTTCTGCCTCTCCTGCTCAGAGACCTCGCACTGCTGGTTCTTCTGCCCCGGACAACAGCAACCGGGCCATCTGGTCCCTCCTATGCCTCGGAGTCCCCGAACCCCGGCTGAGAACGAAGAGCTTCAACGGTACCCCGAACGCTACTCTGAGAACGTTCATAAGCGTGGCAAGGCGGCGAAGGAGTTGGTGAATGTGTTCTTCCATGAGAACATTGAGCGGGCACGCGATCGCAACATGCGGTAAGTGATGATGGCCTTTAACGTCACCAGGAAGCAATCGCTAATGTCTTTCGTTCCATTCGAACAGTTCTGCTGAGCTCGATAAGATGATCCGTGAACCTAGTATCCCCAAGGAAAAGAAGCGCCAGGAGGCCGAGATTGCTGCGAGAAAGGAGTCAACCTTCCTAAGATTCCTCCGGACCAAGGAGACACCTGCCAACTTCCAGACCATCAAGATTATCGGAAAGGGTGCCTTTGGTGAAGTCAAACTCGTGCAACGGAAGACCGACGGCAAAATCTATGCCCTCAAATCTTTGATCAAGACGGAAATGTTCAAGAAGGATCAGCTGGCTCACGTTCGTGCTGAGCGTGACATTCTGGCGGACTCCAAGGACAACCCGTGGCTCGTGAAGCTGCATGCCTCTTTTCAAGACAGCGCCTATCTCTATCTGCTCATGGAGTTCTTACCCGGAGGTGATCTGATGACCATGCTCATCAAGTATGAAATCTTCTCCGAGGATATCACGCGATTCTATATGGCAGAAATCGTAATGGCCATCGAGGCCGTCCACAAGCTTGGCTTCCTCCATCGGTGAGTTATTCCCACAATCAACGCAAACTATGGTTTCTAGTCTTCTATGCCAGGGGCATTCTCCAGCTGTGACAGTTGTAAAAATGCTAACTCGGCCGCGTTCAGTGACATCAAGCCTGACAACATTCTGCTTGACCGTGGTGGTCACGTCAAGCTTACTGATTTCGGTCTCTCAACCGGAGGCAAGAAAACACACGACAACTCATACTATCAGAATCTTTTGAAGAACTCAACTTCGAAGGATAAGAATCGCAACTCTGGATACTTCAACGATGCGATAAACCTGACAGTCTCGAACCGTGGGCAGATTAACACCTGGAGAAAGTCCCGCCGGGCCATGGCTTATTCGACAGTGGGCACACCTGATTATATCGCACCCGAAATCTTCAATGGTCAGGGATATACCTATCTTTGTGATTGGTGGTCTGTTGGTGCTATCATGTTCGAATGTCTTGTGGGGTGGCCCCCGTTCTGTGCCGAGGATACCACGGATACCTACCGTAAGATCGTCAACTGGCGAGAATGCTTGTATTTCCCTGAGGAACTTACGCTGTCCCGCGATTCGGAATCGTTGATACGGAGGTATGTTCCAGTTACCGTTTTCATCTTTGTGACTTGAAAGCTGATCATACTGTGCAGTTTCCTATGCGACGCGGAACACCGTATCGGCAATGAAGGCGGCCAGTTCGGTGGTGCCACTCAAATCAAGAACCACCCATTCTTCCGTGGAGTGGTGTGGGAACAACTTCGTAATATCCGCGCTCCCTTCGAGCCGAAGCTCAGCTCGAACATCGACGTTTCGTACTTCCCCATCGACGAGATTCCGCAGGAAGATACCAGCGCTATCCACCGTGCTCAGGCCCGTGCCATGCCAGAGGAGCAGGAGGCTGAGATGAGCCTCCCATTCATTGGATACACATACAAAGCGTTCAATGCTTTCCAGGCGAACTGAACCTAAAGCTGGCCTTCAAATGGGGGGGATTGTGCATGAACCGAACCGGGGGTTCTCAGAGCGGGCTGGCTTGCGCGGAAAACCCTGGCAGCGGTGGATGTTCAATTTTAGACGGTTTACTCGTTCCATTGGTCTTCATCATGAGCATATAGCGCATTTGATTTCGCCTTGTGATAATGACCTGAGCATATTTGGTTTCATATGCATTTTCTGTCGCAAGACGACAACTGCTGGGTATAGAGTGTATCTAGCAGCAGAGAACTACATACGAGTGCATTGTTTGTTGGTCATCAAAATTCTTTGATATACTGAAGCGTACAGACCATGGTTTGACTGGCTGTTTTGTCTTTTAGCTAGGTCGTACATATGGCGCTCACCGCGCCTCAATGTATCCTCAATGAAAGTGAAACCTTGAAGAGCCATGTATCTGTGAAATAGCACAATCTTGTAGATCAGAAAGTAGATAAGCTATGCCACGTAGAAAGTAGCCCAATGAAAGAGAATGGCTTCTAAAAGTTCATTCGCGGGAAAAGTCGCCCATTCCCAGAACTAAAACACATTCACAATGCGAGGAAAATCCAACAATAACGCCTGAAAGAAAGCCCCAGTTGAATAGTACATGCCGTTAGATTTGCTCAGAAAAGCACCCCTACTCCCTCAACAACCCCTTTATTAAGTCCTGGGTCCCATTGGTGCCAGACCGGGAACACCACTAAATCTCTCTTCTCGCTCGGTTTTGAACATGATCTGAATCCAAAACTCCTTGCTGTCCTCGTCAAACCAGGTCCAATAGCGACCCTCTCTGCGGTCGATCTCCCTGGCCTGCAGTTTGAATCCACAGGTCTGATATGGCTCGGCAGCGACAACGAGGTACTGGAAGTTCTTGTCGGGCGGCTCCTCAACCTTCTGCTCGAAGGCGGACATAAACCGTACTCGGGCTGAACCCCAGGCGTAATCTCCTGATAGTGTAACTGGAACAGCAAACCGAGCTGCCTTGTCAAGGGATCTCTGATCTTGGTAATCTTGTAACCGGGCCGTCCAATCTTGATAGTCTGTTTCTTGACCTGCACACCCATCGCACCGGGCAACATCGCCGGATCTTGGTTTTTGCCCTCGCGCTGCTCCCGCGCGGCACGTCGGGCCAGGTTTGTCTGGTGCTTGCGGCCCTGCGTATGGGCCAGATATGAGCCATCGTTCTGGTGGACAGTCAAGCAAAGACGGCATTCAAAACTTCCGACATGGTTCTTGAAGAAGTAGGGGTCCTTGTCGAGGTCGATCGTCTCGAGGGCGAGCTTGCGAAGACGCTCGCGACGGTCTGCGTTCGTTGCGGAGTGTGATGCTACACCACCGCCACCGAACTTGGATCCTGCGCGGTTCTAAAAGAGAGGTCAGATCATGTCAAAGAAAGTAGATATACATGCTCTCATGCTTACCTGGTAGTCCATCTTGAATCACGTCCGCCGAAATCAGAGAACTGGGGGAGTGGACAAAATGAGTGATGCGCAACGATAAGCTTCGACTGGCGGAAATTCGGAGATCGCGATATATTTGGGTTATGTAAGCACCGCCGCGGGCTTCTCATTGGGCTTGGGAAGCTATCAACAACCTCCCGGAGCTTCTTGAGCGCAACTCAGGGGGTGCATGACTATTAGTTTCAATAATGGACATCGGATGCTATATGAATCAACGGCGATCCTACAATGGCGATCTATGCACAGTTCGCTACGTGGGTGAAGTTGAAGGCACCACCGGCGAGTGGCTCGGAGTGGAATGGGATGACCCCACGCGGGGAAAGCATTCTGGAGAACATCACGGAGTGAGATATTTTACATGTATGAAAGTATCTTCAAGACTTGGTAGAGCGGTCGACTGACTTGCACGGAAGGTAGAAGAAAACACCCCACAGCTGGGTCGTTTGTGCGTCCTTCGCGGCGGACCGACAAACCTCGAGGCTTCCTGGAGGCAGTGCGCCACAAGTATGCTTCTGAGTTTCAAGAAGAACTCGCAAGACAACAGTCAGGCGAAGTCTCTGCTGCGCGGGACATAATCAAATTTAGTAACAAAGTAGTGGAAGAGGTCGGCTTCGACAAGATCCGGAAGAAGCTTGCAGAGCTCCAGGAACTGAAAGTCGTTCTCCTGGATCGCCTATGTGTTGCAGGAGTTCTGGCTCATGCAGCGAGTCCACATGAGCTTGCAGAGGCTTGCAAGGAGATAGAACAGACATGTCCTAAGATCGTTGATCTCGATCTGAGTTACAACTTACTGGAAAGCTGGGTTGACATTGCAAACATATGTCAACAGCTGAAGCGCTTGAAGACATTAAAGCTGATGTTGGTCATTCAGCGCAGTTATGAGAAGCATGCTGACGGTTGGCAGCGGAAATCGTCTGGGTCCTCGCCAGGAAGGTCCTATATTCGAGGATATCACGGCGCTGCACCTGGATGAGACTCTACTCGAATGGGACGAGGTATGCTGCGCAAAGCTACTACTTGGTGAGCAGCAAGCTGACTGACTGTTGATCGCCTTCAGATTTCAGCTTTGACATATCAATTCCCATCACTTTCTGCTCTATCAGCCTCCGCAAATCAGATTACCCACATCTCGACCCCTATCACGGGTACCATCACAACTTTGACACTGGAAAACAATGACATCTCTTCGCTATCCTCATTAGCATGTCTGACCTCTTTGAGCAAGCTCGAGCACCTCTCGCTCAGAGAGAATCGTATCGAGAAAGTATATGCGCCTGGCATGGAAGGAAGCTCTATTCAATTTCCCGAAAATCTCAAATCTGTGGACCTATCCAAAAACAGCATCGATTCATGGCTGTTTGTGAATGAACTCCAATCCGTATTTCCTGCGCTGAAATCTTTGCGGATATCAGGAAATCCTCTTTACGACAAGCCTGTTGCCCCATCGAACGTCACAAACCTGCCCGAGAAGCCAATGACGGTGGACGAGGCCTACATGCTAACGCTCTCCCGACTCGCTTCCATCCAAACCCTCAACTACAGCAAGATAACCGCCCAAGACCGAAGTAATGGCGAACTCTATTACCTTTCCCTCATTGGCAAAGAGCTATCCGCATATCCGGGAAGCGCAGAGCGCGAGATTCTTGCTACACATCCCCGCTATCAGGAGCTTTGTGACAAATACGGCCCGCCCACAATCAGGAGAGCCGAGTTGGCAGGCGCTGCCGTGAATCCGCGCTCTGTTGCCGCCCGATTAGTGAAGTTGGCTTTTCGCTTGCACTCGTCGATTGATTCCGATGGAAACCAAGACCAGATTCGTGTTCAGAAGATCCCGAGGTCGTTTGATACATATCAAGTCAAGGCTATCGCCTCCCGCCTGTTCAATTTGCCGCCTTACCAGTGCCGACTAGTCTGGGAGACCGACGAGTTGGACCCTGTCAATAAGGAGAAAAAGGATGATGAAGCCGATTGGGATAGTGATGAGGATGAAGCTTTAGGAGAGAGCACCAAGTCCGTACCTACTACTGAGGATGCAGAGTTCGTCAGAAGAGAGGTCGAGCTTCTGGATTCAACGCGAGACATAGGCTTTTGGTTCCAACCCGATATCATTGAGGCAAGGATCAGAGTAGAAGTTGCAACATAGGACTGACAACAATTTCAAAATAAAAGTTGTAAAGGAGTGTCTTAACTTACAATGTTCTGGTGGGGAAAATATATATATAGTTGACTGCAGTTCATCGTGCAGTCAGGATACAGGGAGGTCAACAGCGAGAGGAAAAACAGATCTCTTCCACAACCGCCTGTAGCTTCTGTTATTCGATTTAGAGCCTCTTGGTTATTCCTAACAACATGATATATGTGGTGTACATTCAAGCTGCAGAGCAACACTGACTGCTGTTTTGGGACTAGGTTAATTTTGAGTGGCAGATTATCACCGCAACTGTTTTGCGATAACGGTGATATCATTTCCCTTACACATAACACATTTAACACTCAAACATCGTCATGGCAGAATACTGGAAATCGGCTGTAAGCGCACTCTATTCAGTTCTGGAATTTCCTCCGAGGTCATCTTGAGGTGAAGGAAGTTCAGCATCAACTGACAGCAATAATCTAGCCCCGATTCTGGTGCAAACAATGCAAGATATTCATTCGTGATACACCCTTCGAGAAAACCCAGCACGAAGCGAGCGCCAAACACCAGGGAAGCCTTAAGCGCTTTCTGCGCGATATCCACCGGGAAAATGAGCGGAAGCAACGAGAGACTCAGAAGGCGAAGGACGAAGTCGAGCGCTTAAGGCAAACTGTCGCAGGAAAACCAGGCGCAAAGGACAGCGGCGCAGCACCCTGGAAACGCGCCCCGGCTGCCCCTCCACCGGCAGAACGACCTGTGTCCCTGGAAGAGAGAAAGAAGCAGATAGCGCAGCTGGCAGAGATGGGAATTGCTATCCCAGACGAATACCGTGGTGAACTCGCGCTCGCTGGCGAATGGCAGACGGTATCCGAACGGGTTATCCGACAAGATGACGATGCAGAGGAAGGAAAGCCTGGTAGCTCCGTCGGGATTCGCAAGCGCAAGATGGAAGGCGATGAGGAGGAGCAGGAGGCGCGACAGGAGGCTGAGAGATTTGTGAGTCAGGCTTGGGGCTCGAGGACTCGGCAGTACCCTGGTGCGCAGAGCGACGCAGATCTGGATGCCCTTCTTGATTCTACCAAGGATGTAAAGAAGGTCAAATTGTCAACGCCGGATGAACAGTCGAAAGAGAAGGCTAGCAAAGAGGGTGCTACCCCAAGCAACGATACGGAACAGGCTGCGGCACGGGAGTCAGAACTACCATCGGTCAAGTCTGAGAATAAAGAGGCGGCGCAGCTTGCTACAACAGATGCTCCAGCGGTGAAGCAGGAAGAGGAGGCGGGACCTACAGGAGTTGTTTTCAAGAAGCGCAAGCCGAAGGTTCTGAGGAAATAGTCGAATTGTGCAGCTGCGGGATATCTATCATCTACCATGCGCATAAATGTCCGAACGATGCGTTATGGTTGCACATGGTCCAGTATGCCTCGCCTGCTGGTGCTACAATGAAGCGATCATGGCCCCCATCTCACTGAACTACAGTGTCGGCGAACCAGGAATGATGCATCTGGCCTCCAATCGTCCGTCACTGAAACAATGCAGCTCATACAGCCAGTCTGTTTTATTCCAGGAACAGCCTTATCTGGTCCTGCGTTAGCCTACATCAGATCGAGTGTACCAATTCGAGCTTATGCGGGTTCTCAGATAATATTTGGCCTTACATCGGCAGAGAGACGTTGGAGCCCATACAGTGGACGGAGAGGGATCAGTTCTTACGTATGTAAACATCACATGCAGCTCACCAAAAGAGTCCCAATGCTATGCGACTTGGTGGTGACATCCACATCTTTCTTTCTTTGGCGTGCAATCTACGACGGCATGCATACGAAACAAATCTCGTCGAAGAGGAGACTTATGACAGCAAGAGCAATATACGGAGCCAGGTCAAGCTTCAGTTGCCAGCTGATAGTCACACGGTCTACTAGATGGTTAATACCAGCTAAAATTGTATTGACAGGAATGATCAAGCCATAATAAGTGTATAGGTGAGAGTGATGAAGGCATGGTGCTAGAATTGAAGAAATCAAAAAGCAATATAAAACTCGCAATATGAAACCTGCAATACGAAATTTGAAGGAGGTATTTTTGGATAGAAAATGTTATTCGCAGAGGAAGTGAACGGCAGGTGTGAAGCTGTTTTATCAGTGAAGATTAGATACTTCTGCCGTATCTGCGGTGTTGAGTGATTCTCGCCACTGCCATCTTTTTTTCCCTCCCTTTTTTTTTTTCTTTTCCTCTCGTAGTCAAAGTCCGGGGCTTTTTCTAGTGTTGTTCCGGAGCTCACACCAGAAGATCTTCTTGACGCGCAACGACCTCATTGCAAACCATCTCCCCACGCTTGATGAGGAGGTTTTCATGATCAAATCGAGAGATCTGGTGGAATATTATTGACTCGGCTGGCTACTCTCGCTTCTTTTCGCTTATCTGGACCAGTAGTAGTACTTGGTAAGTAACCCAGACGGGAACCTCTCTGTTTCTTTTCCGGGCGCAGTCTGCTCGCTTGCGATATGTCTTTTATTTCTTTAGCTTCATGAGCTATTGAGCTTTGTACTCGTACTGTCAAGAAGCAATATTTGCTTGTTAAGACTCGTTGCGATGTTGCTACGGTATTCTGGAACTTGTTTTGCGGCCGCTTTACGCTTTGTCCGAGCGGAGAAGATCATGACAGCCTCGCCCGCCAACATTCCAAACCCATGCCCTGTCACCCTCGAGGTCCCGTACTCGGCGAGTCTCGAGTACTGCACAAGTGTCCAGATCTATTGTGGGAAATATTTCTGTCATTCAGCCGCAAATGCGCTTTTGCATTGCGCAAGCGGGCCTCTTGAGATAGCAGCCTATGGCAGTCAGAGAATGCGCCAACAAGATTGACCAGCCAAAACCCTCGTTTTTTTGTTCCAATCATCCCCGTTAAAAGAGCACTACTGTGATTTCTAGACGCGCTATTCTTTGTATTCTAGCCTATATGCGGAGTTCTCGATACTAACATCGCATTGGCCGAAAGACCGCAGGAATAGATGCAAGCCGGCACTCAAACATTCCGGCCACTGTACGAAGTGACAGAACCGCGGATAGGCGTGTCTGCTAAGCTGCGACGTCGTATATCACCCGTTGCATCGAATTCGCACGCTTTTGCCTTCTGAAAGCCCCGATCCGCGCAGAACCCTTATCCTCGCCAGCCCCATGGCGGAATCAGCAGAATCGGCGAACGCGCCTGAGGAATCGCCCAAACAAGCAGCTTCATCGACCGAACAGCCCGCTGTTGAGACGGTTCCGGATCAGACACCCAGGCCTACTTCAGAAAATGGCCCTGAGACCGCACCTCAGCCAATGCCCGAACAAGCTCCTCAAGCGGCGGCCGAACAACCTACCGAGACCAGCAGCGCTGCTCCGGTACCGGCACTACCATCCTTCGACACCTCGCTTCCTCCAATTGACAAGTCCATGCCGGCCGTCGACACGACTCTGCCCCCAATAGATACGTCTTTACCTAGCCTGGATTCTACACTGCCACCACTCGACTCGAACGTGCCGTCTTTGCCTCCAATCGATACATCTCTTCCACCGCTTGACACGACTTTGCCTGCTGCAGAGGCCAATTTCTTGCTTTCAGGTACACGAGCATCCAACCCAGAACCTGCTGCTTCAGAGTTCACTGGCACTGTATCCGGGGCATCTGAGCATCCCACATCCCACCAGTCAGGCCACGCTTCCGCTGAAACGGCACCCTATCAATATTCGAATGGGACGTATCAATCGCAACCAGCTCAACAGTCGCATCAGGCGTCGCCACCGCAGCAACAACAAGATTTGCACTATCAGCAGCAGCATCAGTCGTCCCAACAGTATGCGCAGCCGCAGCCGCAGCATGTTCAGCCAACACATCAGCAATACCAGCAACAGAATCATGATGTGTACCAGAATCATCAACCCGCATCATCGCAGGTGAACGCTCTGCCACAGCCATCCCATATTCCTCAGGCCCCATTGGGTCACCCATGCCCTCGAACATGCCCCCAATGGCTTCTGTAGGCCAATATATGACAGGATATCCCTCCAATGTATCACAAATGGGTATGAATTCGAACGCGCAGATGCGCTACCAGCTCCCTGGCGACCCGAACAAAATGCTATCTGGCGGAAGGCATAAGAAGGAAGTTAAGCGGAGAACGAAGACCGGGTGTCTAACGTGCCGAAAGCGCAGAATCAAGGTATGTAATTTGTGAACATGAGAAATCTCAATGGCATGGACCTCCAGCCCATGTTGTTTTGGGTACATTCCGAAGCGAGGGCGATCATCGTGTGCGGGGATCGCGGGCGGGCAAGCAAAGTTATCGCTTCGCTTGTGCTGCCCACCTGCAAAGAACCCCGCTCTCCTATCGCCCACTGTTTTTCTTCCGCCTCAACAGCCACAATTTTTTTCGTGTTTTCAATCGCTTATTTGGTTATTTGATATTGGTTAGAAGTGGCTGACGGAGCATTGGTGTTACTCTTTAGTGTGACGAAGGACACCCTGTTTGCAGAAATTGCGTCAAGAGCAAACGTGAATGTTTAGGTTACGACCCTGTCTTTAGACCGCAGGCGTCGACACCCTCTGCAATTCAACCTGCTCCCAATCCTGCTCCTTCACTCGTCGTCAATCCACAGGATCCAACGCCTTCGTATCCCTCGGCGCCTCCTGGTTACGTGCCTGCGGCATCCCAGCCTTTCGCTCCCTCTCTTCATTCAGAATCGCCATCTACATCCACCGACCAACAATACGACTACGGCGCTTCTTCCGCTGACCCTTCGTTGGGGGGCAACAACTCTACCAATATGGCCAGCACCCAGAATGTCACTCAGGGAGGACTGCAGCCGACCCTCAATGCGACAAATGCCGCGGTCACTCCGTCGGAAACTTCCAGCTACAAAGGTACGTCCTTCTCGTCCGGTACTCATCCCTTGATATACCAATGTGGTGCGTACTCACAGAAAAGCAGTGAAACGAGTTCAGATTAGCGATCTACTGGCCCTGAGAGGCATTCCTCCTCCACCCCCTCATCCTATCACATCTCTCCCCCCGAACCGTCTCGAGGAAATCAAGGCCGTGTTCCTCGCTACATACGCTCCCGCCATTGATAGATTCTTTGAGACTCGCTGGTTTTCGGAGAAAGCGCTCGGTCACCTGTTGGCGAATGCGCAGCTGATGGCCGAGTACTCTGCTCTTATTGATGCATTTAACGATCGGAACCTCAGCGATCCCAACGTCGTCGCACAGCTGGAGAGCTTCGAGGCGTCCGTCGTTTGGAGTACCATGACATTGTGCCGTCATGTGATGAATGTGTCGAACGGCAGCCATGGAAAGGATTTCGAGCTGTTGGCTACCGCGTCCAGGCTGGACGTGATCGAGGCTCTGATAACTGGCGAGCATTTGGAGAGAAACCCACTGGCCCAATGGCCTGTTCCAGAACCGGCAGCTGATCCACCCACTCTTCCTGATCAACTGATGCGAAGAGCATTGGATTTTTGGAGTTCGATCGGTCACTTCCTGACTCTCCACGACAACGAAGCTAGCTCTGCGAAAGAAATTGATGATACTCTGGCTCGTTGCAGAACGCTGTTGGACACCTTTGAGAATCGCGATGTGATTTATTCCATTGCCATTGCCCGCCACATTGGACAGCGCTGGGCAGATTTCCCGCACAGCCTCCCTCAGCATGTCACCACAAACGAAAAGGATGCGGGAGCCAAGCTATATGTAGCGCAGAAATTCCTTGAGCAAGAAGCCAGCGGCAAGGGTACCACGCAGGTCGTCAAGCGCATTTGCGGCATGGTTGTGCGGTCCTGGTACGTTTCCCGGGAGTAGTCGACTCTGCATTCACCTTGCTGGCATTGCGGCATTGGCGACATCTCCTTCGGTTGGTGATATCTGGCCATTGACTTCGGATTCTCTTTCTTTTCTTTCTTCTTTCCCTACATTTACGGGCTTACATTCCTCATCGGTTTTTCGCGCACCTTGTCCAATCGGCTCAGCGAAAGCTTTCATGGCATAGGAGTTTTTCTCGGTTCTCAATTCTCTCAGAAGCTAGGGAATGGCAGCATCACGGCGTTCTGGCTGCTTATCATTTCGAATCAAGACTTGGTTGAGGGTTTGGCTCTGGCATGCTTCGCTTCGGGGTGTCCTGCATATGGACGATTAGAACCTCGAGGGATACACGTCTGTTGATCGAAGAATTACAGCGATCGATTTGGCGTGTGCATTTTAACACACAGTGACAGGTGTATCCAATCATCTACTCTATCATCAAAAATCATGTACATATCAATAATGAGAAATAAGTACATTTCACCAAATTTTGGTTGGCATAGTGCAAAATTCTCGAGATACTCCCATTCAAAGGTCGGCTTGCTCGGGAACGGGACTCTTCAGCTTCCCTGTTTCAATCGCAAGTCGCACATTTTCGATAGCCCACTCTTCCATAGCCGTTTGAGTCTATCAAAAACCAACCGGATCAGTATATGTCTGCCATGTTGACTTCGCTGCTGTAGACTGAGTCTCACCTCGACGGTCCATGTGCCCATGTGCGGAACGAGAAGAACATTGGGGTTCCGGATAAGGCCCGGGTGAACCTTGGGCTCCTCCTCGAAGACATCCAAGCCGGCAGAGTAGACCTTGCCGCTATCGAGGGCCTGGACGAGGGCCTCCTCGTCCATGACTGCGCCTCGTGCCGTGTTGACGATGACGACACCGTCCTTCATCTTCCCGAACTCGGCTTTGCTGATGATATGGCGGGTGTGTTTCTTCTCTATGGTTAGGATGACCGCAGAAGTGCCAAAAAGTAGAATAGGAAGACTTACATTCAGGGGCAAGTTCAAACTGATCACGTCGCTCTTGGCCAGCAGCTCATCAAACGTCACATACTCCGCTCCGGCGGCCAGCTCTTCGGTCAACTGCCGGCGATTGTGGTAGATAACCCGCATGCCGAACGCCTCGGCCTTCTTCTTCAGGTTGCGCCCGATTCCCCCCATGCCCAGGATCCCGAGGACCTTGCCCTCGGGGTCATGGCCGAGTGCAGGGAGGGGTTGGCCGCGCCATTTCCCTTCTCGGAGGGCCTGCATGCCCGCGTTGAAGTTGCGCAGCGCCCCGATGATCAGGAACATGTTCACGTCGGCTGTGGCGTCGTCCACGGCTGTAGGGACGTTGGAGACGTGCAGGGGGGGATTGCGGGCGCTGCAGGCGTGGACGTCGACTTGGTCGTATCCTGCGCCTGGAGGGAGGTCAGATCACTGGGTTTACCTTTGTAGATGAGTGTGAGGCGAGCTTACCGCAGTGCGCTAGGAACGTGACTGAGCTTGGGAGTGCGTTGACGAGTTCCTCATCGATGAAGCCGGTGATGGTGACGGAGTCGAAGGTTCTGTATGCGGCGACGACGCCGTTCAGCTTGCCGGAGCGGCATTCCTCCAGGAACTCTGCGCGGTTTGTGGCGGTGGGAGTGACTAGTTCTGCGATCTCGGATAGCGATTGCCATGTCTTGTGTGCGCTGGATGGGAAGAGGCTGGGTCAGAAGAGTGATCCATAGAGACAGGGTGAGAGGCTAGTGCGTACTGGACGATGGATCCAAGTAGGAGGACCTTGGGTTTGGTACCGGTGGAACCCATTGTGAGGTTTCTGTGTGACTTCAAGTTAATCTAGGGATCTTTCCAAAGGAGAATTGAAGATAGATAAGGACGAGTTTGACTCACTTATTAGCGAAAAGCGCCGCACCTGGAATTATGCCGAGCGAGACTGTCGGCGGACAAGCTATGTCCGAGAGTATATCAGCCTGCCAGCTGCGTCGATGTCTATGAGCACAATTGACAGCAACGGAGCAGAGCCTTCGAGAAGAATATCCACACAGTCGTCAGAGGCCGTCAGAGATGAGAAGTAATAAAAGAAAAAGTCCAAGGAGGAGAGAGTTATGTTGCCTTCATTCGGCCGTGAAAGATTGCAGTGCCCCACCTGATGTTATCGTCGCAGCGCCTTCTCAGTATTTCTCCCCCGCACTATCTATCTCTAGCTATCTACGGAGTCCCCAGTCCCAACTCACCAGTCAAGATCTTCAAGAATTGACAATGGACACAAAGAATGTCAAGATGAGGCAATCCTACCGATGTCGGTGGTATCCGTTCTGGTAAGTTCTGAACTTTCCCGAGTGAGAAAAGCTACCATAGACTTGCCTGCGATATGCGAACGCCGCGTGGGGGTTATGCGGGGAGATCAGTACGGGCATCGGAATTAATCGCGAGGCAGAAGGACATCAATCTAGACATGGAATGACCTCGAACTTGTGAGACAAGCTGCTATTAGGCAGTCAATATTTTGCCGGGAACGTTAATGCTCCTGAAAAGCACGAGCATGCGCTGCCTGTCGCATTAGCAGAAACCTGGTACTGGGATTGAGGCCAGCACTGTCTCCCTCATCGTTTGATCTGATTTGGAGTCAAAGTTGATAGTCATAACATGTATATTCATAGTATCAGCTGCTCGGCTTGGATAACATCTAATTGAAGGCTCTTCCGACCTATCCCTCCACAAGCACTCGGGTCCAATCAAACTTCCGCCATCTTTTCTTGAACCCGTCCATTCTGCGATCGCCTCCTCGGTTCCAGCGGCCCTGTCGTTTAATGACCTCCGGGCCTAGATCGAGCATGCCTCCAATAACCTCGCGGGCAAACAGATCGCCGCGTGGCCAGCGGTGCTCATCCTCCACCACGTGCCCCAGTCCTCCGTCCAACTCAAACCAAACATGGAAGTAGGGCATCTCTTTGACCAGAGTGCGACGAAACGCATTCCGACCCAGTCCCTGCTTCGCCTTGGCAAGGGTGTCGATCAGCTTTCGGTGCTGCGTCCATTCGGAGTCTGCTGCGAGAATCGCTTCCCTGAAGAAAGCGGGCGAGGTCTCTCCGAGGCTGTACGGCAGTGGAACGGCTTCCATCGCGGCATGTCTCTTCCGATGTGGCTGAGCTGCGTTCTCGTAGAAAATGACATCCCGGCCTTGATCGTGGTACATGCGAGTTAGACTCTTCATGAAATTCCGGATCTCTTCCCACTCATCGTCATCACATTCCATCAGGTTGGTGCGATGCTGGATAGGAACTATGGTAGCGCATCCCTCGCTGAGCTCGGGTTCGGTGGGGAGAGTGAGATAGGTTCGGGTCGCCAAGGATATCACAGGAGCGATTGGGGGTGTGTTGGTATCTTCATGATGACAGAGCGGGCAGTTGTCCAAGATCCGATTCATCTTTTGAAATTCGCTGATGGTAGCATTCTTGAGGTTGATGTCAGACCGATGCACCCTTTTGGCAAGTTTGGCGGCATTATCGTCCATGTACTCCAAATCATTCTAACTCAGTCAAATAAAATCAGTAACCATTCATAGATGAATGAGTTAGGTGATGAACTGACCTCGAATTTCGAATCTCTGGCAATCCTTTCCGCCAGTCGTCTCCCATCTCCGCCAAATTGATCGCGAGTCCGCCGCTCTTCTCGGACCATGTCTTCAATAGTCATATCCTCATTTTCCTCCAGCTGTCCCCGCTCCCGGCCTCTCCTAGTTTCGACGGGCTTGGCTTCATTTCTTTGTCCTGCAAGCATTCGGTTCTCCATAACTCCGAGCACTACAACATCGGACTCCTTGCGATTGGCCATCGCCGCGGCGGCCGCGTTGTAGCGCTCCTCAAGCTCTGCCGCTTCAGCCGATCCCTTAAGCTTTGCCTTCATCATCTGTGCTTTGAGTCGGTTGAGAGCTGTCAGATCAAGGTGCTGGGTAGCGCCGGAAGGAGGAACCGTGTCGATCTTCTGACCTTGACCACGAGCTGCAAGCTCCTGTTCAGGATCTCGATGGTGTTCAAGAGGTTCCCTACGACTCCCTTGTTCAAGCTTCCTCTCCTGGAAGAGGTCTCCTGTTGGCTTTTCTTTGCCCACGTAACCCTCGCCATACCGTGCGCGGCGGTCCAACTCCGCCTCTTCTTCACGCGCATCATCAAACGAGCGCAGATCCCCAAAGCGCTCGATAGCAACTTCCTCCACAGGTTTCCCGCTCTCCTCTGCCTCCCGGTATACGCCTCGGAGCTTTGTCATTCTCCACTGGGAGCCAGCATCCCCGATAGTGTAATCCACCTCATGCTGTGCTGGCTTTTCCTCTACTTCAGCCAGTGCTTTCTCATCTTTCAGATCACGAAGATGCTGGTTCAGTTCTCGGTCGTGTATCTTCAACTCAAAATCCGCTTGGAGCATCTTGGCTTTCGGCTCTTCCTCCAACCGTGTAGTGTCACGCCGGTGAACATAGTCAACGTCGAGGGCGGATGGCGCTTCCATCCAGGCATCCCGCCTCAACTGCTTCGGCTCCTCCTGTAATATCTCCTTCACCGGAGCTGTAGATTCCGATTCATTGTCTTTACTCTCCCTCCTATGTCGTCGCTTTTGGGAATGATCCTGGTCGTCGCCGTGGTCGGTGGAATGGCGAGATCGCTTGTGTCGGTGACCATTTCCCTCACTGTCACGCGATTCACGAGGGCGATCCGACTCTCGTTCTCTCGACCTCGACGTATGGCGCCGATGATGGTGATGATGACGATGATGCCTTGACCGTTCTTTGCTGTGATCTCGGTCTCGATCTCTGTGTCGATGTTTCTCTCTGTCGCTTCGTTCGCGGCGTCGCTCTTGATCTTCCGCCAGAGACTTCTCAAAATCGTCTAGAGTCATGTTGATATCTGTTAAGACGATTACATAGAGCTTTCGTGTGGAAAGGGAGCGGCCGCAGCATGAAAAACACTACTCCGGAGTAGGATGACGTCTGGGCGGTCCAGACTACGGGCTCCACCCGCAAGCAGATCTCCTCGAATCCCCGCGACAAAAGAATTTCTGCTTCGAACCACATTAATTCACTTACACGTTCACTTCTCCATCAAGCTAGCTATTTTCTTAATTTGAAGAGAAATATTCTTTACGACTGAGATTTTAAGACAGTACATAGGACTGAATCATATTTTATCCATTCCTCATCATGGCGACGACTCCCGTGTCGGTGGTCTGCGTCGGGATGGCAGGTATATCATTCATCAGGGCGTTCTAGCTCGAAGGGCTGCTACCGAATGGGCGATAATTGCTGATGCCACTTTACCTTAGGCTCCGGGAAGACGACCTTCATGCAGAGAATCAACTCGTACCTCCATTCGAAGAAGAAGATCCCCTACGTGCTCAACCTCGACCCCGCTGTATACTCGGTGCCTTTTGAGAGCAATATCGACATCCGTGACTCGATCAACTACAAAGAAGTTATGAAACAGTATAACCTCGGACCTAACGGCGGTATTCTGACATCATTGAATCTGTTCGCGACAAAGGTTGATCAGATTATATCATTACTGGAAAAGCGTACCGCACCCAATCCCGAAAATCCATCAGCCAAGCCTATCGAGCACATTTTGGTCGACACACCCGGACAAATCGAAGTCTTCGTTTGGAGTGCATCTGGGAGCATCTTACTCGAGACGCTAGCCTCTTCGTTTCCTACTGTCATCGCTTATGTCATTGATACCCCGCGTACGACTTCCACAAGTACCTTTATGAGCAACATGCTTTACGCCTGCAGTATCCTGTACAAAACAAAACTGCCAATGATTCTCGTGTTCAACAAGACAGACGTTCAGGATGCAGAGTTTGCGAAAAAATGGATGGCCGACTTCGATGCATTCCAGCAGGCATTGCGGGAGGAGGAGTCGTCTGGTGCTTTCGGAGGGGAGGGCAGCGCCGCGGGCTTCGGGGCAGGCAGCGGATACATGGGCTCGCTTCTCAATAGTATGAGTCTAATGCTGGAAGAGTTCTATCGCCATCTGAGTGTCGTGGGTGTAAGTTCCATGACAGGCGACGGCATTGACGAATTCTTCGAAGCAGTTGAAGAGAAGCGCCAGGAGTTTGAACGGGACTACAAGCCAGAACTGGAACGCAAGAAGAAGGAGCGCGAGGAAACCCAGGCAGCTCAGCGCGAGTTGGAGCTGGGCAAGCTGATGAAGGATATGAGCGTGTCCGGATCTTCGCGGAAGCCGCGTGCCGCGAACGAAGCCGAGACCGTCAGCGAAGCAGAGGAGGAGGAAGAAGCAGCCGCTGCTGCAGCAAGCAAAGGGGATCTGGAGTTTTCGGAGAACGATGATGATACCGACGATGACGAGGAAGGTGTTCCTCCAGCTGGTGACGAGGCGGGGCTGTCCCAGCGATACAAAGAAGCTCTTTCAGAGTCTCAAGGTGGTCCGAACGACGAAGATTTGAGTTTCGCACGGTACCTACGCTCTAGTAATATCAACCGATAGATTTTTTTGATCAAAAAAATCATGATTAATGTCTTTTTCTCTTTTGAACTTCCTTGCTGATCTCATCCTCCTCGGGTTGATACGGGGTTATCGTGCTTATCATTCTTATCCAGCCGGTATCAGCTTCCGCATGCACGAAGGAACAATAAGATTGTATAACATATGGATCTACAACTTTATAACTTTAAGGATATTCTGAATCTTGGATCCAGGAAGGAAAACAGGATAATGTCTCCAATGCAAACAAGACAAAAGGCGTGTGTCCCAAGCATGCCATGATGCCATGTGGATGATGTCACACGGCTTCCATGCAGTATCAAACTGACGTATCACCGAATTGCTTCAGATCGCTTTCTCCAGGTACTTATACTGCACTTGGGAATAATATCCTTATAAGACTTTGTATCTATCTACAATTGACTCTTTTGTTGAACTTTGAATACTGAAACCTCAGGGACCACAACGACATAGCAGGATCTGTGCACGAAACATATAGATCATTTCGCATACCATGGATGTATGTGTTAGGCACGCGCTATACTGCTAAAGCATTTCTTGTGGCTGATATCTTATCCTGTACTCCAGGTATTCTACTCTTACGCATACTCCACCGCGGGATGGCTCTCGCTACAAGCCATACCTTTGATTGGAATGCCACAGATGATCGCAAGAATCATGCTAGAAGAAGCCAGGCAGCCGTCGCGTAAGCACTATCGTCAGAAAAAGACATTATTCAGCAGGAACCGTTGCTAACCGTCGCAGAAATTGAGGTCTACTTCGCTCGTTGCCTCGGCTTCAGTCTGCTCACGATCGCCGCCTTGACCATCATGCTGACTGGTTCCATCCCTCTCAGCTCAGCGGTTTCAGAAGCGGTCTCAACCGAGGACTCCGACCCTAAGGCTCCGTATGCTGTTCCTACGTTGGTAGTAACGTCCGTCTACCACGCCATTTCGGCCTTTTATGCGTACACCTGGTATACTACCACCGACCAAGTGGTCTTCGCGGTGGCCATGGTGGGATACTTTGCCGTCGGGTCCCTTGGGTTGTGGTGTACGCTTTTTGCCACCAGCCATGGGAAGATCAGTCGCAAGACGGGAGCTGACAAGAGGACTACGGGGTACCCGTTTGACAACAGAGTGGCAGAGAGGAAGCATGTGGAGAAGAGTGAATAAGAACCTGACACTGTTCTAAGAAGACGACGAGATATTGGTCGAATTCGGTGATATGGTCAGCCTCGGAGGATGGTTCCGACTGGATATTGCTCCTTGTACTTGACCGGGGCAATGGTGTCATCTGTCTCGGAGGTCTCTTCCCACTATATTTGCCCTTGATTTTAGCTATATTCACCCTTGTACATTAAAATAGGTCTTGGCCGCAGGGTAGCCGGCTTTTTTGTTGCCAACGTTATTACCTAGTGTTTCTTCATCATTCTCGGAAATAACAAATGCAAGGGTTCAACTGTAGTAGAGGCCTTATCTCTGAGACATTATTCAAGTATACATGCATGCCGTCATTTTCACTAAGCATATATGCATATTGCAACATATAAATGGGTTAATAATAATAATAAGCCCCAACGGATTCCCGGTGGAACATAATGTGCCAAGTCGGCATGCTGCACTGAGGACTCTTGGCCTTTCGCCCACAAGGCACATTCACCCCCATGATCCCAACTCTGCAATCGGACCTGGCCGACTGGACAGCGCCCTTATCGAGATCACGAGGTCAAATGCAACTTGACTAAATCACCAGACATGCTAAGCTATTGGCCAAGCCGGAGAAGGCGCCCGCGAGTCCTGTTTGCCCATACAGGAACTCCCTCGGCGCTCGACGTCTCACAGGGTACCTACTCTATATCTCTGGGGTTGGGGCCCTGAATCTATCATCAAGAATCAGTATCGTCACATTGCTCTTAATCTATCTCACGGTATGGTCTTTTAATGCCAAGGCCGAGCGCTCCTCGGACGCCCGCCGGCGAATAATGATACCGGGATCTCTAGGCTAGCCACAAAGGTCAAAGGGACTGCTTACGTCCACCAATTCCCAGCCTGCGGTTACCACTAGCCGAGACCATGTGGAGAGGGGAAGTTGGCCGTCCCTTCGTTTGACGGTTACCCCGAGCCCTGGTTGGCGTGCTCGAGTCAGTGCAAGAGCAAGAGTCACCTCGAGCGGTTCGAGTGTGTTGCCCTCGAACCATGACTGCATCAGGAGATCAGTAAGACCACATGCGCGCACGTATGATATATGTGTGCTACCATCGTCCATAAAGCGAGCCGGTGAGATTCCAAGAGAAACAGTATCTACGCGTCGTACAGGGCTCAATACTAAGGCTGTCTGCTACAAGACAGCACCGCTGGGCTGCTTGATTAGCATTTACTGGGCCTCCAGTCTAATGCAAACGTTATTAAGATCTGCAGGCCCATTAAGCATGTCATCAGGCGCTTTTCCCCCTCTTGCCAAGCTCATGCGAATGGGTCCCGTCTAGGGGGACCCTGGCTCGCCGTTATCAGACTGAGCCACCTAGTCAATATCCTTATCTCCAATGCGTGCAGAAATGCCAAGGAGGAAATCGCGTGAGATTGCCAAGTACCCTGGTAGGGTAACATCCGTCTCTGCAGACGAATCGTTTGACCCTTCCTCCCCGAGGCTTTGCCCGTGGGACGGACCTCAGTCGGCACAATGGCGTGAGGAGTCGCTGAGGAAGCCAAGAAAAAGACATATTACCTTCCGTAAGCAGAATGTTAGGCGCGAGAGCATTCATGGGCGCTATTTGCGCATGTAATGAGAGAATTCTCTTGTGCTCGGGGCGTTCTTGCACGAATCAGCGGCCTCAATTACTGTTCTCCTTGGTCAACGTCCTCTTTCTGATGACCCATCGATTTCCTGTCCCGGACTCGGTCATGTCGAATTGATGAAGATCATATCCGTCATCTGCATAGTTCATCTCTTCTCACGCTCTCCGCATGGCACTATCTGGCTCTCCGACGGTGTGCGATGCAGAGTTGCAATGTTACCCTGTTAGTTCCCACTGCACTCTGCGGATCACTTCCGGAATGTCTCCCTTCTCGTCTCGCGGTGGTGACTGGGAAATGCAGAGGCATGAAAATGGCACAAGTGCTGAAGAACATGAACGGAACACGAAGAGAGACAAAGTTATAAATACCTGCCTGTCCTCCAGAGATCTGTGTCCATCAGACCATTCAGTCCAACATCTCCCAGCCTGATCCGGTATCCAAAGTCTTCTCGGTGTCTTCGCCATGCATTCTATCAAACGCACTTTGCTGCTCCTTGGAGCTGTCCTGCCAGCCGTGTTTGGCGCGCCTGTCCAGGAAACTCGTCGTGGTGCTCAGAAGATTCCTGGCAAGTACATCGTGACCTTCAAGCCGGGCACCGACGCAGCTACCATTGAGTCTCACACTCTTTGGGCCACTGATCTCCACAAACGCAACCTGGAGCGTCGTGATGCTACCATCGGTGATACTCCCGTTGGTATCGAGAAGAACTACAAGATCAAGGATTTCGCCGCCTACGCCGGCTCCTTCGATGATGCTACCATCGAGGAAATCCGCAAGAGCGCAGATGTCAGTACTCTTCAGAACTCCAGCACTTCATGAGGTCAGTGACTTACAAGCGCACAGGTTGCCCATGTCGAGGAGGACCAAATCTGGTACATTGACGCCTTGACCACTCAAAGGGGCGCCCCATGGGGTCTGGGCAGCATTTCCCACAAGGGACAAGCAAGCACCGACTACATCTACGACACCAGCGCCGGCGCTGGCACCTATGCCTACGTTGTCGACACTGGCATCAATGTCAACCACGTCGAGTTCGAGGGCCGCGCATCGCTGGCATACAACGCCGCTGGTGGCAGCCATGTTGACAGCGTCGGCCACGGAACCCACGTTGCTGGTACCATTGGCGGCAAGACCTACGGAGTGGCCAAGAAGACCAACCTTCTGTCCGTCAAGGTCTTCCAGGGCGAGTCCTCTAGCACCTCCATCATTCTTGACGGTTTCAACTGGGCTGCCAACGACATTGTGAGCAAGGGTCGTACTAAGAAGGCGGCGATCAACATGAGTCTTGGTAAGATGGACCGTCTTGCTCGTTCGATTGGATTGGAAGTAACGGCTGCTGATGGATAATGACAGGCGGTGGTTACTCTTATGCCTTCAACAACGCTGTTGAGAACGCTTTCAGTGAAGGTGTCCTTTCTGTCGTCGCTGCTGGAAACGAGAACGTATGTATCCCCGCCTTGGAAAACTTACAAATGAACATTGCAAGTTTAGTCGGACTAACATGCCGTGCCAGACTGATGCTTCGAACACAAGCCCTGCTTCCGCTCCTAACGCTTTGACTGTTGCTGCGATCAACAGGAGCAACGCCCGCGCCTCCTTCTCCAACTATGGCTCCGTTGTCGACATCTTCGCTCCCGGTCAGGATATCCTTTCTGCCTGGATTGGCTCCACCACTGCCACCAACACTATCTCTGGTACTTCCATGGCCACTCCCCACATTGTTGGCCTGTCCGTTTACTTGATGGGTCTCGAGAACCTCTCTGGCCCTGCTGCCGTGACCTCTCGCATCAAGCAGCTGGCCACCAGTGGTGTTGTCACCGGTACTCAGGGCAGCCCCAACAAGCTTGCTTACAATGGCAATGCTTAAGCTTATGCCGAAGGGCCGATGGTTGACAGACTGCGCAGGGCGAGTCTTAACCGATGGATGATTGGAAGAGTAGGCGGGCGCGGAGGATGTTTTCCGCAGTTGATGAATCGAATGAGTCCTAAGTTACATAACAAAGCAATGGAATGATTTGCGTGATTTGATGTCTGACCCTGTAAGCAAACAATCTTTTATTCGGCTTGCCTGCAAGTCGAAAAAAATCTAATAATACGAGATGGGACGGATGGAAATCACACTTCAACTATGTCGGCTAAAGTAAGTTACCCACCACCCGCCTACAATGTCTTTCGCTCCAGCTGACGTTACGCTCACATCCTCGTACATTACGCTCAAGGACACGACGCAAAATTGCCGATGACGAACAGTGCGACGAGCGTGCCAAGGAAATGGCAAGAGCATATCCATCCGCGAGGAATGTTGATCGTGATGAACCTTCCGACCTTCCAAATGAAGCATGCTAATGGCCCACACTCACACGACGAGAGCCGGGTATCCTTGCTCAGGGCCCAATGAACAGCTCGATATCGATAGGCTCAGGAATGCGCATTGAGAGAGCGCTTACCTCATGAGAAAGGTGTCGCATACCTCCCTAGAAGCCTGCTCTGAAGATAGCAACATCCTGCTCGTACGTCGTATCCCTGGCTCGGGGTGCTCTGATCTGAAGCCCTTCAAATGTGTCTAGCTCTCATGGATGTATCTCGTTCACGAGCTCCTTTGCACCTGAATCTTGAATTGGGTATTCCTATGACTTGATCTCTTCCTGATGCAGGCCACGATCGCGATCTCCGACGAGAAGCTGAGCCCGTTGAGCAACCCGGACTCGCTGCAGTTCCATCTTTCCCAATATGGGCTGAAAATGACCACCGACGAGCTTTATGTCCAATGGGCAATAGGCAACCGTCGACATCCCCGAAATTGGGATGTTTCTCGGAAGGTCTATGATATCAGCCTGATCTTCTTCCTCGAGTTCTTCACGTATGTGCCTGTCTGTCTGGGATAATGCTATCTGTGCTAATCTGAAGAGCGTATCAGAACAGCTGTTAGCACTTCTGGTGTATGTTTCCTTCAAGCACTTGTTTACCAGACCATCGACTTATCCTGATCATCTACCTAGTCAACCGCCGCCGGAGCTGCAGCTGCTGAATATAGCTTGGAGAAGACAAAATCCATCTTCATATTCGTATCAGTGTTCGTTACCTGCCTCGCCTTCTCAGGCATTCCAAGCCATTTGTGACAGTGGATGTGCTCGCACGGGTGTCATTATTGACGCGCAATAGATATCTTCTAGGGCAAGCATTCGGTGGTATCCTGTTCCCGCCCTACTCTGAAGCTTTCGGACGCAAGAAGCTCTACATCATCAGCACAGCGTTGTACAGTATCAGCTGTCTCGTCGTAGCCGCCGTTCCTTCACTTTCTGGTGCGGTTGTGGGCCGCTTCGTCAGTGGGTTTTTATCGGCGATTCCCACCACTGTGGTAATAGGCAGTATCGAGGATATGTTCAACGCTCGCGACCGGGTTTGGATGGTATGTATCTGGGCCGTAACAAGCAACTTGGGTCTCATCGTGGGGCCAGTTTTGAGCATCTACATAGTTGCAGATCTGGACTGGTAAGCGTTGCTTGACGGTGGATGGCCGAGAGAGTGCTGCTAACGGACGGGCTTCAAAGGCGTTGGCTATTTTACATTGCGGCCATCGTAACAGGTCTCCTTACCTTCCTCCTTCTTACCATCCGGGAATCCCGCCCGTCGCTTTTGCTGGCAAGAGAAGTTGCACAGCTCCGCAAGGCGTCAAAGGTGGAGTCGCTGGAAGGAGTGAACCCAGATCATACACCGGATCTGCATAGCTTTGCGCGGCTTGCACTATCTCGGCCTGTACTTCTTTTCTTCACCGAACCTATCGTGTTCATAGTGTCTTTGATAAGCGCAATCTCAATTGCACTGGTTTATCTTTTCACGGAAGCATTGCCTCCCATCTATGAATCCTTTGATTTCAGCCCCCGACAAGCCAGTTTACCCTTCATCGCTATCGGTGTTGGGCTTAGTCTTGGCTTGCTGACTCGCTGCCTTGACCTGTACATCATCGACCAACGCCAGCAGCAGGGCCGCGTCCTGCTCCCCGAGCACAAGCTGCTGGGTCTCTGGCTTGGAGCTCCTATCCTCGCGGGCGGGCTATGGGTCTTCGCCTGGACCATTCCCCCGGCTGTGGAAGACTTGCATTGGAGCGTATCCGTGATTGCGCTGTTGTTGGTCGGATACTCGCTGACCGAGTTAGACTATGTCCTTGGGGCTATCTCACTGACAGCTATCTAAGCTACGCGTCGAGTGGGTTCTCAGCCCTCAGTTTCCTCCGATCGATCCTGTCGGCTGTCTTTCCGTTAGTCTCGCCCCATCTGTTCTCAGCTCTAGGCGCAAATCTTGCTGTGACCGTGCTGGCGGCCATCGCAACTATCTTCTGCATTGTTCCGCCCCTGTTCACGCGATACGGCGAGAAGCTTCGGGCCCGCAGTGCGTTCGCCAAGCAGAGTTTAACCATGTATCGTCAGTATAGTGTTGACGAGAATGGATATTGATGTGTCGAGTCGCGAGGAGCGTCGCTATTGGACGCCAATCAGCACATCAAGCACTGGACCTGAAGGCGGCAGAAGGAGGCTGATATAGGTCAAACAAAGATCGACTGGAATTTTCTTTTGACATGAGACAAATAACGTGGAGCTGTTTTGTTGATATGAACTGTCAATTGTAGAGCTGACTAGTTTGCTGGTCGGTTTCCCTGTCACAATATCCGATAGTTGCTTTTTCTTTTTCCGAGCTGTTTGATTTCACCGTGACAACAGATTCGGTGGAGTCCCACAAATGGGAAGTGAAATCAAAGCCATTGCGCAGTTATTGATAGAGGCAGGTATAAATGTAGATTCATCCTCTGTGGGATGTCTTGAGTAACTTCGCAGCAATATAATTTCTCCGTCATATTTATCACTAGTATCAGCTCTCCACATCCACACGCCGCTTCAACCTCCCCACCAATTCCCCTTCCGCTCCTCCAAAAGCAGCACTCGACATGATCCAGACTCACTAATCCCGCCTTCGTGCTTTGATGTTCCGCTCGAGACATGGACGGCCCGGATCTTCAGCGATTCCGCGTCGACTCTCACACTTCTGACGAACAGCCCCGATCGCTGTCGTCCCTGGCAGGCGACGCGTCCGCATTAGCTGCAACCCAACAGCAACATCACCGGTCACATACACAAGAGCTTGCAGATCCCCAGGACGCGCGGTCGCTTCAGACTCTGCAGTCTGTGCTTGAACAGTCCGACCTCCACCTCCATCATCCGCAGGAGCAGCGGCACCATCAAAATGCGGGTCATCCGCTCAATTCACCGGCTTCTATGCGGTCGTCGCGGCCTGGCGAGTCGGTTAACACCGAGCTGATATCTGCTCAACAGTTTAACGAGAAGCTGCACACCTACCACCAGATATCCCGCCAGGCGTTCTCAGGTAGCCTCTCGGATGGTCAGCAGATGCAATCCTGTTCAGCTCACGGCGGCGATCAAGATGCACACCACGAGCAGGTCCTGTCGCAAGTACGTTCAGATCTTGCGAATACCGCTGTCGAGTGTGATGGTAATGGCGCCGACGATGATACGCACATGCGCAACACCGGCTTGCAAGTATCGCCGCCCTTTCCGCACCATTTGCAGCTACAGCCGCAAAGCGATGGCTACTCTGTGGCCCCGGAGCTCTCGAAACAGGATGGTTGTCTGAAAGACATGAAACTGGTCCCTGATCCTCCGGACCTTGAATACTGGAGGGAGAAGCTATTCAACGTGGACGAGACGATCACCTTGACTGAAGACCAGTACGTCTACGCGGTTTTAATCGAATTGCAATCCCAAACCGAATCATCTGACCACTTGCCCTACAACTAGATTCCGAACCTACTTCCCCCACGTCGACAACGTCTACTCCCACCGCTCCACACAACGCTACAAGCGCAAACCCTTCGTCTCCCACTACTGGGACTGTAGGCTCAAAGGCCGCCCGCCCGGCACCCCCAAATCCGACGACCCGAACAAGAAGAAGCGGAAACGCACCGCCCGACAGCGAGACCTCTGCGACGTCAAAATCAAAATCACCGAATACTTCCCCGGGTACGGGATGGCTGCTGTATCGGACTTTGTCGCCAACGGGTCCGAGACGTCCTTTCCTTCCTCGGAGTTTCTGCCCAGCGTGAACTCGTTGTTTCATGACTCGTCGGCCTTGGGCCAGAGGAGGGACAGTCAGCCGTTCGGTGTGCTCACGCCAAATCCGACCTTACCTGAGGGTCATCCCGGAGCGAATGGGGAGAGATTCTTCACGATCCAGCGGGTCAATGGCAATGGTGCGAATGGGAAGAATGACGGGGTGGGCGGGGGCCATCGGCATACGTTGGAAGAGAGCGACCGGGTCAAGAAAAATAGTGTTCAGCGCTATTTGCTGAAAGAGGCCAAGGAGAAGAAGAAGGTAGTCACAGTAAGTGCGATCTGTTTACTACCTTAGTTGTCAGACTTGCCCTGTGTAACTGTCATGCATTGGCGTATGTGATTCCGCTATTTACGTCACTGCTGGATGCCGGATAAAATGACATCCAGCTTCCCCGCTTGGCCCAGCTGGCTACAACTGAGACACATCCATGAGACGGTTGCTCGATTAAAAGACTCATTCCGGTTCAAATACCTCTTGAGACTAACCAAAAATTTAAGTCTAGAACGATGCCCTCCCAAAGTGAAGCCCAGCAAAAAACATACCACACCAAAGCTACTGGCTTAGCGGCCTTGACCGCTATAAATCATTCCAATGAGGCAGAACTCAAACTGTTCGGAAGTTGCTTCTGGTATGTCTGAGCATCGAGTATTTCAGCCGAGACCCAGCTAAACAAGCATATTCTAGTCCTTTTGTACAACGCGTTTGGATAGCCTTGGAAACCAAGGGTATCCCATATCAATATATCGAAGTAGATCCATATCAAAAACCTCAATCTCTATTGGAGGTGAACCCCAGAGGCCTGGTGCCAGCGTTGCGGCACGGTGACTGGGGATCGTATGAAAGCTCGGTTCTGCTCGAATATGTAGGTTTCAACCCACACATTCCTTTCTCACGGGGAGGCCGTCATCTCTAAACCAGGGTTTGCAGCTCGAAGATTTGGATGTTGCTCCACACCTTCTGCCGCCTGGCGACGCGAAGTTGCGAGCTCACTGTCGGCTCTGGACCGACCATGTAAGTATTGTGTGGTCCGACATTAGTTCCCAGACTAGGGCTGAATGGCTGCAGATCAATCGTCATATCGTGCCCAGCTTCTATAGGGTTCTCCAGGAACAGGAGGAACAAAAGCAGACGGCGAATATGCAGGAGCTCCAAGACGGTCTCAAGACGCTAATCACGGCTGCCAATCCCGAAGGTCCATTTTTCCTGGGACCGACCATCTCTTTTGTAGACGTCCAGATCGCCCCTTGGATCCTCCGCCTGAGCCGGGTGCTCAAACCGTACCGTGGCTGGCCAGACCCCGAGCCCGGAAGCCGGTGGGCCGCATGGGTTAATGCGATTGAGGCCAATGAGCATGTCAAGGCGACAACTAGCTCGGACGAACTGTACCTCGACAGTTATGAGCGATATGCCCGTGAGTATACAATCATGCCGTGACTGGCAAAGAACTAACGTCCCCCAGAAAATCGACCCAATACGTCGCAGGTTGCAAACGCAATCAACTCCGGAAGGGGGTTGCCATGATGCTTCAGCGAGCAAGGGGTGGTCCTGTCACTAAAGACATATCCGGTGCGAATGACGCAAGGCTGCGCCCCCAGACGTCGCGACGTGCTGTGATCAAGTGGCCTTTGCGCCTCTGTGGCCTGCTCTGAAACCGCCTCGTCCACTGGCGTCTGGGCCTCTCGGACTACGAACGGGTTGCCGCGGAGATTGCGGCTGGTCATTCAATACCCGCTCGCCAGCTTGCTGTCTCTCCTTCTTCTGCATGTAGTTTGAATTGGGTTTGGAGGAATATCCGGGGTCAAAGAGCTGTTTTGACTTCGTCGAGGATGCAGAAGAGTCTCTCTTGTCTCTGTTGTTGTCTCTGCCATTGCCGCGGCTTTTCCCCTTCCCTCTGCCCTCAAACTGTCTGGGAGGAGTCGCGCTTCGTGGTGACGATGCACCCGAGGTGGTTGCAGACGGACTTCCAAACAGTCTCTCGCGCACTTCCTCATATTTCCGTTGTTTTTCTTCCAGGTTCTTCAGGGCAATGGCATGCCGTTCTTCTGGAGTCGGTTCTGGCCGTTTCTGGTCATCATCAGAGTCCTCCAGGCCTTCATTAGTCGCCAAACCGAGCCGACTAATTCCCGCAGTCGCTGAAGAAACTCCGCTGGACGATGACTGGCGCGTCATCAATTGAGGCGTGCGGCTGAGTACAGTTACTGCTGGTTTGAAATCCTGCTTTAAAGGGACATCGGAACGGGCCTCTAGGTAGTGGAAAGTTTGCGGAGATTCACTATCACATAATCAACACATAAATATTCAATTGAGATTGATAGTAGAGGGTGCATGCACGCACGCTTCGGCCCATAGCTGCCGGTTGAACTCAGCCTGTTGCGCCCTGCGCTGCGCCTTGGTGACTTTCGAGGATACCTTCTTCTCTGGAGGAGGAGGGTTTGGATCGTCGGCTAGTTTCTGTCCAGGAGAAATTTTCCGTCAGACGCTTCTTGTGAAGGTGACGAGCGGACCCATATGTAGAATGGTTCCGCAGGTCGGTAAGTCTGCTATTAGATATGGAAGACATACATCTGCCTGTTTTTCCCAGTCATCTTCCCAAGCGTCCGGGGAGTCAGCAGTAGGCTTTGCGCTCATATTCACACGGCGGGAAAGGAGTTAGATTTGGATTGACCACCGCAGCAGGGACGTAGCGACTAGTGAAGGTCTAGTGGTGTAGACGGAAGCAAAAAATGGGGCGAGAGACACCAATTCAGATCCAGCCCAATATGTCCATTGATAGCGGTCTTGTCTCGACAGTCGTTGCGTGAGAAAAAGAAAGTGAGCAGCAGCGGGGAAAGCCAGCGAAGACGGGAAAATCATTGTTGCTTGATTAGTTAAACCGCGGCGGAGCCTAGACGTCTCTACTCCGCCGACAGCTGCATCTATACCAACGATCACCGACTGTTTGCCAGCCTCATCTTCGTTTGTTGCGCTTCTGGAAATAAACTACGATGCCAACTGGTAAGTTTTGGGCTCAGATGTGTCCCCACCAGCCCTTTCATAACCCTACACCTCCGCACCCAGGACGTCTTAATAGCTGCACGGCTCGCTTGCTCACGAAACACAGATCTGGACGGCGACTCGCAAATGGCCTCATCCCCCGAATCTTCTGTCGGCTCGCCGGTGGGCTCCCGCACGCCTACGAACAACAATAGTCTCAATGACTCTAACTCAGGATTCGCTGGGGCTTCCGAACTATCCCCGCCAGGCTCGCAGACACAGAACTTCTCTGAAGTCACGGAGATGGCCGCACTCGAGAAGAACAGACCTTCAGATTTCTCGACACAGGTTGCTGGGCAGCAGCAACAACAACAGCAGCAGCAGCAAAGGCAACCCGGGGCACGGTGGATGAACAAACGGGCGGAGGAGGAGTACCAGCGAGCGATGGAGTATATCGTTGATAAGGACTTTAATCTGGGTAGGTTGAGTAACAGTGCATTACTTGCTCACTGACATGTTTCCTCTGGTACTTGTCATAGAGAACCGATGGCTAATGGTCTGCCTAGATGAGTTCGGTGACCCTTTCGATGACCGAGACATGGAGGAGCCGGTATTCTAGGGTTTGCGGTGAACCTACGGGGCCAATTTATCTCTCTCGTACTTAATGGAATTTTAAGAGACAGTAGTCTACGACCTTATGAGATATGCTTACCGGGTAAGGCCCAACTAGCCTGTTCATGTACTTCGACCACAATGGCTAACCAGTAAGCCAGAATTAAATGATATTCGCTGTGCCTCTTCTTGGAGATTTTTGTTGTCATTAGACGACCTCCATTAATTCAATGCCGAAATTTTAAGTAGCCCTTCGTTCGGTGGTATTCACTGTCTGGCAGTGAGCATGAACAACGCAACTTCCGTACCTAAGCTCAGGTTTGACGCTGTCGGGAAAGCCTCGTTTGAGACTCGGATGTGGATCCAGTAGATAAAGGCAGTGGTGTTCTAGTCAATAGCCTCATTCAGCATTGCGAAAACAATCTCTCCTTGACTTGGTTGCTTTCCAGTGATATATAGTCATATCATGCAGAGCTGAAAGCAAGCACCTCGGACAATGACAAGCCTGCTCCTGTCATGAATACAACGAGTGTAGTGTGTCGTAGCATAGAGTCAAGTAGATAAGACCACGGCTGAATTCCCTGACTTATAACAGTCGTGCTGGTTATCCGTTTCCTCAACAAGATTCAAGTGCTGGAAGGACGCCGTGCTGTGCTGCTGTCCGGCCTCCTAGTGTATCAAGGCATAAGAGGGTCCATCTTTTCGTTGTCACCTCTACATGAAGTACAAGATGGTCAAGTCACCCATGGTATGGAATAGGAAGAGAGATCCAATCCATATCCAGTGAACCTCAGCGTCTCCAGGTGAGTTGTCCGTATGTAGCTCTCTACCTCGTAGTTTATCTGATAAAGTGTTGGCACAGCAACGGCCCGCCCACCGCCAATCAACACGTTGGTCCAGCTTAGTTTGCCCTGGCATTATTTGTTACCTTATTATTATGATTTCTTCATCTCGGCCTTGACGCGTATTTGTATTGCTTAGGATAGATGGTTTTCTTCTCTATCAGCGTCGCATTTATGCTCCAATTATTAAGCTTGTATCCTATTATTGCAGTATTCTAGAAGCTTGAACCTCTCTACCTTGCATTCCCCATCGACATACAGTTGAGCTCCGTCACGGCGTCACATTCCTCGGGGCTCCAAGCAGCCATGGCCACCAGTCATGATCCATCCCATCAGTCGGGCCCTCTGTCGCGAGCATGGTGAGTTGCTTCTTTTGTCCCGATTGACATTCCTGTAAATTATGATGGGTGCTTTGATCGGGGAAGCGTTGAAGAATTCCCCCTGCCCCTTTTCCCTCTCTTGCCATTACTCCCAGAGACCAAGGCACGATCGCTGATACGATCGCGACTGTGTGCGCCAACCGCGCGCGCTTTCGCTGGATTGAGTTTCATAGCCAGCTTCAGAGTCAGGACGAAAAGTTCAGTTTCACGCCCGTCAAGGCCGCCGCCGCCCCTCGTCTATGGGACCGAAAACCGTCGAACGCGTTCCTTGGGCGTTCGAAATCGCGCAAAGTCTGGAAACGCTTTCGTTCCTCCTTTAACAGCATGAAAGCGTTACAACGTCTCGTCGCTGCGTCGCACGAGGATGTCGATGAAGATCTCTTCGCCGAAATCAACTTGTCCAGGAATCTGGGGTTTGTCCGCGGTGTCAAGCGACGGTGCTTTGGGCTGAAGGATGAGAGTCAACCGGACAGTACTGTTCTACGGGGACGTTCGTTCCTTGAGACAAAATGGGAGTCGGAAGCGACGGGGAGAAGACGTATGCATGCTCGCTTGATATTTGGTTTAGCCAGGCGACTATGGGACACCCGCTGATGGACTACAGGGAAACTACCTACGAACCATGCCGACTTTATTGATCCCCAAGCGGAGCCGATGGATACGGATGAAGAGGAGGAGGCAGGTCACGCCGTGGCTGACGAGGATGAGCCACGGGACGCGGCCACGTCAATCGCGGAACAGGACACGGACGCATCTTTTGACTCGACCCCAGACACACCCACAGACTCGGTCCTTTTCTCAGCGAATCTCCACACGCTACATGGCAAATCCGTCAGTGCAGATGATTGCGCTGGAACCAGCTACGATTTCGAGATAAATGCCACCGGCGATGTCGCTCAACCTGACCCCGCACTTGATACCAGTGTAGCGAGTCTTCATACCGTAACCAATATTGCCCCAGATGCAGCCGTGGATACATATATGACGGATGATCGACAAGATCTGACAGTCCAGACCGCAGACTCCACAATCGCAGCAGAAGTCACATCGGAGCAGGGTCTAAGTGTGCAACAAGAGTCCACTCTGGTGCGTTCGGCACTACGCAGCTCGCTGGGTGGGGAGGATGCGGAGTTGCTCAATAACTTCTTATCCAAGGCCAAGGCAGCTCGCGCGGCCAAAGCCGCAGCTATGACTGTGCAGGATGTGGCCGCAGAGCAAGCCTGCCAGGACGTGAGTGACGTACCAACTCCACAGGCTCGACGGGCTCTCGAAGAGCTGGACGCCAATTCGCCCTCGCCATCGAAAGTTCAGCTGTCTCCAGGGAAAGCGTCTGATCCTGCAGATAGTCCTGATCGGGATGATCAATCACGGAAAAGGGTTGATGCCCGAGAGGACGAAAATCAAGCAGCCAGTCCAGTCCGTCGAAGTTCGAGGCACCGTGCTGCCAAAGTTCCCCCCAGACGGCTACGCCTACTCTTCGTACCCTGACTCTTCGTCGCGCAAAGGGGACGGAGTTCGTCTTCCTGCAGCGCACAGAAGCCCAGGAGCTTGCGCTGGCGACGCGTCGAAACACTCGTCACAACAAAGGGGATGCGGTCATGCCAAAATACGTGCTTCAGGCCTTGGCGGAACAATCGCAGAAGACCGGTCTCGATGTCGATCATGGCAAAGCTGCAGACCCTGCTCAGAAGCGCACAGGGGCCAAGAAATATGTGACATGGAACGAGGAGCGCCTGGTACAGTACCAAGGGGAGGACAACAGTAAGCTAGGGGAGCGGAAGCGCAATGACGCCGCTTTGAATCCGACGGTGAAGGGCACCGATAAGCAGAAGGCAGCCAGTAATCGCAGCACCCGGTCCCAGACAGCTAAGGCCGGTGGTGAGGAAGAAGTGGCTGCATCAACTACTGCACCTGCTACTGCAGCTCCCAAGGTGCGGCGTGTGCGGCGGTTAGGAGGGTCAAAGAGTAATCCCAGTCCTGTCGCGGCCACAGACACGAAGAAGGCGTCGCTTCTCCCGACTCTCAGCACTAGCAGCAATGTTGAGAAGCGCAAGAAATTGTTCCCCAAGCGGCCCAGCGCTGTTGCAACGGGTACTCCCGTTTCGAACAAGATACTACCTTGCGGCAGCAGCGACGATAGGAGCTCGTCCGACTCTACCAGCGGTAGCGCTCCGCGAATAAGATCCAAGAACATTCTCAAGGCACATGCTGGATCGACACCGATGCCGAGACGTATCCGTCCCCGCTCTTGATTGTGTCACTTTCAACTCTATTGTTATTTTCAATACTGACCCTCCTTTGGAGGTTGTACATAATCAGGCCCGCCAATCAGTTGATTACGGGATTTGCGAGACAAACGGACTGGCGAACCGGCGTTTTTGTATTTCTGTTGACTTGTCAGTGGGTAAGGCGTTATGTGTAAGAGACACACCTTGTATGAGTTCATTTGCAGTGGATTGTTGATCTGTTGATCTTCAACCCTGCTTTCATGTGAATATTACCGCCATCCCTTCGGTTTAGTTTCTGTGAAGGCCGTAACCAGCCAACCATATCAATTGTTGTCATGACTCGACCATCATCTTACAGTATTGTATAGATACTAGTGAAGAACTAGTCAACTACGTAGCTACCAACTGGGGAAACTTGGGGGTTGTGTTCATGAAGATCTCGGTTAGCCTCCGATAGTCCAGCGTAGTTCGTTTAGTGCGGGGAGAAGAGATGCGTCGCATCGTCATTTGTTGGATCATGTTTATCACCATTATCGTATAACTATGCCGAGCATTACCGACGATTGTCTCCCTAGATCCGAGTCTTAGCAAGAGAGGATGAGCTGTGAGGTCAGTCAGGTCAATAGCCATGCAAGTGGTGCCTAGTATAGAAGGCAGGTTGGCAGCAACTGAGCAAAGGTACGGTCAAACAAAGCTGACGGCCATGCTCTTGGCTGAATCTTGTCATTAATATCCGTATCAGCAATGCAATTGACTTTCGGTAATTAGATAATAGGCTGCTTATGAGGAAGGTTGCCCGCTGCAGACTGCAGATTGCATTCTTCTGATGCCTGCCCTGCAGCACTTGCCTATGTCGAGCGGGAGTATCAACATCAACATCAACGGTGAGCTAGCAGTAGGCATACTGCATCTACACCGCCTGGAAGGAGGGCGGGTCTCTCATCGTTCATTTTGATATAACAGACGTACCAATACTAAGACTTTCCTCTACAGAAAATCACTCAAGGGATGGGATCAACCAGTTACAGCAACCTGTGAGTACCTTAGTCTCAAGTACCTATGGTTCATTATCGACAGTTTGAGGATGGACAAATCATTGTTGGGCACCATGTGGATCCGTATGTTCCTGTTCATTAGAGGAAATGATAACCATAACCATATCCATATCCATATCCATATCAATTCCGTTGCTAACCTTCAAGGTGGGCTATGAGTAGGGAGTGTTTACCATTCAAGGAGGTGTACGGAGTAACTTAGATGACAGCCGTAGGAACAGCAAGGACCTCAGTGATCCACTTAGCCCAATCCTTAGCCCATAAACCTCGTACCGACGTCATGGTCTACTTCCGTCATTTCTCAACAGTTATCCTATTCTAGTCTACTTACTCCTAAGGGCTAGTGTACCTAGTGTACGGAGTAGGGCTACAGCACTTATTGCCATGTACTTAGGTATGTCTCAAGATCCACGGGCTAAACTCGGTCTTTCCCATTCGGGAAGCTCGGTGTTTAGGGCTTTTCCGTTTTTGCCCACCGGGCGTGGCTGAGTCCCGGGATTTTCCGATCTCATTACTCGAGGCTGGTGACTGGCGGTGCATTACCGCATTTGCGTAGACTACTACTCCGTAAAGTGTGTCGGACTCCCAATTAGCTGTCCACAGCAGTAAAATCTTAGGTAAATAAGGCTGTAGGTTGAACCCCTGACGAGCTTTCTTGGATATCCAAATTCGGCGAGGTGCGAAGGTTACAATGGAGACATGCGTCATACTGCGTGGCTAGTGCTGGCTTGGAGGACTGTCCTCCGTGTATTACATTTACAACGGCCCGGCCTCTTGATACTGCGTGCAGTTACATCGGGCGCTGCAGCCTGTAGGAAGCTCGGCATCTCATTGGAGTTACGGCTGCATTTTGAGTTGGAAGAGTTTTCAAGCAAATTTCGGGATGGATTTTGACAGGAGGTGCTATTGGTGGTTGGTGACACCTTGGCGCATTTTATGTTTCATTTATCTACTGCAGAGAGGTAGAAGCATACTTAGATGATACTAGTAGTCCGACCAAATGAATGAACCAGCTAATCCAGCTAGCTTTATTGGATTGTTTCAGATGTAGCTATGTACCGTGTCAACGATCATGATATTCGTCCCAACATTAAATGATTTTTTATGACCCGCATCAAGCGAACCAATTAAGCAGACATCTGCTTTGCCGTCTCCTCGGGCCACACATCGTAACCAAAAGTATCCTTCATGTTGACAAATCGGAAATGACGACCCTTGGCGACATTGTTGACCGCCTCATAGTCGGCATCCGACAGCTGGATGCTCTTGAAGTTGGACTCGATACGAGCCGGGTTCGAGCTCTTGGGCAGCACAACGTAGCCACGGCGCAGACCCCAGGCAATCAGCACCTGGGCCAGGGTGTTGCCGCCCTTCTTGGCGATCTCGTTCAGGGTCGGGTTCTCGCTGACACGCTCGCCAGTGGTGGGGACCTGGTTCTGGGAGCCCAATGGCGAGTAGGCCTCGGGCAGGATATCGTGCTTGAAGCAGTACTGGATGAGCTCCTCGTTGGGCAGGAAGGGGTGAATCTCGATCTGGTTGACGTGAGGCTTGACCTTGGCGAACTTGAGCAGCTGCTCGAGCCCTTCGATGGTCCAGTTCGAGACACCAATGGCCTTGGCCTTGCCGTCCTCGTAGAGCTTCTCCATTGCCCTCCATGTGGGCTCGGGGTTCTTGGTGAGGTCTTCCAGGATGACGTACTATTTGTTTGCAAGTCAGTAGAAGTTCAGACCGAGACTGTTTGAGTCAAATTACCTTTCCATCAGGGCCGATCTTGGGCTTCTCCTGCGTCTCCTTCTCCGCGGCAATGGGCCAGTGGACCAGGAAAAGGTCTATGTAGTCGACCTTGAGCTTCTTCAGGGAGTTCTCAAGCGACCAGATGACATCCTCGTAGCGATGCAGGTGGTTCCAGACCTTGGTGCAGATGAAGATATCCTCGCGCTTGACCGAGGGGTTCTCCTTGAGGAAGTCTTGGATAGCATCACCGACCTCGTCCTCGTTCTGGTAGAACCAGGCGCAATCCAAGTGTCTGTATCCGGTCTTGAGAGCACATGTGACAGCGTTGTAGGTCTCGCCTTTGGAACCCTCGCTGGCGAAGGTTCCGAAACCGACGGCGGGGATCTTAACGCCGTTGCTGAGAGTAAAAGTGACACCGGCCGACATTTTGCAGAGAGGTATAGGCGCAATTGAGGTAGTTGTGGTAGAAGTATTTGATGATAATGAAGAATGGAAAACTGATCCAAAGGAACAAGATGTTCAGGGGTATTGGAATGGATGACGGATGAGTGGGAGAGAGGATGAATTATTGGGCGGTTTTGAGGTGGAGGGGTAGCAATGCAACAAGAAGCAGCTTAGGTGGGGTTTCAGAAGACGAGCGAAGGCGGCAAGCTGGGATGACGCTGATGATGATGATTTTCTCCCCTGTGATTCTTATGATTCTTTTTTTTTTTTTGACTCTATAGAATCTTCTATCCTGAGTATCAATTCCTTTTTGCTGCAGCTTAAAGGAGATAAGCAACAAACATCCTTGACTGCATATCTTCTTCACTGCAACTGCCTCTCTTTTTTCTGCACTCAATTGCTGACGATATTTAACAATTACTGCAGCTACTCTGAATCCCCCCCAACATTTTGGGAATTATTTCCCTTTTTGCCCAAAGTTAATTCACCAATATTACTCTGTAACGCTGCGTCTCTTTCTTTTCTTCCCTCAGTGATGTGATGCCCCACCACGACACGCAGTCCCTCAGCAATGACATCATCCCTGCCTAGCTGCAACCAGCAAATCAAAAGGACGAAACGGCGCGAGCGTTTGACCCACCGCCGCCCGCTCGATCGTCATCGGCTCCATCGATCTCTGCTTATTCCATGGGTGGAAAACCGTGACCAGCCAATCAGTAGCAAGTATGTGTGGGTTCCTGTCCACTCAGCGTGCAGATTGGCCTCATGCTGGCTGAGAGGATCATTTCTTGGGCGGTTCGTCTGGTAAAGAAATTTCCACCTTAAGCCTTTACCAGCCAATGGATGAATGGGAACGTCAGTGATGCCACCTTCGGCCTCTCAGTCCCCGCCCCGCCCTATTTCCATGCTCTAATGAATAATTTCTTGATAAATGTTACAGGCCGTATCAAACAGGGTCTAAGAAGGTACCTGCTACCGTATAATGAAACAGAAATACCTCCCTTACGGAATGCGCAGTACATGGCAAATACCAAGACCCACGGCAATCCTGCCTGTCGGGGCTGAAAAGGGCTTAGCCAGCCCGACGCCGGCTCCGCTGTACCCGCTGGGCGTATCACTGTTTCCCTGGTACCGACCATTATTGGAAACAATTACAGCGTAAGGTAGTCCATCCCGCAATCATTATTGCTGCTACCATGATACCATCCCATTTCCCAGATACCTAAAACGATGATGACGATAATTCCTAGGAATGATGATACGCCTGGGTGGAGCCTGATTTTCTCATTATGCTACTGCGTTGGATAGAGCGAAAAGACAGTGATAGTGGGATGGTTGACCGCCACTGGTTCTGGTAAACCATGTTCTAGTTAATAAATACCTTGATCTCCTTCATTATCATCTTGACTTTTTCTTCATTCACCTGTTCTCTTCGTCCCTTATCTTCTCGGGAAGCCGTTTAGTGAATTTCTTCATACAACACTGATCCGGCCCGCCCTCCCATATAAGAGTGATATCATCTTCCATTCTCTTATCACCCACCTCATCTCCCTCCCTACGTTACTCTACCTTAACTCTACGTCTACATACTCTTTCAACTCTCATCTACCGTCACCATGCCTCGCTTCGATGATGCTGACTTTGGCGTCGAGCCCGCTCCTCCCGGTGCTCGTTCGCCCAGAGATGCCCGTGGCAGTACTTCTGGCTCTCTCCCCATCCCCAACGAGGCTGGCAACACTGTCGAGATCCCTGCCACCAGAAGCTCCATCAGTGATGCCGCTCAGTTCATGCACAACCTGAGCTTGTCTCCCTCGATGCGGGATCGTCGGGGTTCTCGCAACTCTTTCGGCACTTCCCTCCCCATCCCCAGATCCCCTCGTGTGTCTCGCCTGTCCTCTGTTCGCATGGCCGATGCCTCCTCTGTCTCTCGTGACCTCCTGGCCTCTCAAGTACAGGACATGTCCAAGGAGAAGGTCGCGGCCGCTAAGAACATGGCGTTCGCTTTCGACATCGACGGTGTCTTGGCTCACGGCAACCACGCCATCCCTGAAGCCAAGGAGGCCCTCAAGATGCTGAATGGCGACAACGAGTTGGGAATCAAGATCCCCTACATCCTTCTGACCAACGGTGGTGGCAAGACTGAAGCCGCCCGTTGCGAGCAGCTGTCCGAGATCCTGGAGGTGCCTATCTCGACCGACCAGTTCATCCAGTCTCATACTCCAATGCAGGCATTGTCCGAGTACTACGAGACCGTTCTCGTCCTGGGTGGTGAGGGTCAGAAGATCCGTGAGGTCGCTGAGAACTACGGCTTCAAGAACGTTGTTCACCCCAAGGATATCCTTGCTTGGGACCCTACCGTCTCTCCCTGGCGCACATTCACTGCCGAGGACCGCGCCGAGGCCAAGCCCCGCGACTTCTCCAAGATCAAGTTCGATGCCATTCTCGTCTTTGCCGACTCTCGCGACTACGCTACCGACATGCAGCTGATCATCGATCTGCTGCTGGCCGAGGACGGCAAGATGCTGACCCGCGCCAAGGACCCCGTCTCCTCCCGCATCCCCATCTACTTCTCCCAGGGTGACTTGCTTATGCCTACCGACCACAAGGGTCCCCCCGGTTGACTCAGGGTTGCTTCCGTATCGCCATCGAGGCGCAGTACAAGGCTCTGACCGGCGTCGACCTGGAGCGTGTTGTCTACGGCAAGCCCGAGCGCGCCACCTACACCTACGCCGACGAGGTGCTCAAGGCCTGGATGGAGCAGATCCACAACGAGAACCGCCTGCCCAAGAACATCTACATGATTGGTGACAACCCGCAGTCGGACATTGTCGGTGGTAACATGTACGGCTGGAACACCTGCCTGGTGCGCACCGGTGTCTTCCAGGGCGGCGAGAACGACGAGCACAACCCCGCCAACTTTGGTGTCTTCCCCAACGTGCTGGAGGCCGTCAAGGCTGCCGTCCGCAAGGAGCTTGGCCAGGAGTTCAAGTTCAAGTGGAACCCCAAGGTCAACCCTGTCACCCACGGTGATGGCTCTTCCGCTGTCGAATAAAAACATCGAACTTTCGCACTTGCACTACAAAACTTCGCTACGTGACAAATGATTTGAAAACAGGGAAAAAAGTGGCTGAAGAATGGGTTGAACTTTATTGTTCTGGGCGTCTGGTTTACTTGTCTGTTTCATTGATTTAACGGTCATCATCCTCATCATGTTGATCTAGACGATTTTGCATCTTTGGGTTTTATGGGCTAGGACTACTGATATCCATCGGCGCTTGTCTGGATGCCCGTCCGACAAGTCGACCACCGCTACAACTGGTTACAATTGATTTTTCTTTGCTTGCAAATAGACATCATCTTCAATTTGCGTCATGAATAGAGTTACTAGAGTCTTCTTTGAGTTCTTTGCATTATTGAAGTCATGCGGTCATCGTTGACGCCATACTGACGAGCGTATCTGTTCAACGAACTTTGTTCAATTAAGGTTAGGTTACCTGGAAAAAGGTAAACAAGTCAATTTTTCTCCGAGAGTCATCCTAATACGGAGGATTGTTGGTATCTAGCAACTGAGTGGCAAAAACAGCTCGGCAGCGTCCGAGTCATCTGTCAGGGACAACAAACAAATTATAAAAATAAGAACTTTCTAGACCGAGATCTATCGACACCTGCACAAGTACAGCAGGGTTGCGAGTTTGATACAATCATGAACCGGGTATTGCCTCCAACGTGCCAATGGCAAATGGCAATTGGGAATCGCAGGCGACAGTTTAATCATTAGCGTAGAGAGTTGACACCAATGCAGGCTAAATTAGACCGAAGCCACAACGCAAGCCCAGCCGGCTTCTATCCGGTCGGAATGGTGGCTTTTCGCTTGCAGGGATTTACTATCATTTATGATTATGATTATGATTTCTTGGTGTGTGGCGATCTCCTATGAAGTAGTATCTTGTTGGAACACGACCTGATATATGGACGGAGTGAGATTGAGTTGGCTGTCGGAAATATCACTGCATGTCGTAGAAAGTACATACAACAGGGGTATATATGGAGTAGGCTCGGCGTTCGTTCGGACAGTGAAGAATTGTCCACCAGGATGATACTCTGATGACTACGATACTACGGACATGAGCAAGGCATTTTGTTAGGACTCGACCAGCTGAAAGCCAGTTGTCAACCTCGATACGGAACGTCGGTGTCGCTTGTTGATACCAGGATGGGCGGAAGTCCATGCATGAGGTGGTCGGAGGGATTTCCCTGGGTGGTAGCCACGTCGTTGGTGATGCGTGGTCCGTCAAGTTGAATAGTATCACAGCGCTGTAAAGATCATATGTCCTGGTACTCCATACTTAGCTAGGGATCTGACTCCTGGCACAGCTATGGTACGGAAGTCCCTGGATAAGTGCATCGTCTCGTCCGCTTCGGCTCAGAGACAACCTTGCAGTCGCTTTATACCCTGGATACCGCGGATCAATGGACTACTCATCTAGTACATTGACCTTCTCGGCCCAAGAAAAATAGCTCAACCTGGTAAGGAAGAGATAGATTGAATGAACTAGCTTTGACTGGCCACCAGTCGCGCGAGTAGGAGTCGGTCAGATTCCCTACTACCTGGGCCTGTGGCTCTAATATATGACTGACTGCAAGCTGCTTACGGACTATACAGCATACAGAATGCTCCTTACGCCGTCAGCCATCTTGTCATAGACGCACGGGGACAGCCTCAGGTTGTATTGGCAACCCATAGTGAGAGAACCGATATTGAATTCACGGAGAGCTCTGCACGGCATGTGGACTCCATGTGCAGAGAACGTGTACAACTTCTCCGCGCGAGAGAAATTGACAATTGCGCCGGGTGCCAGAGCACTCTACATGGTTTGGTACAGTGACGTGAGACCAAGCTCCACTGGAGTCTGCTGGTAGCGTCTCGGAAGGCTTGTTCTGTTTAGTCTGATAACGGAGATGCACATTGATCTAGTGCCACCAGGATTATCAAGCCCGATAGATCGTTGGACAATGGGAAGACGAGAAGCGAAGCCATCAAATGAGTTATCTGATTGCGGAATGGCAATGTACCCCGGCCTTGTCCCTATTAGTCAGGTCCCAGAGTATCGCAACCGCCAAATGGTCACCATCGCAATGATCTCATGCTGACAACCTTTGCCTGTCAAGTTGCAGTCATCGGCTACGAGAGCAATATCGCCCGAAACGATGGTCATCCCACAGAACTTAAGGGACAGACATGCCCCATGCTCCGGACTCCGAGGCTCCTAGACTTCAGGCTTGAGATTCATCCAGTCAGGCCGACGCTGATCTCTTATCTGTTACAGTTTGTCGTGCCTTTACCCGCTTCTTGTCATCTCACAGAATGCACCCAACGAATACCGCCGCATGGCAGATTGCCGAAAAGGCCAAGCCTCTTGAGGTCAGGCCCGCCGCCTACACCCCTCCCAAGGAAAATGAGATTGTTATCAAGAATAGCGCCATCGGCCTAAACCCCGTCGACTGTCTTCGCCAGGAGCAGGGCGCCGCACTGTTCTCCTGGACCACCTATCCCACCATCATGGGCACCGACGTGGCCGGTGAGGTCGTCGAGGTGGGCTCCGGCGCCGCAGCGGCACGCTTCAAGCCTGGCGACCGCGTACTGGGACTCGGTAGCGAGCTCAAGGACAACAATCCCGCCGAGGGCGCTTTCCAACACTACACGGTCATCCCGGCGCAGGTAGCGTCCCCGATTCCCACGGACCTGTCGTACGAAAACGCCTCCGTCATTCCGCTGGGCATATCGACGGCGAGTTGTGGGCTGTTTCAGAAGGATTATCTGGCGCTGCGGTTACCCACGAGTCCGCGGGCTACGTCGAGCGGCCAGCTCGTACTAATTTGGAGCGGCTCGTCAAGCGTCGGCAGCAACGCTATCCAGCTAGCTGCGGCGGCGGGCTACGAGGTCGTCACCACCGCGTCGGCGAAGAATTTTGAGTACGTCAAATCTCTCGGTGCTAGCCACGTCTTTGATTACCGCAGTCCGACCCTCATCGAGGATATCAGTAAGGTCTACGACGGCAAAACCGGAGTTGGTGCGCTGGCCATCGGCACGGAGGCGGCAGGCCCTTGCTGCGAGATCCTTTCCAAGGTCAACTCGCGCAGGTTTGTGTCCTTGACCAATCCCCCAAGTGGTGCGTTGCCGGAGGGCATCGAGTCCAAGTTCGTGTTTGGAGCCGCTGTGAAGGATAATGAGGTTGGACCGGCCATCTTCGAGGCTTTCCTCCCCAAGGCGTTGGCAGCGGGTGAGTTCAAGTCTGCCCCGACTGCCGAGGTGGTGGGTAAGGGATTGGGATCGATCCAGGAGGGACTCGATCAGGTGAAGAAGGGTGCATCAGCCAAGAAGTATGTCATCAGTCTGCAGTAGAGCTCTTAGATTGTTAGATGTCCTTATTTGTGTCGTTCGACTCTTGTTCTGGAGTGCTGGTTTAATGATATACAACCCGTAACTTTTGCGTCAGGTGTTGGGTCAGGTCGCACAGAAGACCTCGGATGTTTCTAGGTCAGCACGGATTCAATAGTTGCAGTTGCTACTCCGTACTGCGCGCAGTTCTAGATTATTCCTCGTGAGTGGTCCTGCAGTCTGCCGGTAATTCCTATGGAAGCTCGAGACCATTCAAGGTCGCAGCTCAGGTAGATGCAGGTAGGCTCTTTCTCCCTAAAGTATATTCGATCATATTGATCATGATGTTATTGATGTTTTAGAGATCGAATGAGGTTCTCTGATATGGATTAACTCTGCATATCGACCGGTGTTTCTCCTTCATCTGGAAATGAGACTTGGGGGCGTCCTGTCCTTGCGATTTCCAGTGTGCACATTAGTTGCAGTCAGTCAGACATAATCGTAGACTGAGGTCATACGTTCCGGGAATTCTCGACTGGACTCTCCTTCGTTAGGCGCCAGTAGCAATGAACCCCTTTCTGTTAGCAAGATCCGCAAGAGGCGAGGTATTGCCATGCCATCCCTGCTGAAATAGTGACTAGTTAGCCAGGCGATTGCACTAGGTGTACATCATTGAATGAGCACCCCTCAGTAGATGCGGTGTGTATCGCACAGCGGACTGATCCAGGAATCAAGGGGTCCCGGCCAAGAATGAAGGGGTCTAGGCAAGTGAACTCCGTGCTCCTTAGGTATATGGGCATAGACAAGGAATAGCGGACGGAGTAGATAGTTCGAGTCTTGGCTGGATGATCCTCCTTGGCATTTTCTTCCCTGAGCGGACAGAGAGGCAATGTTGACCCCGAAGGGATGGTTGATGCGGTCTAGACATGCATGGTGAATGCACTTGACGATCAGCATACCATAGTCAGGAGCCGGGAGGAGAAGATCATCATCCAAAGACCCGGGATATTGGATACGTTGCAGCTGCAGAGGACAACGAACTGCAAGGGAAAATGTCAAATGAGATCAGGTCATGTGGCCTGACCCTGAAGGTGACAAGGACGGACTAAGGACGGAGTCCGCAGGCAGGAACTATCTAGACTACTAGACTAGTGAGCATCGAGTCCAGTCATTGTGCAATAATAGTCCACGTATTTGGGCTAAGCATTAGTATTGTTTGCTGGACCGGGTTGACCCATTTTCCGGTCGGAAATCTATTGCCAGTTGGAATCCTTGATTTCCGGGTTTGCTAAGGGGAGATGGTCAGGTGATGACAGTTGTAGAGCCAAGGGGATTTGTATTGCTAATAGAAAGGTCAAGTGACAAATGAGAGACACAGCCCATCATGATCCGATGATGCTCTGTTCAATGTAAGTGTCAGACCTCCGCATGATCAACCATCACCCTGAGAATGCTTGACAAAGTGACGAATGATAGATTAAGCTGAGAGAGCTAGTGTGGACGCTAGCATAACTGTTAGGTAAGGCAAAACAGGGGCGCAGCTTTAGTTTTGGAGAACGTGGCTGGATCTGGGGTATTCTAGACCAGGTAAGTGTTCACCAGTATGGTCTATGAGAGTACGAAGGACGGCAAATTTGCCTCTTCATTTTGTTGTATTCATGTAAATGAACAACTGATGATGGATTAATTGACATAGTTCAAACAAGAGAATAAATATTCAGATGTCCATCTATCTAGAGGGGTACAGCTTAGCAGAAATTGTTTCAAGTTGCATAAATTGATTATGTAATTATGTTCCACCAAAACGCTAGTAATAAGCTAGCGGGAGGTTCGCATTATGTCATAAAATGCTTGCAGCGATCCCAAAGAAGATTAGGCCAAGAGATGGGCCATGGTAGATTTCAATAAAACATCCATACCATATGGCTGCAATAATAATAATGGACAGACAGGCAATTATGATCCCCTGTATACCTGTAGTTAACCTTGCTTATAAGACATCAGATATACCGACATTCAGTGATGGTTCTCTATCTCATCTATGTTGAGGCTGTCGTGCTTTATGACGCAATGTTTTCATCGCAGAAGGAATCCTCTATTCCCAAGTGATACTAGCGCACACCGCCCGGTCCGATTGATAAATTCTAATTCCAGATTTAGAGCATTTTAGAGGCAAGAGCAAAAAAGAAAAGAAATGGAAGAATGACGATCATTACAACGTCCGATGCTTCTTCAGTAAGAAGTACTACAATGTACTATCGATACTAACTACAATCAATTATTACCATCTACCTAACAAAGGCAAGACGTCTAGATACCCCATACTTTGTTTGCCGCATTCATCATGGCCAATTCGCCCCATGTGGCCGCATCTTGCCCTTTCCATGGCGCCCAGCCCAGTGGTTCTCATTCTTTCTGTGTCTCTTGATCTCTGTCTGCTCGTTTTTTGCCGCCTCCGCTTTGCTGTCACTTTTGCGAGAAAGTTTTTATTTAGAAGCTGTACCGTACTACCTAGGTAAGGATCAATAGCAATAAACCTGGATTTTGCCTTTGCTTTTCTGCTGGTCTCCTGACGTGCTCTGACTCTTCTCTCCCACTTCATCTCTCACCACTCCTACTCATCCATCTACCATCAACCTGCAAACTCTTAAGACTACTGTCCGCAAATAGCCTTCTACGCAAGTGACAGTCCGTCCTTTTGCTCCTACTGGTCGCATTCCAACCTTGAACCGTGCATCCGTTCGGGAAACGCGGTGGTGTGCCCGTCCGCTGCCAACGAACATCCATAGTTCAATAGCGAATTTCTGTGACTAACAGCTTCCTCATTCTCCTCACCTTAACAAAGTCTCCGCCGCCCCTCTTTTTCCCTCTGCTTCGCTAAGGAATTTAAGAATCTGCTGGTAAATCTGGGGAAAAAATTGAAAACTAATTAGCTAAGAGAAAAAGGAAGGAGAAAAAAAAAAGGTCCGTCTCTTCGGCCCTCTTGTGTTCCCCTTTCCTTCCTACGCATCCGTATCCCGTCCAACCTTCTTTCTCCTCACCTAGTCGGCGGATTATATAGTTCGGAGGCCTCTTGCAGGCCCCTTCCAGTCCATCATGTCTTCCGTCGCCGCCTCTGCCATTCCCCTACAGAAGCCTACCTATTCTCGGTTTACTACGGCTCCGGCTATAGACACTAGTCATCCTCAACTATCGCGCACTTCCTCGTCGCACTCGTCCGCTTGCTCCTCACCCAACGGATCCAGATCTAGCAGTCGCCGTCGTCCGTCGTTTGGTTCGATCAAGGAGGACGTCGACGGTAAGCACTCGTGCACATGTATCGGCAAGGTTGCACATGTTGATTGATCTTCTCCGTACAGGCATTGCTCAATCGTTCGTTGATACACACATCACCCAGTCTCCCACAGAGCAGACCAAACAGACATCGCCGATAGCGACTGATATGCAACACACACCTGATTTCTGTTGTCCTTGCGGTGGTTTTCTTGGTTGGAAACAGATTCGACTCGGAGGAAAGAGTCTCAGCCGGAGCTATGGCGATCTTCGCGCGTTGGGGGCTATGCACACTCGGGGTTGGGCGTGGGAGAGCAATGCGGTGGTGAATAATCCTCCCACGAAGACGGTGCAATCCAAGTCTCAGAAACCCCCTCCAGGCTCCTCGCGGCTAGAGAAACTGCCCCCGGAAGTTCTCGGTGAGTTTCCCGTCTGCATGCCTGCTAATCAGCTCGTCCACTGACACTGTCACTGCAGATCATATCATTTCCAACCTGGCTTTGGATATCCCTCCTAATGGGTACACACCACGGAATGTCGACCTGGTGTCGTGTCTCCTGACGTCCCGTACGTTGCACGCTGCCACACTTGGTGTGTTGTACAGAAACATGACCTTCCCGCATTCCATCATCTTCTCCAAAGCTCTGAACCACATTTCGCAGTATCCCGCGCTCGGGACGCTTGTGCGTCGTCTGGACTTTTCCCATTTCACTTCCGTAGGACTCGGACGCACCAAGCAGATGAATGCAGAAATCCAGAACCTCACCTCCACGACGCTGCTGAAATGTTTGGATCTTCTGCCGAACCTTAAGGAATGTCTGCTGCAGGAGCATGTGGAAGGTGATATCAGCGTGGACATCGTGCGAAAGATATTCACCGGCCTGCCCAACCTACATAGTGTTGACTTTTGCGGTTGTGCTACCCAGTCATTCTCGGCGGTTTTCCAGGAAGCCTTGACCACAGGACCGGGTCTGCCTCTGAGCCTACCGAATCTCAAGCGGGTATCCCTACACGAGTGCAGCAGTCTGTCTCCGTCTACTTTTGAGGCCCTTCTCCCTCGTCTGATCAATCTGACGCATCTCGATGTCACACACACGCAGATCAGCGAGGCGGCGCTCTTCTCCACCCCCGAGACCGCACAGATTACTCATCTCAGCCTTTCGCGGTGCACTCGGTTGAAGGGTCCGAGGGTAGTCGAGTTTTTGACCACGCATCCGGCAGTGTGCAATACGCTGGTGTACCTTAACCTCCTGACCGACCCCACTCGCTACCGGATTCTCGAGGAGGGGGATGTCTCTGCTCTTCTTCCTCGGTTGCCGAAAACCCTCCGCTCGCTGAACCTGGGAGGTGCCAAGATCACTTCTGCTCATGCGGCTGCCTTGGTGCCTTTGACCAAGCATCTCGAGGAGCTCGGCTTGAGCTCGGCGGATTTGTCTTGCAAAGACCTCAATATGTTCTTCGCTCCGCCTCCAGTGTCGGGCAATGCGAGCTCGACCGAGGCGCAGGAACCGTGGGTGCCGTCCTCGTTGTGCTACTTGGATCTCAACAAGGTCACGCAGTTGTCGATTGGCACTATCTTCAATACCAATACTTGCTTGCTCCTTTCGCAGCAGAGTTATCCTCTGCAGGTCATTGAGTTCAGTGACAAGATCATTGCTCCGCTGAGGGAGAGAATCAAGAATAACCGTGCCTCCAGCGGCTGGACCGTCCGTGAGCTTGGCAGACGCGGCTGGTACGTACGTGACCCTGCATCTATGCCAAACCAAGTCCCCGACGACGGCTCTCGTCCCTGGAAAATGGGCGCCCGTTGGTGGGGGATGAGGAAGATCCCGGTTGCAGTTGGAGACGTTGGAGGCATCTATGGCCATTACATGTTTAAGAAATAAAGTCCTGGAGACAAAGAGTGTTCCTTCCTGGCTGTTGCTTACGACTTTTGATTGTTTAATACCCTTACTATGCTTCATGTCCTTCTCTTGCTGTCCTTGACGAAAAATGGGCGGACTCATTTATGATACCAAATTGCAAGCGTGAGCGACAAAAGTGCGGGTGGATCACTGGTTACTCTGTTTGATAATTTGCTTTGCTTTCCTTTGCTATGAATTGTCCAGCATCTTGTGTTCTGCATAGCGGGAGTGATTCTCATAGCGTTACGGTTGTGCTTCTCTGGGATGGTTGCTAGTCTCTTAAGGTTGTTGATCAATCCTCGCTCCATGACATGTTCCCATTATAACCTTGAGGTCAATCCTAGCTGCGTGGTATACGGAGGGCAATTCTGGCTGTAAAGAGTTCTTCCTGTTCTGCTTTGACGTCGGGGCTTTCACGGGAATGGCGTCATTGCTCTGCTGTCTGTACATTTCGGTTTGATCTTATAGCCAAATCTCATCTCAGGTAAAGCTGCCACAAAGTCTAAATACTGTCAGTAGCTCAGTTTCGTAATCTCCTTCATCTTGTTCCAACTTTTTAGGCCGTGGATTTTTCTGGATCGAGTGACATGCAGACTGCCACCTGTCACGTGATATCTTGCATCCTTCTACGAGAGCTGCGGAGCCCATTTTTACACGACCTCGAAATCATCCCACTTCCCTACCACGAAATCTTCACAGAGGGCCGCTGACCTTCCTCTTCGCCGGCCTCGCCCTTGGAAGGACTTTTTTCTCCTCTCCCGATGGGCGCATCCCGATACGCCGCTCAGGACAGTGGAAGCTGTCGAGTTCCAGGACGATGGCACCTCCGAGCGGATCGGCGGCATACAAGAAGAAAGATGGCACCCTGACCATGTCTCAGGACTGCCAGTCCATCTCGTGGATCCCTGCGGCTGGCGGCGCTACTGGAACGATTACGATTCCAGTTTCTCAGATCACTAGTATGTGAGATGGCCTTCTCTCGGTTGCTTCTGTATGGTTATTGACCAAGGCAGATCTACAGCAAACCCCGGCTAGTAACCCCAAAGTTATGCTCAAGGTCTTCGTTCTTCCTCCCAACACGCCGAATGATTCTCCAGATCAATACGTCTTCTCCTTTACGGCCGGGGCCAACGCCCGAGCGGAAGCGAACGCCATCAAAGATGCACTCAGCACCGCCATCCAGGCCGCCAAAACCGCGGCGAGCGCGACCCCGACTCCGACACCCGGTCGGACAGGAACCCCCGCCGGCGGGGAAGGGATGTCAGCCGCTATGGCGATCGCGAGCGCGGTGTCCTCGGCCGGGCAGGCCCCAAAACCCTGGGATGACGACCAGCGGCTCAAGGCGGACGTGGAGCTGCAGCAGTCGCTGCTCAAGGCCGATGCGAGCCTGCAGCGCATGTTTATGGAATCGCTGCACACCAAACCAGATACCCTGTCCGCCTCGCAGTTCATGTCGCAGTTCTGGTCGACGCGGCTGCACCTGCTGCGGGCGCACGCGATCGAGCGGTCGCAGACGCGCGGCTCGTACAACGTGCTGTCGTCGCTGAAGCCGCGGGTCGAGGACAACGTGACCAAGCTCAATATCAGCAAGGAGCAGATCCAGCTCATTTTCAGCCAGCATCCGCTTGTGAAGAGGGTATATGATGAGAATGTGCCGAAGCTGAGCGAGCAGCAGTTCTGGTCGCGGTTCTTCCAGAGTCGACTGTTCAAAAAACTGCGCGGCGAGCGCATCTCCGAGAACGATGCGACGGATGCCATTCTCGACAAATATCTGCGCGAGGACGAGCAGGCGAATCCCGAGCGGGAGGCTCACGTGCCGCACTTTTTGGATCTGGCGGGGAACGAGGTCAATCACAGCCAGCGGCGCGGGAATCGGCCGGATCTGGACATGCGGCCGTCTGGGGTGGACAAGGTGCCCATCATTCGGACGCTCAATACGCTGAGCGAGAAGATTATGGCGAATGTAGCGCCGGTGGATCGCGACCCGTCGGCGCCTGTCGGTATTGACGAGGAGACGTACAATGAGCTGCAGTTGCGGGACTTGCGCGGGGACGATGAACAGAACAGGATTCTACTGAATATCCGGGATCAGAGTCGGTTTTTCTCGCAGGCCAAAGTAACCGAAGATGAGCAGAGTCGGCTATTTGCCAAGCAGGATCCCGACCAGATCCTCCGTGATCTACGCGTCCAGATCGACCGGGACCTGCCGACCGATGGGACAGCGCCATTGGGAAAGCTTGTGGAGCCAGAGGAACTTGAAGATGAGGACGAGCAGAAACATGATCAGCGGGCCGGATCGCAGGCCAACTTGCAGCGCGCATCGAAGCAGATCCTTGATGCCATCCGCGACCGGCGCAACCAGACGGAGGCGACATCCTCCGGGGGACGTACGGATTGTCGACCAATCTCTATGATAGGTTAACCCTGACACATGCGACAACCACGGAGTTCCTTCACCAATTCTGGCAGGCTTTTCTGTCCGGAAACCCCGACCGTGCGGCCGAGGTAGCATCGCTTGTGGAATCGCTGAACCGGGCCATGGAACGCATTCAGTCTGTCGCAAACGACGCCGAGGCGGAGCGCCAGGTGGAAGTAAACCGACTCAAGCAGCATGCGCGCGAGGTGCTAGAGGCTACGGGCAAGAAGATCCGCCTCAATCTTGCGGGAGTTACAGGTGGAGAGAAGGCCATCAAGCAGTTGCTGGGGCCCACCATCCGAGCATTGGAGACTGCTCTAGCTAAGTACAATACGGCATACACTGAAGAAATGCAGCGGCTGCAATCGCTGGAAAATAGATAATGTACATGATTTTATCTGCATCCAGTATAGTATAACTGTAAGACGCTACGGTACTCCGTACGATGTAAGTCAATCAATTTATCGGCATGCCGACTGACCTGACTCGGCTTCGGCCCACCAGTTGGCGCGACGTGTCCACCAGTCATCATCTCCATCTTCTCCCCTCACCATCATCAAAACACAACAACACCTGCACCAGGCAGAGCACACTCCGCATCTTAGACCACGCCGGTCTGGCCCCGTTTCAATTAAGCCCAAAGAAAAAAGAAAAAGACGAAAATGCTAACCTCCGGCCTAACCAACGCCCCCATCACCAAACTCCTCCTCATCTACACCATCGCCTCCTCCATCGCCTTCTCCATCTTCGACATCAAACACCTCGCCAGCATCCGCGTCTCCCCGCACCTCTGGCCCTACGCGCAGTTCTGGCGCCTCGCAACATGGCAACTCGCCGGCTTCGCCAATTCAACCGAGGCCCTCTTCGCCGCCATGCTCGCCTACCATCTCCGCGTTGTTGAGCGCGCATGGGGAAGCGCAAGTTCGCAGTACGCCGTTCTCTCCCCCCCCCCTTCCCCTACCCCTATTGAGCGTCAATGCTACGCTACGACCTTCGCTCGCCTCGCGATACTAACGTGAAAGGAAGACATTCATCCTCTCCACATTACCATATACCTCCCTCCTCCCGCCGCTCCTCCTCGTCCTCCTCCGCCCGCTTACACTTTACAAAATGAACTATCTCCCCTGCGGACCGACGGCTACGCTTTTTGCATTGCTGGCGCAGTATCATGCGGGGATTCCGCATACGTTTCGGTATAGGATCAGCACCAGCACCAGCACCAGCACCAGCACATCTACGACTACGACTCCGGGCTCGAATACGAATACGAATACGAATACGAATGATAGAGGAGAAGGGGGCCAGGGACAAGGGAAATACCTCACGCTCCTCCTGTCCGACAAGTCAACTACGTACTTGGTTGCGGCGCAGCTGGCTCTGTCGCAGTTTCCTGGCATGATGCTCCCCGCGGCGGTGGGGTGGGTTGTTGGGTTGCGTGGCGGGCGGAGGTGTTGCCGTTGCCTACGGCTCGCTGGCGAGTTCCGGCTTGGGTGGTTGGGGAGAAGGAGGTGGGGAGACGCGGGAACCAGGGGGCAGAAGGCGGGGAGCGATATGAGGATTTGAGGAGGAGGTTGGAGGGTGAGGCTGTTGCTGCGGCGGCGGCGAGTGGGAATGCCGGTGTTGGGCTGGGGAGTGAGGCTTCCGGGCAGAGACAGCGGAGGAGAGAGGGAGGGATTATGGATAGATTGAGGGCGTTGTAACTCCCGCTATCAAAGTACGGTGTGGTGGTGGTTGATCATAACTATGAAGACAATGACCTAAGTGATCTGCCAGAAAATCCAGTCTCTTATGCTATGTCCATAACCTGCCCTACTTCTACGCCAAATCAAGAGACCATTCTAATCAACAGAAACCTGAACCTGAGCGGCCCTGAGAATCTGGTCACCGCCCGTTCCGACTTCTGCGCATATTCTCCTTGCATTCATTGCAGTACCATTTGACTGTACCCTATCAGCATGGTCCAACTCGTTAGGCCAATGAACTTACCATTCTTCCCCGGCGGTTTGGTAAGCCCAACACACGACAGATGGAACCATTCCCGCGGGCACGCATCATTGTCACAAGCAACCATCTCGCCGAAGCTGATCTCGTTGCAGTAACAGTACCGCGGCTCGCCATCTTCATCCTCGTCGTCCCCTTCATGCAGCGAGTCTTCCTCCTCAGACACTGCTCGCTGCTGGGCTACCGCCACACTGCCGCTCTTCTTATGCGATCGTTTCGCAGGCGCGGGGTCTGTGTTGCGGGTAGGTCGAGTGCGCTGGGAGTTGGGTTCTGACAAGGCGGAGAGCACAGGCGTGGACGTCTTCGACGACCGGCCCTTCGGAGCTGCGTTCAAAGCTTGAGGTACTGGTGTCTCCCGAGGTTCGACCGACTCAGCAGGTCGAATTTCTGTATCTTCGCGTTTCATGCTGACGGGACCGACAGCCTTGGCCGCAGCTGTGGCGGAATTCTCTTCCTCGGCTTGGCGTTGCAATTCTGAATTAAGTGCAGCTGCAACCATGTCCGCTTTGGGAGTTTCTTTAGGTAGAGTCTTGGTATCGACGATTTTGCCTGAATCGAAAACAAGGTTAGACAGAAGATAAGACAAAAGATACGGGTGACATACTGTTGCTTGCTAGGCGATTAGACGCCGAGGAGGATGGCCGCTGGCGACCATTGGACAACTGTCCAGAGCTCTGCTGGGCACGAGACGACTGCGGCCGAGCGACTGCTCCAGGTCCGGGACTGGCTGCGCTACGCACGGCATTCGACGCCCCCGCCAGAGGAGCAGGTGCCAGCACTGGCGAATTTGCCGCGGAGGTTCCAGTGTTATTTCTACCAATTTGGTTAGCAAATGCACAGGGTTTGGAATTGAAAGGTCCTGGAGATGTTCACCTCTTGCGAGCGGCTGCATTCGTGTTGGGAGCACGAGATCTCTTCTTGGTGGCATCTGAAGCTGTCGCGTCCTTCGATGCACCACGGCCTGAAGCATTCCCAGCACCGCTGGCGGATCTTTCCATCGCTGCGCCAGTATCGGCCGCTGGAGGTCTTTCGACCTTGCGGCGTTTCGTCGCACCCGAAGCCCCCGAAGCACCCGAAGTTTGTGCACCATGGCCGACTGCAGACAGATCCCCAGCAGCCGCACCTGCGCCGCTACGAGGCTTGCTAACCTGCCCTTTCCGCGAACTAGATGCACGAGCATCGTCAAAGTCCGAATCGGCATGCGTGCGCCGCTGTTTGCGAGCGGCATCCCGTCTCGCATCACTACGGGATCCGGCTTCTGTTTCAAGCGCATGGTTCAGGTCTTGTTTGTTGGATGCGACTTCCCGGCGAGGACGCTCATTCGTAGTGGTTTTCGCGGTGTTCCTGTTCGAGTAGGCCCAGTGCGTAAGACTGCCCAGGCGCGCCTCCTCACTGATCTCCCCTGCAATGAATGGGAATACGCCGTCGATGCGCAGAAGCTGCCGGTCTAGTTCGTCATTGGCGTTGGAAATGACATGGTTCTTTTCGTCCGCGGTCATCATCAGATCCACTAGGGTGCGCCGCACACGATCGAAAAGAAGACGACGGTTTTTGCTGTCTTGCGATTCAGGAGGTTGCGAGTGATCCTATTGTAAAGCAAACAGGTTTTAGCCAAGCACATTAATTGTTGTAGATATCCACGACCTACCGCTGGCACAATATCATCCCGAACCACCCCGTCGACAATAGGCGCTGGATTCAACGGACAAGGAACAGGCTGCGACTCCGAAGAAACCTTTAGCAGCTGGAGAAGGTTATCCTCAAGCGCCCAAGCCTTTGCATCCACTTCCTTTAGCAACGAATTGTGACGGCGAAATTCTCGCGGCAGAGCGGTAATGGCGTCGGTGAAATGAGTGAGGGCGGGATAGAATCCGTGAGGGGCAGGAGGCGTAGGGGGCGCTTCGATCATTGAGCCGTGACCGTAGGCAAATGACGACCGTCCCAGCGTCTTGGACGTTCTGGATGGATTCGTACGTGTCTGGCGCGCTGACTGGCGAGCATTTTGACCCTGAGCGTTGACGGCCGACGACGAAACGACGGATGCCATGGTTGAAGAGGAAATTCAAACGCAACAGGTCAGAAACCGCTCAATCAGGTGAGAAAAAATGGTACAAACAAAAGTTTGGGATACGTCTTGAACCCAACAACATGGACGAAGGTGTTGATGGGATGGTATGTCAGATAATGGGGCGAGAGGAGACGGAAGTTCTGCAGTGCGGAGAAGCAAGACTTTCCCCTTTGGGCCCGCATCAGGTGATTGATGCCTTGCATTTCAGGCATTATAAACTGCTTACTCATTTTACCCCATTGGTTGCCTTGACGTCATCAGCGCTGTATATCAATTCAGTCTCATAAGTACATCTCTAGGGCGGGATATGTTCACGAAAGAAATACTGCAGATCTAGTAATTCAGGCCTTCTTAGTTTACAAACACATGCTCCGGCGTGTTCTAGGAGATAGACAAGTCAATCCCAACCCGTAACAGGGTGCCAGGGAACATTCAAAAAGAGATATCAAAAAAAAAAACAGAACAGCATGACTGTAGGATAGAAGCCGCAGTAGATGCTGACAACAGAATGAATTCATACAAAGGAGACAGAAATGGATAGACGCTAGCTCCTACAAATCAAAGCACCTAAGATGATAATCCAACAGCGGCTACAACGTCCGATTACTCGCCCTTCAGACGATCCTGGTGGACAGTGAACGCTTCCTGAAGGAAGTCCTGTTCCTCCTTGGCGTGGACGGACTTGAGACCAGTGGCGACGGAGGCGCTTGGGGCCCGACCAGCGTAGAGGACGTGGCGACGGTTGTGATGCTCAGTCTCGTTCAGTAGGGTCTCGATACGGGGCTGAGTGTAGCTCCAAGCACCGGCGTTCAGGGGTTCTTCCTGAGCCCAGACAATGTCCTTGGCGTTAGGGTAGCTGTCCAGGTTCTCCTTCAGCTGAGCCCAAGGGAAGGGGTGCAGCTGCTCAACACGGGTGATGGCAGTGTTGCGGATACCATTGGCCTCGCGGTGCTTGACCAAGGTAGCATAGACCTGACCACTGCACAGAATCACGCGCTCGATCTTCTCGGGCTCGTCAATGGCGGTACCGTGGGCCGGGTCAGGGATGATCCACCGGAAGTGCGAGTCACCGGTGAATTCCTCAATATCGGAGCGAGCAACAGGATGACGGAGGAGGGACTTGGAGAAAAAGATCACGAGGGCTATGGCAAGTGAGTTAATGAAAAGTCATTCATAGAGGGAGAGAACCAAAACTTACGCTTGCGGAACTGGCGGTGGATTTGGCGACGCAAGATGTGGAAAAGGTTGGCAGGAGAGGTCATGTAGGCAATCTGCATATTGCAGTCCTGGTGCTGACGGTCCAACTTGTCCTGAGTGGGGAACTGGCGAGGTTCCTCGTTGCAAAGCTGCAGCCAACGCTCCATTCTACCCGAAGAGTGCTCAGGACCCTGGCCATCATAACCGTGAGGCAGAGAGACAACGAGACCGGAGCGCTGCAGCCACTTGGACTCTCCAGAAGCGATGAACTGGTCGATAATGCACTGAGCGTTATTGGCGAAGTCACCGAACTGGGCCTCCCACATGACCAGGGCATTAGGGGAGGTCAGAGAGTAGCCGTATTCGAAACCGAGACTTAAGAAATAGTTAGTTTGAGCGAGCAAAGGTGAATCGGTCATTGGAAGTCAACTTACGCTCCGAATTCGCTGAGGGAAGAGTTGGAGATGACGAAGCTGCCCTGGTCCTCGCCAATGTGCTTCAGAGGGGTGTAGGTAGCCTCGTTCTCCTGGTCGTGCAGAACGGCGTGACGCTGGGAGAAAGTACCACGCTCAACGTCCTGACCGGAGACACGGACATGGTAGCCCTCCTTGACCAGAGAACCAAAGGCAAGGGCCTCAGCAGTGGCAAAGTCAATGTTCTTGCCCTCATCAACGGCCTTCTTGCGGTTGGCCAAGATACGCTTGAGGTTGCGGTGGACGGTGAAGCCCTCGGGGCGCCGCTGATCTTGTGGGCAATGTGGCTCAACAAAGAAGTATCAACAGCGGTAGGCAGATGAGGCAGAACCTCGGTGGCCAGCTCCTTAGGGGTCTTGAAGCCGTTCCAGGCGGAGGTTAGCCATTCCTTGCCGGTGGGCTGGTAATCCTTGCTGCGGTCGAAGCTGTCGTTGAGCATGCCCCAGACCCACTTCTTGTGCTCGTCGATGTCCTCCTTGGTGAAGGTGCCCTCGGCAATCAGCTTCTCGACATACTTGTCAAGCTGGGCCTTCTGCTCGGCGATGCGCTTGTACATCAAGGGCTGAGTGAAAGAGGGCTGGTCGGTTTCGTTGTGACCCTGCTTACGGTAGCAGACGATGTCAATGACAACATCGCGCTTGAACTCGGCACGCCAGTCGGCAGCAACCTGGCAAACGTAGTTCACGGCCTCGACATCATCAGCGTTGACGTGGAACACGGGGGCGTCGATGGACTTGGCGATATCCGAGCAGTAAGGGGTGGAACGCGAGTAACGGGGATCGGTAGTGAAACCAATCTGGTTGTTCACGATGATGTGGATGGTACCACCGGTCGAATAGGCGGGGAGAGAGTGGAAGCCCATGGTCTCGTAGACGACACCCTGACCGGCGAAGGCAGCATCACCGTGCAGCAGAACACCCATGGCACTGTTGAAGTCCTTCTCGTCATTGTTGTAGTGCTGAATAGAGCGAGTCTTTCCAAGGACAACGGGGTCCTCGGCTTCGAGATGGGAGGGGTTGGCGACCAGAGAAAGCTGCACACGCTTACCAGAGGGAGTGGGACGTTCGAAGTTCATACCCAAGTGGTACTTGACATCACCCGAACCTTCGTCCGAAGGCTCGGCAGATCCGGAGAATTCACTGAAGATGGATTCGTTGGGCTTCCGAACGACGTTGGACAGCACATTGAGACGACCACGATGAGGCATACCAATGACAATGTCTTTGATGCCGTGGTCGACGCTGCGGTCAATCAGCGCCTTCATACCGGGCACCAGGGTCTCGCAACCCTCCAGACCGAAACGCTTGTCATTGGGGAACTTGGTGGCCAGGAAGGCCTCGAAGCTGTGACTCCAGATCAGACGGTCAAGGATACGGCGCTTGTCGTCAACCGAGTACTTGTAGGGCTCAGGAATTTCGAAACGGTCACGGATCCAGTCGCAGGGCTTGCGGTCAGGAATGTGAATGTACTCCACACCGTAGGAGCCACAGTAGATCCTCTCGCAGGTGGCGATGATCTCACGCAGAGTCATCTTCTTGCGGCTCTCAGTGGCGAAGCGAGGCAGGATACCGGGGCCGAGAGTGAACTCCTGGTCGAGATCGCGCTCAGTGAATCCATAGTGGTCAAGTTCCAGCTCCTTGGGCTTGTTGTAGCCGAACGCCTCAGCTTCGCCGCGGATGCCAAGGGGATCGATCTTGGCCTTGTGGTGACCACGAGCCTGGTAGGCGCGAACCAAAAGCTGGACCTTGAGATGATTTGTCAGGTCAGTGCCAGCGGCGAGACCCAATCCCTCGCCAGGCATGGTCTGCGGAACGCCGCCGGTGGGGGTAGGCACAAGAGTCGGAGGAGGCTGGAAAGCTTGGGCGATAGGCATGTTGCCTTCTTCCATGTTCTTGAAATATGTCTGCCACGAAATGTGCACGCTGGAGGGGTCCTTCTTCCAAGCCAGGTACATCTCGTCGACGTAGTTGGCAGTGTTTCCGGAAAGGAAGTTGTCATTGGGATCCTAGAGAGCGCGGATTCGCGCGTTCAAGTCAGTGATATCCTCAATGAATAGATACAGTAGTAGACCAGGAGCTAGGCTTACCACTCCTGCATCAGTAGCAGCAGCATAGTGTCTCCTGCCGTTGGACAAACGGTCAATAATGGCGAGAGGTCTTCTCGTGGTCAAGCCGAATTTCGAGTTATGGTTGGCAGTAGCTCTGGCAGTGGAAGCAAGGGAGATGGACCGCCTGCAGGCCGAGCAGGCGGGGCCACGCAGCAGACCGCTGCTGGTGGCCTTGACGGCTGTGGAACGAAGCATTGCGGGATTTTTCCGTTGCCGATGAAAACAGATGCGATGAAGCTGATGCGACAAGTAGGCTGGAGCTCTTTCTAGTAATGCTCAACACTGAGAGCAAGAATGAATCAGATATATTATAGAGACCTGTTTCGAAATCGTCAATATAAGCGGCAACGCTCCCAGGAGCTGAGATAGATTGAACGGATGAAAGGAAGACACACAGTTGTCACTAAAAATTCAGAAAACAGGTGTCGACTAAGATTGCCGTAGCACCTGCACAGAAACAGAACTCATCAGAGAGCAAGCACTCTCTTTAGACAATCAAAGCTTTTTCTTTTTTTTGCCTTGCGAAAAAAAAGAAGAGAGGAGAGAAATCCGGAGTAGAGAGGTCAAGTAACTCTAGTGACGAAGGACTGGGAGAAGAGGTTTGCCGAATGTCTTACGGTTATGACGGCCAGCGCGGATGTGGCTAATGCAGTTCCTGCTGCTGTCCTCCTGACAACAGCCACAGCTTACTCAGCACACGCCCGGGCCGCCGACATGCTGAGAGCGGCAAGTACGGCCGGTCGCGAATCACAATAGAGGAATACGCACCGCCACAGGCCGGCTATGAACATTTCCCGCTCCGGGTCTTTGCGGATGGACTGCAGTCCAATCATCGCCATGGATTAATTTTCTCATAGTAATCCTCAGGAACAGGACACAAAATCCAAATCTATGACTTCATCTGTATGCACGAGCTATCATCGAGAAGATTCGATGACTCATGAGATGTACCATTCGCTTTTAAAGCGCATCAGAAACTATCTACAAGAGAGTAAATTCTGATAGTTCGCGGAATTATGGCACTACGTTACACCGTAAACGGTCAATTACTCCATCGAGAGGAAGAAACTAAGTAAATATAGGTGTCAGGACTAGGTAAGACCTGGAGAGAGGAAACGCCATAACGCAAGTATGGATCACTCGGTCACCATGGATTAATTTAACCAAGAAAGATGTAAAATAGGGGGTATAAATCATGTATATGTACTCGCCACACTTCTCCTCCGTGTCGTGATATCTTTAGCTCGGCAGGCTCGTTGAGGTGGATGGACTGCATCATCCGGGAACAGCTTCTTCAGGATTCATTTGCAAATCCGCTTCTCCACATATCGACTGGTGGGCGACATCTCCATTTGTTGGTATCATGGTCGGCGATTCAGCCGCGCTTGTTCCTCCAAAGAGGTAATCTGGCGGAACCGTATATACAGTCGGGCTCACATCAGAAAAGGCCGTGAAACTCGCGCGATTCGACGATGAGTGATGATGAGGTGGTGGGCTTCCGCTGCTGCTACGAAGGCTTCCATTACTGCCACCCCAGGCACCGCGTCGCAGTTTCAACAGGGCGCTCAGAGACATCTCGTCGTCCATGGTACCCATATCAACAAGTTGCGCCAGCCCTGGACCGGAGATGGCGGGATTGGAGTGAGCCGCACCGTGCGCGGTCAATGAAATGACCGAGTTTCGCGTGCTCCATTCACTTCGTTCAGTAATAGGAGTCAAACTGGGTTCTCGGAATTTGCCTCGGCTGCTGTGGTTGCGCGAAATGCCTTCGACGCCACGCGGACCGAAGTATCCCCCATTGGTAAGTTCTGAGCTGTAGGCCCCATGAGCCTGGGCGTAAAATCCAAACTCTTGCCCATAGAAGCCTTCGTCGTCGTTTTCCAGCGCCTCCGCATTGGCAGCAGCGATGATAGGATCATCGTAAAAGGCATCATCGTCGTCGTAGTTGAAATCGTCAAAAACCTCTTCAAAGCCCATTGCATCCATAGCCTGGCTCAGATGGCTGTCATCTGAGACGAGCCCCGAGTAAGAGTCCATAGTCTGGTTCGTTCTGGCAATGCTGTCCTGGCCTAGGGACCTCTCGCTCGCGCTTGTGGTGCGCTTGAATCTGTCCATGTTGGCAGTCTCATTGGCGGCCTTCTCCAGCGCGTTGTGCAAGACCTCCAGGTTATGTTCGGATAAGACCCCACCATGAGATTTTGTTGTCGTTAGGTTATGGGTCATTTCAGCGTCAAGTCCACCATATCTGGCAACTGCTGCGTCTCGGAAATTACTAGCAACGCTTGGTGCGTGCTTAAGACCATCCTTCTGATCCAGTTCGGGACTCAGGCTGTGAGGTTCAGGTGCTTCACTTCTTGATCTAGACTTGTCTTCCGTCTGGTCCGTCGTCCCCGGTTCAACCGGCGCGGTGGGTACAACTGCCGTCTTGCGAGCATACAAATGACTGGATTCGTCATCGAAAATCGATTCATCAAACGTTTCGCCGCCTGGATCACCAGCCAGTTCGCCAAATTCTCCGTCGTCAAAGTACAGGTCGTCGTCGTCTTCTTCGGTTAGCTGCGATGTAGAAGAACGAGTTCCCGTCTGCATTGCGCATCCTACTGCTGCCGATTCTGAAAGGGTTGTTGGGGGAAACGAAGTGACTTTGTCTTCGGTGACAGAGAGCTCGGATACCTGAGGAGCGCCGCCTTGATCCGATTGCAGATTTATGTCGACTGCCGGACCAAGACCCGGGGCGCTGATGGGGCTCGCGACGACTGGTGAGAGGCCAGGCGCATACCATGAGGTAGTCAATGCGGCCCCAGGGCCGGAGAATCCACTGAACTCATCTTCTTCGGCGTCAGTGTTGACCCCAGGGATCTTTTCTTCCAAGCCGTCAAAGTCATGAAGGTCGTTGTCATAATCGTCTTCGACGTCACTGTATTCCCTGTCTTCGAGCTGAGCTTTGGCCCTGCGTGCCGCTTCTTTCTCCTTGTGCTTCTCTTCCAGTAGCTTCTCCTGTGCCGATGACTCAACTCCGTTCATGTCAAAGCTGAATCGGGACGCGTTGCTTTTGAAATGTTTCGGTAGGCCAGATGACTGATGGAGTATTATTTCAATTGTATCTGAATCTTGCTGAGCCGCTGGCTGTTCTTTGCTCTGCGGTCCTGCTTGGGGCCCGGACTGAAGAGGGATTGATTCCTCAGGATGTTCCTCATGATCGGGTAGTCGCGACGGGAGTCGCCTTGCAAATACAGGGACCGATTGATCATCGCTATGAAGAGACGGGTTTGTGAGAAGCGATGACTGTAAATAGGCTTTGTTGTCAACCTGTAGCACATTCTGATCGTCCTCGAAGTGCTCCTTGAAAACTGGGGAGTATTCACTGTGTTTCTTCCTGTGCTCGCTTGATTGAACCACTGCATCCCTCCCATGCGGATGAGACACATTCTCAGTCTGCGGCGTATTGTACGAATTATACTGATTTGCAGCATCTTGTAAGAGCACTGGGGCTGTGGACAGATTCCGGCGCGGACGAGGGGCAGAGAAGTCGTGCACGATGTTTCCGCGTATCCTAGGATCATAATCATCGGGTATGGCGGGGACCACGTTTCGAGCTCCGATGCTGATGTCCTCCGCTCGGAGGCCGGCCAATTGTGAAGAGCGCCGCCGGGCCAGCAGAGACATCGGGTTCAGGAGGTGAAGCATTGCCTTCCCAGATTTATGCGATGTATGTTCCGCGGACACGTCCCGGTCGGTTTGACGACGGTAACTCGAGCCTTCCGGCCTGTATTCCTTGTGCATTGTATTCGATTTGTCAGCGGTGCTTGTCAACACGGGCGTCGAAGATCGCTTAATATTGGCGTCGAAGGATTGATTCTGAGAGTTCAGCAGTCCTTTACCGAAGGACAGCCGAAAAGGCGAGTTCGGCTTCGAGGAATCACTGTCGCCATACTCGGGACGGGAAGCCGTAATGGACACTTGCGACGAGTTCGGCTGAGCAGTCAAATCCAAGTTCTTTTCGCGGCCTTCTGGACTGGATTGAGGCCGCGCTTGCTTGTCCGAAGTAGAGGACGGTACTGCCAGGTTGGTCGCAGCAGATGAGAGCGCATCTGTCGAGACTGTAGAACCCACACCATGTCCCTTATCAGTATCGCCATCTGCAGGCGAGTATTCGCTCGAAGTAAGGGGAGTCAGCGTATCGGGGCACGGAGATGATTCCTCAATCGTAGTCGCAAGGATCGGCGTGTGCTGAATAACCGGGAGCTGAGGAGGGTTGCCGTTGCTTTTGCCTCTTGAAGAGGCCGGTCCGGACGATGAGATGGGGGGTGCACTCGAGCGACGATGCTCACGTCGCCAGTAGGAGAAGACTGTGGATGGTGGCATGATTATCGGCGCCCCAGCACCTACAGTGCTTCCTTATGAGTGGTCTCTCCGTTCAGGACTCATACAAATCATCCATTCTGCCTTCGAATTGGTCGTTCGCGTCCTGTTGAGCTTGCAAAGGTGATAAAATCAATATAATGAGCTGTGGGGCTCCTCTCAACCGTGCACGGGTCGCTGTTCTAACAATAGTTAAACAAGCAGAGGAGATAATTTGAGGAATTAATTATTAGATTAGGAGGGGGAACTGGTAAATATCCGGTATTTAAATGATAGAATCATCCAAAGTCATGATAAAGAAATCATTCATGAGAAGAACTATTGCCAATAATGAAAACTGACTAAGGGGTCAGCCATGAGAAGAAACTAGGTGTTATTCCATTATTTATTGTTGCTGTTGACAGAAACGGTGGAAGAAGGAATGTCATCCGTTCTCTACCTTAGCTTACCTACCATCCGAAAGCGGATAATCATCATCATCATCAACGGGTCAACCCAAACTTTCAGCACAAAAGTCTAATGATTGCAACTATATCATTTGATTCAACCAGTGCTCTAGCTAGGCAATACTTATTTCAGACTCTTAACATCCATCAACCTCACGGTCTGTATTGAAATAGTTATGTTTTTTGATGGTCAATCATGCCTTGGGTTGGTTATAACATCCGCGAAGTAAATGCAGGCCGGGTATACCTACATACGGAGTACTGTAGAGCTGCTCTTTCATGGAAAAGAACGAAATGTTGAATCAATGCATTTATCAGGAATGTTCTCAGAAGAAATTGAGTTTACACAACACAAAGCAAAATCGCTAATTCTACATGGATATCACCAATACAATGAGGGCTTATGCTTTCAATGCATCACAACCATGGAATACCGCTCAGAATCAGACGCAAGAGTGTAAAAGAAATGAAAGAAACAACAGCATCAAAAGCAAGACTGAGGTGGCTAGAGGAGAATTATCGGATGCTTTGCCTCCAACGATCAATGATCTCCCGTTGGCCATTATCAATCACTGGCTGCAGGACTTTGGAATGGTAGTTATGAGGCATAGCATAGCTCAGATGATTCATCCCCAAGATAGCATCGCTGTAGAATGTATTCGGGTGCACCATCCCAAAAGTCTGAGGATTTGCCGCCGCTACTCCCTGG